CGACGATGATGTGTGGAGATTGAGTAGGAAAACTCCGGAGGGGTTTGCGGACGTTGGAACACAATAGAGTAGTTAGTGCTCCTGGTGCGCATACCACAGCGTGCGGATCCGGAATCTACTGTTAGACTCTACGGAACTGCGGAGTCTGCGGAGTCGAAGGGACCTTGGCCTCAACGTATTGCGTTGTGCCCACGCTGGTGGTATATGGTCCAACCCGAAAGGAGAGGGGAGGAGAGGGGGAGAGAGACGCGCCTTGCGGCGGAAGACGAGAAGAGAGAGGAGAGAGCCTTGCGGAGCGGAATCAGGAGCACTGTGCGGATATGCGGAGTATGCGGAAAAGCTCTAGCAAGCCTGAAGGCTCAAGACTGGACAGAGGGGAAGTTCTGTATAAGTCTGATTCGAGATTCCGGATGAGTATCTACTACAGAAATCTAGCTAGCTTATATATCTGTAGATACTCTGGATATACTCTGGGACAAGTCTGGGACAAGAGAAAGAACTGAGTCATAAGAAATGCGGAATACCGCGGAATGCGAAGAGGATGAGTAAGACGATTCCAAAGAACAATAGCAAAGCAAGGGAGGGAGTCATAAAGAAGTGTAAGAGGTCACATGCAGGTCTGGGCGCCTAGAGGGCGGTTACGAGGTTTCTCCGCACGGTCCGCACCGGCCCTCAGTTGCGGGCCGTGTCGGTCCGCTGGTACTTGCGGGCTGCGGACTTGCGGATGCGGACATCCATAGAGCGGACACATGCGGGGAGTCCGCATGTGCAGGAGTGGGATGGAGGTGCGGAGATGTGGGAGATGCGGGATGCGGAGAGATGATGGCGAGTGCGGGGATGTGCGGAGATGTGCGGGGTCATGCGGGATCATGTGAGACTGTGCGGGGGGTGTGGGTCAAGGCTGGTGGGTTGTGGGTAGATGTGGGTGGATGTTTGAGACCCTAACACCTATCCATTACCCCTAATTTCGGACATTATGGACCGAGTGAAAGGAAAACGATACTTCACTAAGCTCGACGTCCGATGGGGGTATAACAATGTGCGCATCAAAGAGGGAGATGAATGGAAAACGGCATTCAAAACCAAGAAGGGACTCTTCGAAGCATTAGTCATGTTCTTTGGGCTCTGTAACTCGCCCGCAACATTCCAAAGGATGATGGACCACATCTTCATCGTTGAAATCGAAGGAAGACTTGTTATCATCTACATGGATGATATATTGATCCCCGCAGACACCCCCGAAGAATTGGAACACATGACTAAAATCGTTCTCAAGAAACTCAGGGATAATGATCTATTCCTCAAGGTTGAAAAATGCCAATTCGCCCAGACACGAATCGAATACCTCGGTATGATCATCGAACACGACAAAATAATGATGGACCCAGAAAAGGTCAAAGGAATGGCCGAATGGCCCACTCCCACAACGGTGAAGCAAGTACGATCCTTCCTAGGGTTCGGAAACTTTTACCGAAAGTTCATCATGAAATATTCCGAGATCGCCAGACCTCTAAATGAACTCCTGACCAAAGAAAAGGAGTTCATTTGGACCGAGGAATGTGATAATGCATTCAAGACCCTGAAACGGTGATTCATCGAAGAACCCGTCCTCAGAATGCCAGACATGTCCAGACCATTCCAAATCGAGTGTGACGCTTCCAAGTACGCATACGGAGTGGTTCTCACACAGGAGGACGAAAATGGCAAGAGACACCCGGTAGCCTTCCTATCGAAAACCTTCACTCCCACCGAACGCCGATACGAGATCTACGATCGCGAGCTCCTCGCAATAGTACGATCCCTGCAAGAATGGAGACACTATCTCCAAGGATCAGAATTCGCCACCCACATCCTTTCCGACCACAAAAATTTAACCTATTTCAGGCAACCACAAAAACTCAACGATCGACAAGCCCGGTGGTCCCTGATACTGTCCGAATACTACTATAATCTCAAAAATATGCCCGGCAATAAGATGATTCAAGCTGACGCCCTTTCTCGAAGACCCGATCATATTCCGGAAAAAGACGAAAATGACCTACCAACTATTCTATTGAAGGAAGAATTATTTATCGACAAACTCGATACGGATATCTCCATAAATTTGATTGACCTCGAACTCCAACAACGCATCAACCAATCAACAGGAATGGACCAGACCGCAATCGAGGCCATGAAAACCCTAGTCGAAGACGGATCAAACGAAATGAAACAAGGACTCCACGATTGGACGGTCATTACCGAAGACGGAAAAACCACACTCTTCTACAAGAACCGACAATATATTCCGAAGGACAATAACATCCGAAGAGAGATTGTCCAACGATATCACGATGCTGAAACCGCGGGACACCCTGGAGAATTAGAAACATTCCATGCCATCAAAAATCATTATTACTGGCCCGGAATGAAGATGTTTATCAAATCATACATCCAGGGATGCGCGCAATGTCAGCAGTTCAAAATCAAGAGGAATCCCCATAAGATCTCCCTCATGCCCATAGAAGGGAATGATCGACCATTTGGTTATGTCATCATCGACATGATCACGGATCTTCCGGAATCAAACGGATACGATTCGGTCCTGACCGTGGTGGACCACGGCCTCAGTAAGGGGGTGATCTTTATTCCAACGAAGAAGACGGCAACTGCTGACGATATCGCAAAACTTCTTATGGAAAATCTCTTCAAACGCTTCGGATTACCGGACAAAATCGGTTCTGATAGAGGTCCCCAATTCGCAGCCAAAGCTCTCAGAGAACTGTTCTGTCTCATTGGAATAGACTCTTCACTATCCACGGCTTATCACCCACAAACACAAGGAGCCATTGAACGAGTACATCAGGAATTGGAGACATACTTATCGATCTACTGCATCACAAACCAAGAATCGTGGGCAGACAAACTAGCCCTCGCTGAATTCACATACAACAGCCGAAGGCATGCAGATCGAAAACACTCTCCATTCGAACTCATCATGGGGTTCCAACCCAAGGCCTTACCAACGACGTTCTCCAAAACTCAATTCCCATCGGTGGAAGAACGACTCAGGGCTCTGGAAGAAGATAGGAGAGAAGCTGTGGCAGCACACGAGCTTGCCAGATCGAGAATGGCCCAACGAATCAAGGGGACACCAAGACCTTTCCGCAAGGGTCATCGAGTGTGGCTGGAAGCAAAAAATATCAAGCTCCCATACTCCAAGAAAATGACAACAAAACGAGAAGGTCCTTTCGAAATCACCGAAGTCCTGGGACCAAACACGTTCCGCCTCAAACTTCCCCTGACCTGGAGAATCCATGACGTCTTCCATGCAACTCTACTTTCTCCGTATGTCGAAACAGAAACACATGGACCCAATTACACACTCCCTTCTCCCGAATTGATTGATGGAGAAGAAGAATACGAAATCGACAAAATCCTCAAACATCGAGTCGTGAGGAATCAACGACAATTCTTAGTATCATGGAAAGGATACCCTCTCTCCGAAGCAGAGTGGAAAAAGGAAAAAGAACTTTCCCATGCTAAGGAACTCCTCAAGGCGTACAAACGAAAACACAAGCTCACATGAGGAAACCACATGCCCAACATGCACATCTCATAAACCGGAAACATGAAAACCTCAAGGACGACATGCACCCTTATCTTAGAACATGAAGACAACATGAGGCGTTATCTTGAACACCCTCAAACACATGCCCATGACATCAACCAAGAAAACACGAGGACTTAGACTTAAAAGAAGAGAGAAAAAACTCGATTGAAGAAACAACAAACTCCCCAACTTCACTCGACAAGCTACTTCCACCCAACACCATGTCTGCTCCCCAATACAACTACTTCGCCCCTGCTATGCCCGTTCCCCCTCTCAATGAAGAGGAATCCCTTTCATGGTTACCAACGCCCAATACGCTGTCCGACTCGAGAATAGACTTCTCGAGACCCCTGGTGCTGAGCCCGTTGCTCGCATCGTCTCTATCGGGCACATGATTGCCCTTATCATCGCCCAACTCATGGGCATAGTCAACACTCTTCATCAGTTCGTCTTCGGGATTCACGAACACCTTGTACACCGTCCCGAAATCACCGATCTTGTACTGGAGCTTCGAAACCCCCAACCCGAAGCTCCAGGCCCCCAACTCTATCACCACGTTCCCCAACAATCTCCCCCACCTCCTATGCCCATTCCTGACGATATTCCCTTGCCCATTATGCAACAACCACCTCAACCTCGTATGCCAACTCCCGGACCATCCTCCAATATCATATATCGGGCGACTCTACGGGATACTTCATTCGACCCCAACGATCTCCCTCCTCTCCAATACCCTCCGACACCGACTCCCCCATCTGCTCCCCAAAAGGAGATCATCGACGTCGACGACCCCACCCAGCCATGGAACCAACCTTTAGGTTCCAAACTAAACCCAATTTGGGTTCGCGACTTCATCTCCCGCCTTCAACAAATCGGAATTCCAACTTGCAACCTTTGTCACAAGACAGGACATCTCGCTAGCCGTTGCAAAGGAAAAGGTAAACTCCAGGAGTAGTTTAGTTCTAGTAGGGGGGTAATGTTACGAACATATATGCTTACTATACTATATTACTATACTCGCCTCACCTACACCTTATGTTTTTCATTCCAACTCATAGTCTTACTCATATTACTGCGCATTATTGATTACTGACTGATACTTATTAAAAACACACAGAAACCTACATACATTCCGCGGAATACGCATGTTACCCATGAGGACTACGCCTCATGGTTAACACATGTCTTCTAGTATATAAACTCTCTAGTTCTCTTAGTTAGTTTCCTCACTTCGTATCTAATAGTGTCACACGCTATACCAAGTCTCAGTGCAAATACAAATATCTTTAATTATCACTCAAAAGTCTAGCTCGAAGTTCACAAAGCTACAGGCGAAGAACTCTTGATGTAGTCGCGAGTTGATTCATCGACCACAAAGACGCTGAGTACTGGACGACACGTGCTTGTATCACGTATAGTCCATAACATTGACGGACTGTCGATATTCCACGATCAAAGCTGAGGCACTTTGAATTTCCTCAGAGAGGATTTCGCATCCTCCGTTGATCCAGTGCTGGTGCTGTTGACTATTTATGAATTTGCGATCTGACAATCCCATGTAGACACTGACCAAGAAAGAAAGCTCTGCCTTGTCGGTGTCTCTCAAAATATCCCAACATAAATCCAGATCCTCGACCCATCCATGACAAGCGAAACGAGACAGATATGCCTTGATGAGGCAGCACTTGGCTTGTACCCGGATGTCCCACTCGATTTCACCATCGTTGACGACGTTCCCCAACTGAACAATCGCAGCTTCAAGGATGTCGTCCCCACGCTGTCCGCGATTGACGACCATTCAGGCATTATGTCGTCGCCCATGATCTTGGCCTCTCCTGCTAGTGAAGTCGTCAGCCTTTTACTCTTGTAATTGATTGTGAGTATACTTCACCTTTCTCCATCATTGTGCTCAATTGAGCGAGATACCAACGGACATGGGCGCTCGTGCGCTGCAAGCCGTTGCGTACACGTGGATGCGAACTTGGTCGCCTGACCGAGCTATTTTATCAGTAAATTACCGCTCGAGGGCAATTTGGAGGTTCGCGTGATGTGGGTATTGTCAAAAGCCAGGGGGAAGGTAGGTATCCTACATGACTGAAGGGAACAGAAGGAACATCACCGGCCTGACGCGCTGATCGCAGTTTCCAGGTTTACATCCTCCAGACTTTCTTCACAAAGACAGGTCGAAGATAAGTACAAGGTCTCGACTGTACTTTAATGCGTTTATAATTATATGGCACATATAGTGGGACTAATTACATGCCATGGTTCTCGACTTCAGCACCAGCAAAACCTGTAAGCAATGTTCAATTAGCGCCAAGTTCCATTGAATTTGGAGAAACCTCACTTCTGGTTGTTCACCCACTCAACATTCTCCGGGCCATACCACTTCATGCATGGGATATGCCTGTCCAGTGTTGTGGTGACACCTCCCGCCTCGTGTGCGACTGGTAGCAGTTCCTCTGGGAGGTTCCACACCTCCAAGGTCTCCATACAGAGAGCTTTGCTGTATTCCGCGATCTGTGCAAGCAATTCTGAGATCAGAGTAGCTGGGGCGTGCAACCGGGTTATGATCATCTTCCCGGCACGAGGGTAGTAACTGAAAGTCCATGATGCGTACGCATGACTGGATGCGCCCTGCTCCTCGCCGATGGCCACACCAAAGAACTGCGGCTTCGGGTCCTGCTTTTCTATGAAAGAGTGGACGTGGAGGTGTTGGAACTCGCCTAGACCACTCCCGGGAATGAAAGAAAAGCCGGCCTGAACACCGTCCCTCAGCTGCACTTGGGTCATCTCCTCTCGGATTGCTGATGAATCCTTCTCCCAGACTGCAAGGATACAATCCCTGTCCAGCCACTCCCACTTGATTGCTTCCTGCGCTGGTCGGTCCTTGGCCCATTTAGCCAACGGGTCTACCTTCCAAACAGTTGAAGCTCGATTCTCCGCTGTGACCCAACCATCGTCGGACTCTTGCAGTAGTCCACAAGATTGGTAGAATCGTGTGCCGACAACACTGTACAGGACGGACACAGACCCATCTCCTAATCCTTCGTGGCGGGTAGGCGGGGCGCCCCACTCTTGAGGGAATTTTGGAAGTGCTTCTGGTCTCAAGAGAACCCAGTGTAAGAGTTGCATCATGTGCTTCCTGTAGCCTTTCTTCCTTTTCTCTGGAGGAGTGTAGACGGATGCGATTCCATAACCCACGCCGGTTTCTGTTGAGGAGTTGGAACCGGTTCCTTTCGTGATGACCACTTCTCGGCGGAAGCTGAGAACGGTCCAATTAGAATAGACGAGCGAATGGGCAGTGAAAGGGCGTACGTTTTACAGGCACACATGAAATCTAATGTTGTTGGGTCGTCTCGAGGTGCGAGTACCCTGAGATTAGATAAAGCAAATAAGCGCTCCTTAGAGATCATCTCGAGCGAAATGTCGCAGTGTACGAACCATGCTACAAATTGACCATCCTTCCCAACCGTGCTTCTCTGAACTCTGGCATCTCGCCCAAGGTATTCCTCCAGAGTCATATACTTGCCCCATTGCTCAAAGGATCGCTTTTGCGCCTCTTCAGCTTGTGCGGGTTTTGCCATGAACAGCGAATAGCGAGACAGATCGGTAGGCATGATGAAGGTTACTGTGACACAGAGAGTAAAGAGGGCAGTAGGAAGACGAGGTTGGAGTCAGATAGATATTTGTTTGATTAGAATCACAGCTCAGCAGCCAACCTGAGGTCTTGGAGGGGCTTCCGAAAGAAATTGCATTACGATAATCGCGGCAGTCCATGTGGTATCAAGACGTCTACTTACTATTAGCGCAGCACAAGAGTGCAGGTCCAGCTTTGACAAGAACGAGCTAAGATTGCAGTTACAACTTGAAGGCTGTTACTTGGGCATCACTGTCCGTCGGATTGCGACCCACTACTAAGTAAACTTCCTCCCATCGAGCCATCGCGATGCCATGTCCAAGAGCTCTTCAGGCTTATCGTAGGGCGCCTGGGGAAATGGGTATCAATGAGTATGGCGTTGGCGGTAGAGGGGAAACACCAACCATGTGTCCAGCACCATCAATAGTCACTAGGACGGCTCGGCTTAATTCCCAGAATCCGTCTGCAGGTGGCTTCCCGCGAGCAATACCACTTCGTCCAGTGGCAATCTTGTCGCCCCCGAATAAGGTGACGTCCGAATCTGATTCCGAGTTCCTGTCTGTTTTCCGAACTTTATGTAAGTTAATGCTCCAACCAAGGGGTCTGACTAGAGTTATTCGGCGACGAAGGGCTCATCTGGTTCCCATTAGTACTATTCGTAACGTGCAACTGGAACGTGAACAGCTCGAACCATCGCGAGAACCTCTTCTTACTGTCTTCCAATGCCCCAATCAGGACTGCGGGGTTCACAAAGCCCATGAGGGTGTTGGTGCTCCCCTGGTAGTAGGCGGAGAGGTGAGTCTGGATTCCGCTGAGGATTTAAGAGGTCTGAGAGTCCTTTTTGTTGACGTTGTTGAATTCGTAACGATGGATGGGGTTTACTGTCAAGGAGCCAGCGGGGGCGAATTCCTGAATTCCAAGTCCGAGGCCGGACTTGTCACGTTTTATGCACGCTCGTCGTTGTTGACAATGACGGCAATCACGTCTCTCATCTTTCCCTGTCGTCAAACGACCTACGGACTGGCCAACGCGCAAGACTGGGCTCAGCACGTATTTGGATGACAACGAGAATCAGTTTCATGAACTACACAGCCTACAATGCCCAGCGGCTTTTCGATGTTCTCGGGTGCGAGTACAAGGTCTTTGCGGCTCAAGCCACACTAGGAGAAACGAGGTCAGTTGGTTTGGCTGAGTGTCGTGAACAGCGGGTACGAGCCCCTATTTTTCCTTTCTTATCTTATCGCTTTCATTTCCCTTATCACTTCCTCTTCATTCTCATTCTTGCCTTTATTCTCGACACGGACACTTTCTCCCATGGAACACTGCCTTGTTATGCCCTTCGCCCTACGTCTTATTGTTCTCTCCATTCTTGCACTGCCTCGTTACTCCGTTATTGTCTTCTTCATTCTTCGCACAGCCTTGTGACTCTCCTTTAAGGCTGAACGCGGGTGCACCTGTACGGGTACCTGCACCCTTGACACAGGTACCCATGCCCTCAAAATCCATACCTGCACCCTTACAGGTATTTTTCAACAGGTACCTGTTACCTGTGGGTCCTACCCATGGGTACCTGTTGGGCACAGGTCCTACAGGTACCTAAAGGTAAACCTGTAGGTACCTGCTAAAGGGATCAGTTAGAAGTCAATCCCCTCAATTATCCGTGGCTGTGGACCTTAATTAATAAGTGCATTCATTCTCTAATATGATAGATATTCATTTCTGAGCAGTTTTGAAGCATTATTACAGTGGACATGGTCACCAACAGGCTGGCAGGTACCCACCCACAGGTATCTGTGAGGCTAAAAGCTATACCTGCACCCTTGCGGGTATTTTGGCCACGGGTTACCTGGACCCACAGGTCACATACCCATGGGTTTCTTGGCAGGTCGGGTCAAAGGTACCTGTGTACGACCTGCACCCACGTTCAGCCTTACTCTCCTTATTGTTCTTCCGCATTTCACCATCTGTTCGTCATCTTGACTCACTGTGGCTATGTAGACTGTAGAATAGGTATATAAGCTAGGTAGAACCCTCTGTACTTCCTCAGCTTGACCTCTTCGTCAATACACCGCTTCAGCATCCATCTGCCTTAGTCGCTCATCGCTCTTATCTCGCTCTCCGCTCTCATCTGCTCCGCTCTTCTGGTCTTTGGTTTGGTTTAGTGTTCGCTCTTCGCGACACTGAGACAATGGAAATGGGAACATGTGCTGACCGTCGTTGCGAATCTAATCACAGTTTGGTGTTTCAAAATCCCTATACACACCCAACGGCCACACACATGTGTGTCAATATGCGGATAAAAACGAAATAGGGCAGTGAGTCTTGATTTTCGGGTATTGCAATACACTCGAGTACTTAAGTACCTTTGAATCTCCATTTACAGACCTCCGTCCTATCCTACTCTCTCAATACACAAGCGGCACTTGGAAACAAATTCAGTTTTCGTATACCCACCTGGTCTCTTTCGCCCAACGGTTTTTCGGCGTTTGGAAGTGCTCGAACATGTATACAAGACGTTTACAAGGCAGGGAAAGGCCTGTGGAACGAAAGTTAAACGAATCGGTGAGTTTTGAATTTCGGGGTCATTGTAATGAACAGGAATGCTTACCTCTCCCCTTCCCTTGCAGATTACCGCCCTTTGAATTCCTGCCCGAATTATGATGGTACTAGACGTCCAACACAAGGTTTGTTTTCCTTCAATTTGAAAGTAAACCGATTGCCAACCTGTTTACAGTTGCCAATGCACCTGGTCGGCGCAGGACTGAAACCTAACGCAACGCAAGTGCTTACTTGGAACTCGACGACCATCTTCTGCATCCGATTCATTGGGTCTCGGGCGAGAGCATTGGATGCCTTTCGGTCTTACGCACGCTTGAGATCAACAGAGCCGGTGCATTTCGAGGAAATACTAGACACATTGGCGACGAAGTACGTATCTTTGTCAGGGGCCTGTCAATCCGTCCGTCCCATATCCGTTTATCCGTCTATCCGTCTTCCGTTCAACAGTAGGCGACCAATACCTGACATGATCAGCTCTATATATAGTGCCAGCAACCTATCACCGGTTAAGGTGATAGCGGCCTTTTTGGCTCAGTTGGTTTATCGCGAGTTGCTGGCGCAGTTTCTAACAATCTTCTCCTTTCTCAATGGTTACAGATTGCTTACCTTGGGCTTAAACCACTCCAGGACGGTTTTACCAAGCGTATTCCGCATTCAATGACATTGGTAGACGACGGACGGTGGAAACGCGCGACCTATTGGAAAGAAGATGATTCTGGACGTCCCACAGCACCTCAACTTCCGCCTTCCTACTCGGAACTCCTCTCCCTCTCCTTCCCACCCATCGCAATCCTCGCCTTCTTCGCCTTCTTCACCAACCCGCGCGCCTCGGTGTGCACCCGATCCACGTCGCTGGCCTTTTAACACACCTCCGAACCTCCCCTGACAAACGCGCCAGCTGTTCGCCGAGGTTTGGATCACCTTTGGACACCTGGACGGGCGTCGGCGCTTGTGAGAAGGGCCAGACTCATTGTTCCTTTGGGGGTTTGCGGCAGACCTGGTGCGGGTGCCTTACAAGGTTGCTTAGCGGATGGAGGGGGGAGGGGCTTGACTTTGACTGAGGTGGCACCTCCCACATTTCTTTTGGGGTAGCGTCGAGATTTAGGATGGTAGACGAGGTAAGTTGTTATTTGGTGTTTGAATCATTGGAAAAACCAATTTACGTTCGGTTGGATGTGTTAGGTGCCTGCCATTAGCGACACGAAGATCAGACGTCGTAAACGAGACGAAGAGTTCGATTCACGGGGACGTACTCAGGTTGGTTTAAAGACTGCAGTCTGCGGAGGGTGGTTTGTGGTGAAGAGGGCGCATGCATGGACGACGTAAGTCAGCAGAGCGCTCGCGGACGATAGACCATGGACTTACCGTTACTCTAGGCGGTTGGGGATTCGTTCCACCTACAAATATCGGACTCGTGATGACGAGAAGAATTTGACATGCAGACCAAGGAAGACGTCGAACACCCACAAGATCTGCCGCGAATTTATGGATCAAAATTTTGAAAGCGCGTGTGCGTTAGGTGGGGGAGCATTTTCGCGGTCACCGAGTAGGCTTACATGAACGACGTAAGTCCATGCACTTCTCCTCGTTTCCACCAGGTCGACTTACCTTGAACTAGGCCTCCGGAAACGATCGCAGAGGCCCATCAACAGTCTGTTCCAGCGCCATGGTTGGACCCAATCCAAGGTCAGCACGCTCGGCCAAATTCAGTTTAAACGAGGTGCTTACATTCATGAAACAGTGACTAGGCCCTTGTCCGATGAGGTCGCCGCTAGACTACAACTGGATGGACTTTAAATTCGGCATTCACCCAATGTACGTATCTCTTCTCGCTCAACTCGCCCGCTCTTATGAACTAACAGGTCTCTATACGAATTAGTGCGCTTCTTTCACTTCTAATCGCCAACACCGTCGATCTACTGCGCCCTCCGACAACACAGGGACCTCCAGGTGGAGGAGTAGCCAGCACACGACGCACGCCCCTTGGGTGCGCAAGAAGCCAGCCTGTCGACGGCCTCGACGACCGACCACTGGGCCAACGTGCAGTTCAACCGCTCTTTCCATTTCGGGCATCGACATCGCCAACCACACCGACGTTGACGAGAACCTCACAGCTAGGCGGCGATAGCATGGACTCGGTGGCATGCAGGGGACATATACGGGCGTGAGGAGGTGGAGATTATGGATTGAGGATTGATGCGTTGATCATGGTGTCTATCACGAGTAGTAGGCCGTTGCCTCGGGTGGTCTGTCATACTGGGGAACAGCGGTAGGCAGACCATCGCGTACGACGATGTTCGTTCCTCACCTGGGACGCGCTGGTTTGGAAAGGGCGCTGAGACGGGTTCCTCTCGCGTGACGGTATTCGATGTACAGTCAAATGTGACTTCGAGCGACGAGAAGGTAGCATAGTAAACAATTGTACAACAGAGCGGGAGAGAGCAGATGGTAAAGGTAAAGGGCTGATACGTACAGTAACGTGAGGAGGGCCATAGAATATTTAAATATCGTACGTGGAAGCGGTAGTGGGACGAGTGGCGATTACTCGATAGGCCACAGCTGGGGTCGTGCACCTGGCGGTCTCGGTTCCTGGCATCTGTGAATAGACGGGTGTTAGTTGCACGACATTGCGTGACAGAGCAAACATACTTGGTCCATTCAGTTCCATGAACGGCGTTGGTCAAATCAAGCTTGCAGTAGTCATGAGTTTTCCATCGCTGCAAGGGCGAGATGAGGTTGCGACGATCTCGGGGTAGAGCCCAAAAGAGGAGATCTCCGGCTGCATTGCGAATCCAACCATCTTTCATGTTGATGCAGATGGAATGAGGGTACATCTGGAACAACACCTGATCTGAAATAAAAAGAATATAGGAAGGAGGCGATCACTATTAAGCAAAGACCATACCTTGAAAATTAGAGGAGTCAAAATGTTGGAGATGGGAGTGCTGGTAGTGGGCAGTGTTCCACAGGCGGATGGTGTTGTCATGCGACCCAGAAGCAAGGAGGGTCCCATCTGGGGAGAAGGCAATAGAGGTGACCTGAGCACTGTGCCCTTGCAGAGGCTCACCCAGTGCCTCCCCAGTCTGGGGGCTCCACAGACGGATGGTGGTGTCCCACGAGCCAGAAGCAAGGAGGGTCCCATCTGGAGAGAAGGCAACAGAGGTGACCTGAGCACTGTGCCCTTGCAGAGGCTCACCTAGTGCCTTCCCAGTCTGGGGGTTCCACAGGCGGATGGTGCCGTCATACAACCCAGAGGCAAGAAGGGTCCCGTCTGGGGAGAAGGCAACAGAGGTGACCTGACCACTGTGCCCTTGCAGAGGCTCGCCCAGTGCCTCCCCAGTCTGGGGGCTCCACAGACGGATGGTGGTGTCCCACGAGCCAGAAGCAAGGAGGGTCCCATCTGGGGAGAAGGCAACAGAGGTGACCCCATCACTGTGCCCTTGCAGAGGCTCACCCAGTGCCCCCACAGTCTGGGGGCCACACAGGCGGATGGTGTTGTCATAAGACCCAGAGGCAAGGAGGGTCCCCTCTGGGGAGAAGGCAACAGAGGCGACCGCACCACTGTGCCCTTGCAGAGGCCCACCCAGAGCCTCCCCTGTCTGGGGCTTCCACAGGCGGATGGTGCTGTCATACGACCCAGAGGCAAGGAGGGTCCCATCTGGGGAGAACACAACAGAGGCGACCCAACGACTGTGCCCTTGCAGAGGCTCGCCCAGTGCCTCCCCAGTCTGGGAGTTCCACAGGCGGATGGTGCCGTCATACGACCCAGAGGCAAGGAGGGTCCCATCTGGGGAGACGGCAACAGAAGTGACCGAATCACTGTGCCCTCGCAGAGGCTCACCCAGTGCCTCCCCAGTCTGGGGGTTCCACAGGCGGATGGTGTGGTCATACGACCCAGAGGCAAGGAGGGTCCCATCTGGGGAGAAGGCAACAGAGGTGACCTGATGACTATGCCCTTGCAGAGGCTCACCCAGTGCCTCCCCAGTCTGGGGGCTCCACAGGCGGATGGTGGCATCATGCGACCCAGAGGCAAGGAGGGTTCCGTTTGGGGAGAAGGCAACAGAGGTGACCACAACACTGTGCCCTTGCAGAGGCTCGCCCAGTGCCTCCCCAGTCTGGGGGTTCCACAGGCGGATGGTGTTGTCCCAGGACCCAGAGGCAAGGAGGGTTCCGTCTGGGGAGAAGGCAACAGAGGTGACCACAACACTGTGCCCTTGCAGAGGCTCACCCAGTGCCCCCCCAGTCTGGGGGCCCCACAGGCGGATGGTCCCGTCATGCGACCCAGAGGCAAGGAGGGTCCCATCTGGGGAGAAGGCAACAGAGGTGACCTGATGACTATGCCCTTGCAGAGGTTCACCCAGTGCCTCCCCAGTCTGGGGGTTCCACAGGCGGATGGTGTTGTCATAAGACCCAGAGGCAAGGAGGGTCCCCTCTGGGGAGAAGGCAACAGAGGCGACCGCACCACTGTGCCCTTGCAGAGGCTCACCCAGTGCCCCCCCAGTCTGGGGGCCCCACAGGCGGATGGTCCCGTCATGCGACCCAGAGGCAAGGAGGGTCCCCCCTGGGGAGAAGGCAACAGAGGCGACCGCAACACTGTGCCCTTGGAGAGGCTCACCCAGTGCCTCCCCAGTCTGGGGGTTCCACAGGCGGATGGTGTTGTCCCAGGACCCAGAGGCGAGGAGAGTCCCGTCTGGGGAGAAGGCAACAGATGTGACCCAATTACTGTGCCCTTGCAGAGGCTCGCCCAGTGCATCCCCAGTCTGGGGGTTCCACAGGCGGATGGTGGTGTCCCACGAGCCAGAAGCAAGGAGGGTCCCATCTGGGGAGAAGGCAACAGAGGTGACCGCAGCACTGTGGTCTTGGAGAGGCTCACCCAGTGCCTCCCCAGTCTGGGGGTTCCACAGGCGGATGGTGTTGTCCCAGGACCCAGAGGCAAGAAGGGTCCCGTCTGGGGAGAAGGCAACAGAGGTGACCTGAGCACTGTGCCCTTTCAGAGGCCCACCCAGAGCCTCCCCAGTCTGGGGGTTCCACAGGCGGATGGTGCAGTCATCCAACCCAGAGGCAAGGAGAGTCCCATCTGGGGAGAAGGCAACAGAGACGACCCCAGCACTGTGCTCTTGGAGAGGCTCACCTAGTGCCTTCCCAGTCTGGGGGTTCCACAGGCGGATGGTGCCGTCATACGACCCAGAGGCAAGGAGGGTCCCATCTGGGGAGAAGGCAACAGAGGTGACCCAATCACTATGCCCTTGCAGAGGCTCACCCAGTGCCTCCCCAGTCTGGGGGTTCCACAGGTGGATGGTGTTGTCCCAGGACCCAGAGGCAAGGAGGGTTCCGTCTGGGGAGAAGGCAACAGAGGTGACCTGATGACTATGCCCTTGCAGAGGCTCACCCAGTGCCTCCCCAGTCTGGGGGTTCCATAGGCGAATGGTGCAGTCATCCAACCCAGAGGCAAGGAGGGTCCCATCTGGGGAGTAGGCAATACACCCCACTCGCCAACCAGCATCACTTGTCCATAACTGCCTTCTGTCATATGAGTAGGAGAGCCGGGGAATTGCAGGAATTTGGGGATAGAACCATGGTGATGACCCAGAAGCAATATAGGCAGGCAGGGCAGAGAGGTACAGGTGGGGAGCACTTTCACTGATGGGAGTCCGGAATCTGGATGAAAATGTTGCGATAGCGATGAGATGGTCTTTGATACCACGAGGCAGAGCAGGTAGAGCCTAAGATGGTGCTTTAGTCTTTGGGAGTTACGTGACATACAAATATTTGAATTACCTTTGGAACGAGGGGCAGGGTGTTGTAAGCATAATCCACCTTCTTCTCCACACTCAACACCTCCAACCAGTACAGGGATTGCATCACCAGAAATCCATCCATCTGCTCCTGAAGCTCGTCCAACAGACATCCCGTCATGCCAGCCATATCAAGGACATGGTTAATCCATGCTGTACACGCATATGCCAGTCCCGGAGGAATGCACAGAGGTTTTGGCTGCTCGTCGTTGGACTTGTACGATGTTGTCGCACCCGAGATTCCGATCCTCAGCTCCTTGTTCATCACAATGAAGCATCGCCGGGCGGCTGTCTCGTTGGCTGTACATCGGTCAATAGCCCATTCGTGTCGACGATGAGAGTTGTCGGTGGTGAGGTAGTCGGCAAAGGATGCATGGAGGATGGTGATGGGTTGAAGGTCCTCCCGCGGCACACGAACAACGGAATGGAGCTGCCGGAATGCACTGCGAACTGCACCACGGTCGAGCCCAAGGAAACCCGCATACCCAGAGACAGATAGGGGATTGGGGGCGACGATGAGCAGGGATAAACATGCCTGAATGGTCTTCGTATCGGTGTCCTCGAGACCTTTGAACGCCTCGGACATGATCACGCCATAGAGCTTGTAGAGCGAGTCGAGACGGCCCGCCGAGGTGGAATCTGACGAGCAAAGCTCACGGAAAAGCCGGAGGCGGTCACCCCTGTACTCGTCGAGGTACTTGACCAGCGTTGCAGCGTAAATGAACAAGTTCTGAGAACGCTCGGCGAGGTTCTCGACGTCCTTTTCCTGAACGTGACCTTTGAGATCACCTATCTGCGATAGACAGTGGCGTAGGTAGACGGCGATGTCAGCTTGAACAATGTGCTGTTCTACATCGTGAAGGAGCAACTGGCGGTGCGTGTCGTAGCTTGCGAAACGTTCTTCGAGGTGGTCCTCGGGACGGCTTGTCAAGAACACCTTGAGCGGAGGAGGCGGCGGCTGGGAGAGAATCGCCTTCAAGAGGAGCCTAATGGCCTCTTTGTCGCTGCATTCGTCGAGGGCGTCGATGCTGAGAGCAACAAGCATGGCGGCGTCGAAAGCTTTGCTGGCAGGCTCGAGTATGAGGATGCGATACTGGTCCTTGAGGTTCAGCGCGACTGGGTCATCTGGCACCTTGCCGGACTCGAGAACCTTCACCAACTGCTTCGCAAACTTGGGTTGCACCTTCGCGAGGGACTTGGCCAGAGAAGGAATGATGCGCCGGACGTCTCTGCGCTCGACATGGTCCAGCGAGCAGAAGAAACTGGCGACAAGGACGCCCTGATCGTCGAGCCGGACGTTGAACGTTTCCGTGAGGGTCGTCTTTCCCGTGCCAGCCATCCCGCAAAGCCAGAAGATGGATGGTGACGACGGGTCCTTCGCCCAGCGCAGGAGGGTTGCTAGTAGCGCGACTCGCGTTCCGGGGATGCAGCCTTGGCGGTCCTCCTGATTGAACTCGGCTCCAGTGACGGTCTTGATCTTCTTGAGGTGTTCTACATGCCGTTGAGCAAGGTTCAGTTCGACGTGAGGGGGACACGCTCACCGTTGTCCTTCAACCAAATCGCAATTTCTTTCGTTTCCTCGACCAGATTCCTCGTTTCTACGACTAATTGGAGGTCAGTAACAGACTTTCAGCCATCGTAACATGGACTTACCCCTCTTCTTCACCCAGGCAACCTCTTTCACTACCTCCAGGGTCGCCTTGCGGCCTGAGATGCTGATGTCAAGCTGGACATGGCTTAGCTAGTGCACTACCCATCAACCGAAAAAGAGGCACCCACCATGGCAATTTCAATCGCGAATCTAACCTCCTCGATGGCTTGATGAATTTCCTTCTGGTCCTCCGTCGCATTTATCACCCGTTTCCCCTTTGAATCGTTCAATTTTCCCTTCAGATAAGCCGCCTTCTCCTCCAGCATCCTGATTGTAGTGATCAGACCTCGATAGCCCACGATAAACTTGGAGGCGCCCACCTTGCCAGTCCACCGAGCCTGTCTTCCAGTGATCGTTCCACTCCCGAAGGAGGGCAAGAGCTGAGAATCTCCTCTAACACCTTGAGCCGATTCTGCAGTTTTTTGACCTCTTCACGGTTGCCATCGGCAGTCTGGGGACAATCAGCGTCCGCCGGTCGAACATAAATGACGGGCACTTACATCGAGGATGTTGAGTATTTCATACAGCGCGGCAGCGGCACTCTTGACCGGAGGGAAAAAATCGGTCGTCTCCTTGATGACTCGCAGAACTTCCTTGGTGCCCTTGAAGATCGGGCCTGTCTTGGGCCGTCGTCCCTTCCAAATCGATGAAAAGACCCCTCCAAGGCTGCTGGAAGCGCTGGCGCTGGCCTCGTTGTCCGAGCCGGCCGGTGTGGCGGCAGCAGCCGTCCCAGGCAGATTGGCTGTAGAACCTGAGCGCTGAGACAAGGAAGAGCCAGGGCGCTGCAGATTAAGCTGCGATGTCGACCGTGACCCACGTGGGGAGAGGCCTAGGTACTGCATAGCGCGATCGAGGGGCGGTGGCTTCGGCGCAGGATTTGGTGGGCTCATGATGAGAGTTGGTTTGTTCTCGAGTGATTGGCGGTTGTAGCTTCTTGTGAACGAATAGTAGATGTCGAGTGCGACACTGTGCGAAACGAAGGAACAACCCCGAGTGTCCGCAAGAGCTTCAGCGGGAAACACAGCCACTGTCAACGTTCCCGTTGGCCTCGTGTTCTCCCAAACATATATATCCGCTTCAAGTCCGCAGTGAAAGGGAGAACTTACCATTACTTATTGCATCTCGTTGAGATAAAATATTGAATTCGTCGCAACTAGATGCGGGCTGCATTGCAAAACTTCTAGGTTCCTATGGTTCTTCGATGTAATTGCTCAACCTCTTCTGTGAGCGTCAGAAACCCAACACGGACGAATCCGAGGTCCCGATTACTCAACATACCAGAGCTCCGCACACTCAATACATAGAATTCGAAAAAAAGCAGAAAAAGAAAACAATATCATTGTACCTACGTGCAACACAGCATCCACATGACATCTATAAGCAACGCCTAGGCCGTCACCTTGGGCTGGCTGGCATACGACGATTCAGCGACGCGAAGACCGAGGTTGTCGGGGAGAGCGAGGGTATCGTCAGCAGCGCTGGCAAGGTGTCCTATACAATATCGTTAAACAGAAGTAAGTGGGAGAAATCCGAACATGATTTGTTGACCTGTCTGGGAACAATGCTCGGAGGGCCTTCCGAAAGAAATTGCATCACGATAATCGCGACGGTCCATGTGGTATCAAGACAGTCTACTTACTATTAGCGCAGCACAAGGGTGCAGGTCCAACTTTGACAAGAACGAGCTAAGATTGCAGTTACAAGGCCGTTACAAGTTGGGCATCACTGTGCGTCGGATTGCGACCCACTACTAAGTAAACTTTCTCCCATCGAGCCATCGCGATGCCATGTCCAACAGCTCCTCGGGCTTATCGTAGGGCGCCTGGGGAAATGGGTATCAATGAGTATGGCGTTGACGATAGAGGGGAAACACCAACCATGTGTCCAGCACCATCAATAGTCAGGAACGTCAAACCTCCATACTCTCGCACAGTACCCGCCTTCACCAACTTCCTCTTCAACGAACTCTCAGTGAACGAAGCCGACGTGTACCAATCCCGAGTGACCGCATTCCCATACCCTTCCCTGCCACTCCAGTCCAAATCCGAGACCCATCTCGAGTTCCCAATATAGTTGCAGATCCAATCGTTCACGCCAACGTAGATGAGAACCTTGATTCCGTGCTCCAGGAGAGCAGCTACGTAGTGGTCAGTCGAGCGAAGTGGGTCGAGGCGCACGACAAAGTCGTTGCTGACTTTGTCTGAGCAGGAGGAGAAATTGCGGTTCTTGAGGGAGGGGTCGACTCCAATGAGTTTGCGGACGTCAGGTTTATCGAGATACGCCGATATTTTTCTATAATGGCTGTTCATTGAGTAATGATCCATGACAGAAACTGAATATACGGACTTGGAAATCGGGTAACACAGGGTATCTTCGATAGTTCCATCGCATTCTCGGCTGAGGTCGTACGGGTTCTTGCCTGGTGTACTTTGGTCAGTAACGCGACAATCAATTGTGGATTCTATGAGCTCACCTGAAGCTATTAAAGGTGCGCCCAACTCAACCTGACAGAATGAGGCTGCAGCAGCGCAGCCTAGCTCGTCGAAAGTGGGCTCCATGCACGCCTTTTCCATCCACTTCTTGCATCGTATCTGAGCTTGCTTCATCCGGACGCATTCCCTGTCAAAGGTCAGCTGCTTCCAAAGCACAGAACGAATGCACCTACCGAACACCGAGAACGGGGGGTCCGCGTGCCTCTGTCACAGTGCAGGCCATATCGTAGTAGGACTCGACCATAGTGTTCGGGTGGGTATATCCATTGCCTTTTATTGAAGAATTAGTTTCCTCCGTGAATTGAATCAGCAACAGGCGCACCAATCATGACCGAAGTCAGATTAATAGGCGCGATTCCGTGTTTCTTCAGCTCGACATTCTGGTCGTAGATGTACGCCGCAAAAATAGGAAGGTATCGCCCAGCATACGACTCCCCAGCAAGGTGGAACGGCCGTCCTCTAAATTCGCTGAAATGTTCAAAGAACATACGAACAAACCCCGCTATGTCTCCGGCGGCTTCTTCTGAGGTACCCTGTGTCGTCGTACGAGTTAGCACCGGCAAGGGTTTAAGTGGCATCTTCAGAACGCACCACTGCCTCCCCGTAGTCCGCGTACGAAAAGCCCACCCCGATAGGCTGGTCAATGAAGAAGATATTGGCGTTGTTATTCCAGGACTCCTTGTGGAAAGTGGTGGTATTTGCGTCTGTAACCCTGCAAGGCCCGAGTTCCATGAAAAGACCTAGAGAGGAGGAGCATCCTGGGCCTGAAGTATAGTCAGAATGCCAGAGCACTGAAGCGTAACATCGGCCGGACGCACCTCCGTTCGTCCATAGTACGACAGGATCCTTGTTGGGTCGGCTGCGACTTTCGAAGAAGTAGAAGAAAAGGTGGCGGGGTCCAATGTCGATGTAGCCAGTATAAGCCCTGCAATGCCAGAGGAGGAGCACACTGTTAACCTCCGGAGTCATCCCCCCATTTTCCTTGGCGACTCACCGAACGGTATTGTCACAAAACTTGGTCTGTTTGATTCGAACGCTATGCCTGGGGAACGCCGGGTGCGTCAAGGTTGTGAAATCGGTTTCTGAAAGAGTCGACAAGTCTTCGAATGGCGTGAAAAGTCCATCGTTGTACAAAGTCGGGAAACCTGTGTGTCGTCGTCGTGGCGGTCAAGAAAGAGTTGCAATATGCTAATCGCGACAAACCTAGGTTCGGATGCAATAGCTCTTGTCGATAGCCGCCGTCGCCAGGCCGGAACGCCCAGGCATTCACACTGAAGCTGGCGAGCACAATAGAAGTCAAGGCCCGAGTCAAATATCTCATCCTGGTACCCTGCAAGAGATATATTCACTTAGAGTTCGACTATGCGATGTGAATGTCAGGTGGTCGGGATGATCTCCCAGGGATTGTCAGCACAGCCTGTTAGAAGCTCACGTAGTATCCACCTAGGCGCTCGCGGTGACATTGGAAATTTACTACTATGCGCTGGGGTCGCTCAACGCGCGCATCTCCTGGACCGATTACGATTTGCTACCACAGCGATCGAAGGAGCCTTGAGCAGAACAATCGATCTCGTCGCCGAAGCGACTTGAAGTGTACATGGTGTATACCAGGGATAACTCCGCAGAGTATTGCATTGACTATGGTACATAGTAATGAGGTCCATCGATTGGCCGTCCTCTGCCCGCAAAGTATGAAAGAAGAACTCCAATAAGTACTACCACCTCGTGATATCAGCCTCCGCTTCTCCAAACAAACTCGTCTTCTTGATCTCGAAGCCGTCCTCAAGTGTACTTGACACCTCGCCCCCACCCACATAATACTCGGGGAACTCTCTCTTCAAAAACTCCAGCACATGACGATTGATCGCCTCGAACTCCAACAAGAACCCATCGTGCCCGTCCGGACTTTCAATGGTCACCAGCTTTGCATCGGGTATCGCCTCCGCGATTTCTCGTTGTTCGAGGGGAGTGAACAAGCCGTCCGTCGCGATGCTGATCACGAGAGCTCTTGGTGGGAGTTGAGCGAGGACTTTGGCGAGGGCGCCAGGTGCATCCGAAGATTCATCCCCTGTACGACCACGGGCGACGTCGTGTGTATCGAGTTTGCGGGTGATATGGATGTAGCAGTTGGCGTCGAAGCGTTTGATGAATTTTTCGCCTTGGTAGCGGAGGTAGGACTGTGCGGAGAAGATTTGCGGGGTTTTGGATCGCTCGGCGGATGGTGAAGTCGGTTCGGAATCCTTGGGCGAGACTTCCCCGCCGTTCTCCAAAGGTTTGGTCTTCACGTTCCGCAGGCCATCGTTGTGGAGGACGACGTGCTCGTCCAGGGGCTCAGAGCGAGGTGAGTCGGGAGGCGTCAATGGTTCCCTGCCCCCGAGATTCTTCTGCGGCTTCCTCCCAAACCGGCTCTCGAACGAATCCCTCGATCGGTATGTCAACAATGCGCTCATACGCGCCGCAGCCAGCCCACTGGCAGGCTGGGTCTGGTAGAACCCTCCTTCGTATCCTGGATCGCTGTAGATCGACTGTCGTTGCGCTTCTCCCCAGCTGATGCACCAGGCCGAGTGTCGAGCAGAGGTGGCGAGAGGGATAACGTGGCGGATGTAACCTTTGGGCGAGCATAGAGGCCATTCGAGGACAGCCATGCCCCCCATGGATCCACCAATAACGACAGCGACGGACGATACTCCTAGATGGTCTAGGACGAGCTTGTGGAGGCTATGAAGGGGAAGCGTTGAGTCTACTGGGAGGCGAAAACGAGTCGGGAGGCTTACCGAACGTCGTCGCGAATCGAGGTTGGGGGGAATTTGGGTCCATAGGGTTTACCAGTGTCAGGGTTGATGGTCACGGGAGAAGCGGAACCGTACGGCGACCCGAGAACGTTTGCGCAGAAGATGAAGAATCGATTGGGATCGAAAGCCTTGCCACGGCCCATGAGAGGTCCCCACCTAGTACGGCGGGTAAGCGACGAGAAAGATAAGATTGAACAAGCTACTCACCAATCCTCTACATCGGCACTCCCAGTAAACGCATGGCAAATGATCATGACATTGTCCCTCGTTGCGTTCATCTTGCCCCACGTCTTGTAGGCAACCGGGACCTCCTTCAAAACCGCCCCACATTCCAGCTGGAAGCTCGGAACCGTGAAGATCTCCTGGTCAATAAGTTCGTTGAGTGCAGGCATGGCGGGTAAAATCCGTGGTATAGCGAGTCGCAGAGAGGATCTAGGAAGATGTATAGCGTCCGTTGAAACAAGTCCAAGTCCGTGTTATTTAAATGTCCTTGACGAATTGATGTTGACTTGATGATAAAGAAAATTCTAGCGGAGTCTCGTGCACGATTTGAGCGAATCAAAGTGAATGCAGAGTTGAGCTGTGTGACCGTCTCGTGGGCGTTGACAGGCGCCAGATCGAGGTCCTTCGAGCTTTGATTTTGACCTTCTTGTGTCTAAGTTCGGGATAGTATGCCTCCTGGTACCTGTTGAAATACCTATTTTGGACTAGTTCAGCACTCTTCTTCTTGCGATTGAAGGCACACAAAAGGTCTAGTCTAAATGACGCCTTACCGTGGCTCGAGAACGCAATGCAAACGTGACCTTGGATGCAGGGATTTACAAACCAAGAGCGGTGTTGAGAGAGAAAGTGGTTGGCCTGTGGCCTCTGGCGGTGGCCGCTAGTCCTCGATGAGGCTGGTACGGTGATGCTTCCGGGGCAATAATATGGGAGTGCGGGGTACAGGTGGCGACATCATTGAGAAAAACCGAAAGCCGTGCGTCCAGTGATCGAGTCATACCGATTGCGTGCTTGTTGTGAATCACGAGGAGATAAGATCATCGCTATCTTATCTCCGGCGCCAATCTAATCATCGGTTCACCTGGCATTCCACCCAAAATTGCCATATCGTGCCATCGGAGCTCGATTGTCGTTGAGACACGGATCCAAGCGCCCATAGACGTGAAGTCGCTCTCGATATGGCCAAGACGCTCAAGGCGCTGTAACCAAGTTCGGACTGCAGGTAATCAAAACGTGCAGTCTTCAGAGAACCCACAAGATATTTGCCAGTACTGCAAGTACTTAACCTGGGAAGTTCCAATAGGGTGTTCCGCAACCGCTGAGAGTGGAGTGACATTTGTGAAAACGCTAAGTTGTCCCCGTGAGAGGGTTTGACTCGACCACTGCGACTTTCCATAAAGGGCCCAAAGGAGATGACTTAGACACCCTAATAGGTTTTGAACATATTAGATGATAGGTCAGTTAGCACGAGGTGAGATATTCTTTGGGGTGTGAAGAATCCTAACTGGCACAGAGTTCCGAGTCGCAAGTCAAGCGCCGGTCAAAGACGGCTCAACATCTCTACAGTCGAAGTGGCACCAGGGTCATGGCCGCGAATTCCATAGAGACAAAGGTGGGTGTAGCCTGAAGAGATGGTCACAGGCAGAGCTCCGAGGCATTTCCGTAGGAGAGATTTTAGTGGCGGGAGTGGGAAGCCTGGGGGTGGGGAGTATTTGGTCAGAACGAGAACTCGAGCTCTTTAAATGTCCTCTTTCAAAGCTTGATGTGAAAAGAAATGGAACGCGGAAGAAGAACTATCTACGAGCTCTAAGGCTCGAACAAGGAATAAGCAAATTAAGAGCGGGAAGTGTCAAGAACCTGATAAGTGAAGTGAGGGGTGGCCGGCTTGCCATCGATTGGCGGTTCCTCGTGGCCCGCAAAATATTGCTTGGATACCTTGTTTACCGACTCAGGGCATTCGACACTGTAGACCAGTCGGAAGTGAGACGCGATTGGGGAAAATCTGCGTGGCATTAGCGAGATTCCAGCGTCCTCGATGCGGTTTCGTCGGCAACGCTCGGCAGAACCCTTGCACGTTTAATGACTTACCAGCTTGACAGTTAACGTTGGTGATTACGAGCCGAACATGACATGAAGATTATATGTCTGCATGGGACGCGCGAAGTGATAGCTGCAATCCAAAAACAAGGAGCCCCTTTTCTAGCTGAGCTCCAATTCAGGGTCGAGGTATCAAGAGACCTCAGGCTCCGCTTCTAACCGACATTCCATGAGTCCCACCCCATAACGCGCAAGAGCGTGTACCGACCAGGGTCAGGTTGTTCTTGAAGAGGGATGAGCGAGATCGCAGATGGGTGAGCAAACATCTGATAATCGTGGTTTATAGTAATACTCCGTCACTTTGGATGTTTTTAGTCCACCCCCTTTCATACTCCTAACTAGCGCAATTTGTCTCGTTAAATAAAGTCTACACTTCAAGGAAGTCCAGGTCCAACGATGCCTAATTGTAAGTATCAATGGTCATGCCACCCTGATAGCACCTAGCGCGTTCTAATTGCATTCGACTCACAGACCTCTTTGGGGGTACATGTCTTCTAGCGTCCTATCACGCTATACATACATACCTCGGGCTCGGCATTTGGTATTGTATGGGCTCAGTTCTACCGATGAAATATGACACCATCTTGAATTCAATATTCAATTCCAGTCACAACTCCAGCGGCGGAGCTACGTGTCTTTGAACTTCCGCCTACAAGTCTGAGATCAACAAATATTGGCATGTTCTCCGAGGAGAACTCTCAGGCGTATAAGAATCAGTGACCCCTGGCTGTGTAGAGCAGGTACGCCTTGAGAAGATAGCTCTCTGGACCCGGGTAAAACTGAATAGACTGAGATCATAGTCTCGGAGATTGGTAGACATCAACAGCCCCGTTTCGGGATTGAAGTGGAATTAGGCACATCCGAACATGCGCTTCTCTTCGAACTCAAGATCTAACCAACATCGAAGACTCATCTCAGTGACGCGCTCAACAGATTGTGTATGTCAGACCTCGACTACTCGGAGATACTTGCTGATCACGCTCACAGCCAGCTCGAATCTCGTACCTTATTGGATCACATCATTCCGTCACAATACTACGATGGGCACGCACTCTATCGACTTGAACAGGGATAACCAATAGCTCTAGGAAAGTCTCTTGTACTAACAATGATTTACGACCATTCTCAGCTCCGATCGGTATCATCTCAGCATGAAGATAGACGCCATTGCCTTGTTCTTACCGGCGGGCCTATCGAGCCGTACCAACTTTGGATTGCTATAAAAATCGTTCAATTTCAATGTTAGGAGCACAGACGCCCCCTCTCCCTGCGCCTCCTGAACCAGAATCATGACATCTCTCCGACTTCAAGCTATTATCGATCAGGCATCTGCCCTTGCCATGCTCTCGCCAACGCGCTGGACGTTGATCCTGGCAACAGGTGTAGCGGCTCTACCCCTGATCCTCGTCCAGTGGAAGAGATTCAGCAGACCTCCTCTACCACCTGGCCCGCCACGCCTCCCTATCCTTGGCAATGTCCTTCAAATACCCGCGAAAGAACCATGGAGGGTCTACAAGGAATGGGCCAAAAGCTACGGTACGTTCGAGCCCAGTGGTCCACCGTATGATCCGTGCGCAGCTTAACTTCCTCCTAATAGGCGACGTGATGCATTTGAAGGCAGTGGGAGACACGTTCATCATCCTCAACTCTCTCACCGCCGCCTTGGACCTCCTCGAGCAAAAAGCGGTGTTCTTTTCGAGTCGTCCCCGGATCATCTCGTTTGATTTGTGAGTTCTGTCAATCACCCACCACGACTGTCGGCGTTTCTGAAAACCTGTATAGGATCGGACTCAACTGGGCTCTTGGAGCTTTGGGATACGGACCAAAATGGCGTGCAGCTCGCAAGGCGTTCCACCAACACTTTAACCAGCACGAGATCAAGAGCTACCGCCCAATCACCGAGCAAGAGGGACTGATTTATCTGCGCCGCATTGCAGAGCATCCAGAGCAATTCCGTCAAGCGACTCGAGAGTGCGTACTCGTATGCTCTCTCGACACAGGTGGATGACTAACTCTTTTACCATAGCTTCTATGGCAATGTTCTCATGAGGATCTCGTACGGCGTTAACGACGTCGAGTACAACAGGAAGCTCCTCAGGAACGCTGAAGCCATCGTGCAATGTCTCTCCGAGTGCATTCTCCCAGGTCGGTTCCTCGTCAACGTCTTCCCTTGGCTTCGACATTTCCCTTCATGGTTCCCCGGGACGGCGTGGAAGAAGAAATTCGCGGAATACTCTGCTGCGAGCGACCTTGCCCTCGTCGGTTCGTTCAACGATGCACAGGAACGGGCGGTATGTCACTGGCTCCTTCGAACTCTCGCATCGATACTAACCCCGGGTACATGCTAAAGAGGAAAGGTTATCAGAGCGAATTCCCTAACGTTGCGACCCGCCTCATCAGCGAGTTCCCTGACGAGAAGGACAAAGACTATCAGCTACAGCTCGACGTTGCTCGTGCCGTTACTGCTGACGCGTTCGTTGGTGAGCTTTACCCCTCCTATCTTCAAGATGTAATTGAAGTAAACGTTTGCTTGGTTAGCTGGTTCGGATACGGTGCGTCCTTTACACCACCTTCCTCAGTGTCGAAACCTCTAACAAATACCTTCAGAGCGTGAGCTCCACATATGCTCTGTATCTGGCTCTCGCTATGTACCCTGAGGTACAGCGACGGGCTCAGAAAGAGATTGATACAGTCGTTGGGTCGCATCGGCTACCGACGTACAACGACCATGCCCGGCTCCCCTACCTCCAAGCCATCATTAAAGAAGTGTTTAGATGGCACACTACGGTTCCACTCGGTCAGTATTGCAGCTCCTGGGCATCCAGACTGTCACTGACTCGATCCAGGGCTGACGCACGTCTCGACGGAGGACTACGTCTACAAGGGGTACTTCATTCCGAAGGGCAGCAACATCATGACCAACGTGTGGTATGCGCAATTTATACCCCTCCATACCCAATTTCAACTCCCATTTGCAGGGCGATCATGCACGATCCAAACGTCTTCGAAGATCCTTTCGAGTTCAAGCCCGAGCGTTACTTGAAGAACGGCCAGATCGATCCTACCGTGTTGGGACCCGAGTCGGCGGTCTTTGGTTTCGGTCGCAGGTGAGCATTCCCTCAATTCCAATCACTACATACGATCGACATCATACTGACTGGCTATCACTCCCTAGAATCTGTCCAGGCCGTCATCTTGGCAGGGACTCCTTAACATACGTCGCCGCTTGTCTATTGGCGTTATTCGACATCAAGCCTCCCAAAAACGAAGCTGGAAACCCAGTTAAGCTCGAGTTGAAGGTGACCTCGGAGCTCGCTAGGTCAGTGCAACAGCTTTTCGTTGCGTCAAGGTTTACTCACTTGGTGCCACTTGACAGCTCGCCTCAGCCATTTGAAGTGGAGATCGTCCCTCGGTCCCCACAGCACCTCTCCCTTCTGCGTACAGAGTGATCAGTCCATTCAAAAGCGGTGCTATTGAGCGCTGGCTGTGTACGATAACAGCGCGAAGTGTATCTATGATATATGAATCTACGCCTTTCTCCACCTGACCAAGCTGACCTTATTATGAACAAGAAAGGTGTTAAAATTGACAATTTTTACTAGCGTACACTAGCGTACAAAGGTACTTCAATTGTCGAGCGTTGTCACGAAGGGCTTCAAATCTCGTCATCTGTGGGTTCGCGGTGTAGTCGAATTTAAAAGGAATGTCCACTGGCCTATGAAACTCACATTCTAACTGAAATCCCTTCAACCGACACCCCTTGTCTGCTCTACTATGTTCTTCTCAGGAACAGAGAGTACTTACTATGGCACAGATGGCCACGGAAGCTTCAACCAACCTCTCGACTACAATTCTCATTATCTCTCATCGTTTATGCCTCTCATGGCGAGCGCTATGGGGGAAACATCGACGCCAATGGCACCACCCGACACATCTGGACCTGCAGAAATACTGACCCTTGCAGGCGTCAATCGAGGTATAGCCTCCTCACCACGGAGGGGCCTCGCTGCTACATCGACATCCGCAACTATCATCCACGAACTTGCGTGTTACCGCTACTCCCAATACCTGCAACGTTGGGCACACATTTCACTCGATACCCAGCACGAAATCAAGACCTTGGTTGATGACTGTACGAAGGAAACTCCCAATTCTGCACAGATCTTCTACTGGAACCTCGACGCCAAATTACCTGGAGCCGAAGAGCGCCTAAAGTCTGCTCTGCGCCACACAGAGGAAAAGGTCGCGACGACACTCGGCGATACTTCACCTGGTCCTTGCTTCATCCTGCTTCGAGGCGTAACCCGAGATGCCTTCAATATTATGCTCGAAGACGAGTGGGTCAGGCAACATTTCAAAATCGTCCCCAGGTCGCACGAGAAATGGCCAGAGAAGGCAACATACGGTTGCGTTACGCTGGTGTCGCACTCGTTGGTTGTGACACAAGCAAGCCTGATTGAATTCGGAAATTCTAAGGAGGGTGCGATGGCGCTGGCTGTTTCTGTATCGCTCGGTAGCCACGAGTGCGGAGAACAGAGGAGGCCAACGACTCTAATAAACACTCAGCTGGAGTCGGAGAAAGGAAACGACATCGAGCGCCGAGAGCAAGCCAAAATACTTCGGGAGAGGTGCAGCGGAGAATCGGGTATAGTCGTCGGCAGTTGGCAAGACTGTGGGGCATATCGCGAGGGTGATTTGCAGGATGCCTCTGACTCCGGGTCCACAAACCATCCCCACGAGAAGAATCAGGCTGCATCGTCGAAGATTCTATACCTTCCAGGAAAAGGCTACACTGTCGACAGTCCCATTGTCATCGGAGGCGGGAATGACGAGCCGGAGGAAGCCACTTTGTGCTGCTCGCATCTACCATTCGCTTCTGATTGAATAGAACCCCTCTGCGTGGAAGTCAGATTATCGTAGGAATATACGCTTGTATAACGTCCAACACGGCGATCGCTGCCCTGAGAACCAATGAATGCGAAGGAAACTCACATATCTTGTCAGTTTTATGGCTTCAACTAGCCGTCCTCGTTCTCCACCTTCGGGGCATCTGCCCTTCTAATACCTGCCAAGACGATCAAACATCAGCGCCAAGTGCCCTCATGTTGAGATGGAAACGCCGGGGGCTTCAGATCAGAGTCTTCGCGCCCAGAGGCCCAAGCCACTTCAAGCACTGCTTGGTCTTGGGAAATGTCATAATAGTAGACCGTCGGGCATGTACAATGTACACCCCAAGATTGACACCTGAAATATCAAGAAAACCGGGTAGAAAACCGACAGGGAACTCGAGCGCTGCCAGCCTACTTATGCCAGGCGCTGCCCCGCAGCACTTTTCTCCATTTAGCAAGCATGATTTCGATCCGAAATTGTGGGAGCGGCCAATTTTTCCCTCACACATTTCTTCAAGCTTTCCGGCGCTTGAACGGATTATTGCCTCTCTCAGCGCATCCATCACCACGGTTTGGTCGTGGCCGTCTCTGGCGTGCTCTTCCTCTGCTCTTTTTAAGAGCCTTGTGCTCTGAACCTCTTTCATCCGACGATCCGGCCTCTTTCTTCCCTCCTTCAAGACCCTCCAACGATGGCAAACGTCGTATCTTCATTTCTTGCCACGAATTCTAGACGTCGTATATTCTTGCTATTAATACCTCTAATTGTGAGTCCATTTGGTTTCTCAAACTGCTATGAATGATATAGAGACTAAAGCAAACCGCTTAAACCCCTATTCTAATACCCCTGGATCTCCGAAACCGCTTGTGACGAACCAACGAACAGCTAGCAATCCACTTCCTCTTCGGGGCCCTCTCGCACGACTACCAGCCACTCAGAGAATATGCCGTCTCAGCAGCAGAAAAGTTCCTATCAACGCCAAATGCACGGGCGAACGCGACGTTGTTGATGCTATGCAGGAACAGTGAGCTGGAAGGGGTGCTGTCCAGTGTGCGGCAGATCGAGGATAGGTTTAACCGAAAGTTCAACTATCCGTGGATATTCTTGAACGACGAGCCATTTACGGACGAGTTCAAGCAGTGCGTTGTCCACCTTTTCTCCGTTGTTCTCGTGCTGGGCGGTTGGCGCGCCACGTTCGAAAGGCGCCCAACCTGGACCCTGACTGACCGAACGCGTACAGGAGAGTCTCGATATTGGCCAGCGGCACAGTGCAATTTGGGACAATCCCTGAAGAACACTGGAAACAACCAGATTGGATTGACGAGAAGAAGGCTGCGGCGGCGAGGGCGAAGATGAAATCCCAGAGGGTGCCCTATGCAGGTGCGTTCCCATCGACCATCGGTTGTTGAGGAATTCGTTGCTGATACCTCTTCTCCATTGTCTAGACAGCGTGTCGTGAGTAGCAACAATGTGTTTTCGCCAATGACAATATTCTGATACGAACGACTTTGCGAAGATACCGGAATATGTGTCGGTGGAATTCAGGCGTGCGTGTTTCACCCACTCGGCGAACTCGGATGTGGGCCTAACCATCCACCTCGTTCACAGTTCTTCTACAAACACGAGCTTTTGCAACCTTATCGCTACTATTGGAGGTGAGTGGCCGTTTATCGTCCGACTTCCAGCGCGAGTTCACACCATCTGTCAACAGAGTCGAGTATGTCCCGAGTCCAGACCTACAGCGCGCCGTTTTCTAACCGACAGGACAGACCTGACGTACAATACTACTGCGACCTCAACTATGATCCCTTTGTGTTCATGCGCGATAACAACAAGGTTTATGGTGCGTCGCCTTTGCAAATCCCCTCTGATATCGTCCCATTCATTTCCGTTGATTAGCGTTTACGATCTCTTTAATTGAAATCCCGGCCAGCGTCCCGACGCTATGGGATACTGTGAAAGGTGAGTTTGGTCCAACGATTCCCATTACCCTCCATCTCACATCCCCGCAGAATTTATGAAAGAATACCCCCAGTACATCCACCCCAACAACACCATCAGCTTCGTCTCAGATAACGGTGGAGAGGACTACAACCACTGCCATTGTACGCCGACGCCCCTTTTCCCCATCCTGGCCCAATTCCGATTGACTGCATTTAGATTGGAGCAACTTCGAAATTGCGGACATGGACTTTTACCGAGGCGAAGCATACACGAAATTCTTCGACTTCCTGGAGGCTAAAGGCGGTTTCTACTACGAGGTTCGGGTCTCCCCTTCTCATGCCCTTGCTGATCGCTGAACATCCCCTTCTTTTCCCATTAGCGATGGGGCGACGCACCAGTCCACAGCATCGCCGTATCCCTATTCACCTCGAAGAAACAGCTCCACTACTTCCGCGACATCGGCTACAAGCACGACTCGTTCGGACACTGCCCAAAGGGCTCTGAATGGTCAAGTGGGAAATGTACTTGCAAACCTGATGAATCCTTCAGTGCGTAACATAACACCTCTTTACATCTTGATCTTCCGAAACCATGCATCTCTGACCCTCTCTCTCACACACAGACAAGGGCGGCCACTCGTGTACTTGGGGATGGATACACCTCGTGCATTGACGACTTTTTTGTATGCTATGCGAAACGACAATTCATGGATCCAGACAATATATCTATATAAACATATCTATATACCCCCTTCAAAAACCGTTGTTCCCAGTACGTTAGAGACCCCTTCGCGCTTTCGATTTTGTTTGTTGTTTTGATAGAAACTCTTGGGTTTATTGGGCGTCTAAATTATTACTTTTGGTTACTGGACAGGATTGCGCATAGGTTGAGAGAGAGGGAGAGAGCGAGAGAGAGAGAAGAGAGAGAGAGAAATCGCTGCATTTCACTTGACTTGTTTTCATAGAGCAACTTGATTGAGGTGGCTGGGCGCTCCTTATTTACTATGTGTATGGAGGGAGGTATCACAGTAATTGTAGTCCGTGTGTGTAACGTACTACGCGGAGATAATATGTACATCGCTTTTTGTGTTGAATCTTGTAGCGAGGGAGAGGTGGGATGGAGGGGTATAGAGAGGGGTATACTAGGTAGACGGGTGGGTGGAATGAAATAGAGATAGAGATAGGGAGACGGATGGTCCGGGATGGATGAGCATTGAGAAAGAAAGAGAGAGAAAGAGATGGAAATATATATTAGGGGTGTGTGCGTATACTAGAGATGGAGCGGGGTGGGGGAGAGAGGTGGTTGGGCGTTTGTCTGGTACGCAGATAGTGGAGGCAGTGTTATGGGTATCGTGCTTCTGCGTAATCCTCCGTGGGTGGGGGTTTGTCCGATGGCGCATAGATTGAGTGCACGAGAATCGCAACTCTAAGCTGTCGCCCAATCCTACAAGCACAGGAAGTATCATAGTCTAGTTGGCGCTAAAACCATGAAAAGGTACCTGGTGAGACAAGCTGGTGCGACTAGAATGCTAAGCTACTCACCAGAACGTCATTTTTCATGGCATTAAAACAGGCCACAGCACTTGGGATCGTGTGTATCCTCCTCCGACTGTTCCATTCTTGAAGGCGGCATCGGAGTCGCAGGCACCCCTTCACTCGCCCGATCCACCAACAGCTGTACCATCCTGAGCGCCTTTTCCCTATCATCTTCTCTGACGCCAATCTCCATCCTCCCATGCCCATCCTCCCCCCACCGTTCAGTGAGGGACCTCCAATGGTTTTCCAAGCGCGTTACTTGATTATCGGAGATCGTACCTTGCTGCGGGGATACGATGCCCAGGACGACGTTGAGCGCATTGGTCTGGGAGCCAGGCAAGACGGAGTCAAACCAGCGAATCAGGGCGTCAACGTTGCTCTCCACGGGGCTGCAAAATCTGCTCTCGGCAAGGTAGATGATCCCAGCGACCTTGACTCCGCTAAAAAGTGCCAGAGCGTGAAAATGTCAACACGAATATTCTGGATGCGCAAGCAAAAAATAAAAAAGGAACGTACTTGTCCCGTATCCAGTCGCAAATCATCTTCTGCGCCCTGGAGGTGCATATTTCTTCATGATCGAAACCCAGCGTTTCGACGAGGACTACTCGACGATTTGCAGGTGACGGGATCAACAAACCCGCTCGGGCTGCATCCGGAATTGGATAGGCAGCTGCAGTAACTGCCAGTTGAGGCGATGGGTTGACAATACTGCTCTCAACCGCTGGAAGCCTCACGTTTTCTGGCGTAGAATCTGTTTGGACGCAATTTCTGATGAACTTTATTGAGGACGAAACACCTTGCGTCAGCCCGATTCACTTAGATCCAGTTATATCACACTGACTGTGCTTTTGCCTACGCCATAGAGCCCGGCAACGCTGAGAGCACAGAGGTCAGCGGCGCGGATAAAGATGTAGGGAAGTGCAACATACAGAATGACGATATCGGACGGGTCAACTGGCACGCCGCCTTTGCTTCCACCGCTGTGGCGTCTGCTCTTCTTGTGGCCCATGTTGGAATCGTGCTGCGGCGAGAAATACTAAAAGAATGACCGGGCTGGGATGACTGGGGAGCTTGCTGAGATCTAGCTGGCAAGCCAACACAAGGTTGTGGTCCTGTGGACAGCTGTAAAGAGCTGGGGTGAGGCCACTATGAAGCATTTATATCCCTATTGCGCCACCGCAGATAGAGGCCGGAAGGCTGTGACAGTGATGAAGGTGACTCAACTCGAAATGGGCGGCGTGGGGGCAGTGGGAAGTGACATATTCCCCAATCTTAAGAAGAAATTATATAGTACATATGTCGAGGAACTTGAAGATCATGGAACTCGCCCGACATGATTGATGGAGCTTGGCTAAATAGGAGGATCTTTCAGGGATTAAGTCGGTGATAAGACCTTGTGATGCTACATGTACGACAAATTGAATGAATCTAACAGGGTGCTGTCAACACGAGGCTCGCTCGCGGGAGGGAAGCGAATATATCAAGGTCACGTACCTCTCAAAACGTTCCTAGGTTCCGGGGCTAGAACAAGGAGAGCTCCATACAACAACTAAAAACCTACGGCGAGAAGTTATACTTCCTACTCGCCAACCTCTCAACCAACTTCGGAGCCACCCAATACAAAAGGTGTGCAACCCTCATCGAGGCCGGCATAAACACCGTTTTCTCCCTCCGATCCACAGCCTCCAAACACCTCCTCGCCACATCTTCCCTCTTCAGACCATGCTTATTGGGATCCTTCTCCCGCACAGGTCCAGCATCCACAGCAGACGCCCTAAAATCGCCCTCAACGGTGGAAGGCATCACATGCGAGAACGTGACCTGCGGGTGCTCGATCGCGAGCGCCTGATACAGAACGAGCGATGCAGACTTGGTCGACGCGTAGAGCGCCCGTGTGGGTGCGGGGATAACGGAGGCAAGCGAGGACACGAGGAGGACCGCCGGGGATTTGGAGGTTGCTGACAAAAGGGGGATAAAGGTTACCGCTGCGACCAGGGGTCCGATGTAGTTCCCGTTGAGCGCTGCGAGAGCGACAGACCGCGTCCTCTGGATGCCCTCTGTCGTCGTGTGCGTCGAGGTGAGCTCGCTGCCTCGGACGTCAGCTCCCGCGATAGCCAACAAGGGCTGTAGAGCTGATACACCGGCAGCTACGATGAGCGTGTCCAAACCGCCCCATTCTACAAATTCCATATTCAGCACGGATCACTGCAGGTCAAAGAAACGACTTGCCAGAATTCAATAGCGCCCTCAGCTGCACCATTTCATCGACATTCGTAAAGTCGCCTTTGAATTCCATAACGTCTCTGCCTCCAACTTGTCTACATTCTCCAGCAACTTCATCAACCAACTCCTTCCTCCGTCCAACCACACAGACTCGAGCACCCCTTTCCGCGTACTGTCTCGCAATCGAGCGTCCAATCCCACTAGAAGCACCCAAAACAACAACCCGCTCCCCATTCCTTGGTACCTTCGTTGAACGGGCTGGTTTGGCGTTCAGAACCCTGTAAACGCCGTATAGAATCGGTAGAGCTGCTAGGACACTGCTGCAAGGATGGGAAGTTATAGCTGTAGCAAGCCGGTCGGTCCAATCCCTCGTAGCCATCGTTCAAAACTGGTAGTCGTCGTCGAAACGCGTCGTAAATGGTCGTGGTCGCTGAACAAGGTCTGACATTGTCAAGGTTGCCGGTCAAACTCGCTTTCACGCGCTTCAGCCCTCGAAGTTTAAGACGCCGGCCCGGGGAAAAGGGGGCTATAAATACAGTACTCAGCCCTAAGCCGATTGAACCATAGATAGATTGAAAAAAAGAGTGTGTATACAAAGGATATCAAAAAAAGAATTAGTAAACTAGAAAAAAAAGACAATAGGTATCATAGCTCAAATCTCTACAACTCAAAACCTCCTCTGCCCACCCCCACCAGCCATCAACCCCTCAATCGAATGATGCTCAAGCTCATTCCTCGCCTTCAAAATCTGCGCATGCATCTCCTTCATCGCATTCCCAAGCTTAACCCCAAACCGACTCAAAATCTCCTTCTGCCACGCATCATACTTGGCATTCACCCGCGCCTGCACCTGCTCATAGTCAATCACACAAACACCAAAGTTCTTGCTCGTCTCGCTCGTGTCGAATGTTGTACGCGCTTTCTTGATCTCGGTGAGGAGTTGTTGCCAGTGGGCGAGAGAGTCGCCGAGTCGGTTGAAGACGTAGTCGGCTTCGAGGTCCCAGAGGGATTGGAATTGTAGCCATTTGCCGACGTAGGCTTTCAGTTCTTGGACTTTGGTCTCGATGAGCGCGAAGGGTTTTTCGAGGGTCGCATCGGGGAATTGGGTGAGCTGGAGTAACACGTTAGAACGCCTGGCCTTGGGAGAAAAAGATGAGAAGCGTACGAGTGATGTGTAGGTAGTTTCAACGGCAGCCGAACGTTGCATCTGCAAGCCAATCTCATATCTCGAACTCTGTATCCGTCGAAGGCGGCACACAATCCCCAACCAATCATGCAACTGCTTAATCCACGAGGCACGAGCATACTCGATTGGAGGATCCAAGAAAATGACCTGGTTCTGTATCCGGATTTCATGCACAATAGGCTTGAGGACCATATGGTGCTCCAAGAACTACAAAACACAAACATGAGAAGGCGGCGGAAATGAACGAATAAGCCACTATACCTTCTCCTCTTTCAGCCTCTTGTCGCCACGTCGCTTGCCCATCAGATCCCGCGAAGCAAGGATATCACGTCGATCCTCATCTGTTCGGTCGAATTCAGAGCACCAGACTTGGATGATCTGCGTGAGTCGTTGCAACAGGATACCCTCTATCCGTTTGTCGAGCTCAGCGACCCAGTGTTCAAGGTTGGCATAACCCTCCAAGTTGAGTCGATCAATCTAGACACCAATCATGAGGCAGGGATCGCAACATGATGAGAAGGCACCACGCACCGCAGCTTGAATCCTGTTCAAAAGTTCAGAGAAGGCTTCTGTGGTGTAAGAACATGTTGCAAGGTCTTCCACTGCGCGGAGGATATCCTTATACAAGTCGATCACATTGTTCGTCTTGTCCTATGCCAGCCGTTAGCACCCCGTCCATCACGACACAGATAAAAACGAACCTGCAACACCGACACCACACTCGCAAACTCCCGCACAAACTGGATATGGCGATTGTCCCTCCCATCCGAACTCGAGACATACCGCGAGGTATCATACTGATTAATGAAATAATCCCAACGAATATTCATACCTGCCACCTCATCAGCCTCCATCTCTGGACCCCCAAAGCAAGATAAAACTCACCCTTGCTAATCATCCTCTGCGACTCATTCCTATACTCCGCAACCAACCACTCAATCCCCTTATTCTTCTCCACAAGATCCAGCGTCTGCCCATACGTCCTAACCGTCTCCATCAAACTAACAGCATGCGGATACACCCTCTTCGCATCCTTCGCCATATTCGTAATCGCATGCGGCACCGAAAAATTCAACCACAGCAAATTCCTCACTTCCTTGAACAGAGTGATGATCTGCGGGTCGAAATTCACGGCGAGTTGATAGCCTCCTCCACGGAGCCGCACGATCTCGAACAAGCGACCGTCAACGCCCATGTTGCGTCGATTGATATCGTGCAGCCATGCTTCGAAGACAGGGCGCGTTTCGAGCTTCTTGCGGAAGGCGGCGCTTTCGGATTGGAGTTTCTGGCCTTCGGCATAGAGCTCCCAGCCTTTACCGAGGACGTCTTCGACACGCTTCATGTAGGCGAGGAGTTGTCGTTCGATTTGGCGAGCCCAGATGATGGCGCCGGCGATGGGAGGGAGGTCGCGCATTTGGGACATGTGGTACGCTTCGGAGTAGCGGTATTGGGTCTTGAACTTGTCGTGTAGGTGCTTGATGTCCTCCTTCACCGAGTCGATGAGCTGGGTCTGATACTCTTGAATGGCACCACGGATCTAGCGATGGGGTCAGCATCAAGTGTACTTGATCGTCGATGTAAGCGAGTACCTTGGGGCGAACAAAAAGAGCGTTAAACTTGGAGAAGACACGGAACATCTCGTTGGCGTTCCTAGCCGTTCCAAGACGGTCCCTCAGACGAGCGATGATCTGGTTCTCCACCCGTGACACACGCTCATTGTAAGCATGCTCAGCGGCAGCAAAGATCTCGTTGCCCTCTGTTCAACCACTATCAGGACTGGGTATACCACTCGATGACGAAAGAGCTCACCAACAGAGACGTCAAGAACATCGATCCGCTTCATGATCTCGTATGCCTCCTTGACCTCCTCCTCCATGTCCATCCCGCCTACATCCATCCCTGTGCCCCCGAGACCCTTCGTAGGCCCAGTCATGACAGCCAACTGCTCATGCTGCTTCCTCCACTCCCGCAGGTAGCGGGTCCGCTCCTGCAGTTTCGCATGTGCAGGTTGGATCTTGATCGGGATGAACTTCTCTCCTCTCCTTCGGGTCAACTCACGAGCGACGTTCGTGAATTCTTTGATGTGCTCGTCCCATGTCTTGAAGATGTTGGCAGTTTGAGAGAGGAGGCGTTCGAAGGTATCGTATGGTGTGTAAGGGAGTCGATGGGAGGTGAGGACGCGGAGGAGGACGTCGTTGAAGTCGCGAGAGATGGCTTCGACTAGGGGTAGTGCACGTCGAATGGGGTATGGCGACAACTTCAGCTTCCTGTTGATGTGCCCGAAAATGAGGACGAGGGATTCTTGGATCTTGTCCAGATCCGTCGCGGAGAGAAGGTCGTTCAGGGGGAAGTCCTTCATAAGCTGGTTGTACTTGTGCACCTGGTCCGTGGCGTCCTTCAGACCAGTGTCAGCGATGAAACTGACAGTAGCACGGAACCGTTTGGCGTTTCGAAGGCAGTCCATGACCATGTTGACCTCCTCCGTGCGTAGCTGAGCTTCGATGTTCTCCAAAGCTCGCTCAAGGGACAGCCAGAAGTTGATCTCTTGCGACGCGGTTCCTGAGGCGACATCACGAGTAAGTTTGGTGACTGCTTGGATAGACTTGATCCATGAGTTGACGTTGTTATGGAGGGCGTTGAGGAAGCTGCTGTCGTTCAGGAGTTTCGGGGGTAGGTGAGAAATATTGGGCCGTACACCAGCCTCTTGAGCCTGCTGCACGGCACGCTGGACAACTGGATGGATAACGAGTTGGGTTTCGGGGATTTCGACGTTCTGTTGCAGGTGAAGAAGGGATAATTCGAGCTCCGCGAACTTTTTCTTCGTCATTGGGATACCCAGTTTCGAGTCGCCGTCCTTGCCCCCGCCCCTGGATCCCACAAAGGCATCAAACCACGGTTTTACACCATGGCTCACAAGAGCGTGTAAGCTCTCGTACGGTGTATCGTCTCCGGCGAAAAGGTTCACGAAATGAAGCTGCATGGCCAGTGGTGTTGTAGGATCGAGGGTGGGCCCTCGCTTGATCAGGGCGAGTGTCGTTACATGTGATGGATGATATGTCAATTGGGAGGTTAGATGGTACGAATAGATTGGTGGTGCATCATCTATAGATTCACAATTAACCTTGTTCCTTCTAAATGCAAAATGTTACTAACCTTCTGAATCCTCCTTGACCTTCACGACATAAACGACTCCCCCGCTCTCGTTGGCAAACCGTGTCACTCTCGCGTTGAACTCGTCATCGAACAGAGATTCCAGGTCTGCTGGCGCAGCGCCGATGACTGGCGGTAAAAGAGCAATCAGGTACGCTCGGAAAAGCTCTGGGTCGAACGGTGTGGCAGAAGACGATGGCTCCGGGGTCAAACTCTCGTGGCTGGTCGACCCGTTGGTCGACGGTATCGTGTCCATATCGGTAGTACAGAGTCCAGTCTGCTATTTCTCCAGATATTAAGCAGGCCGATGGTCGTTTAGGCCCTGTTATGGGTCGCCGCGCGCTCGAGAATCGTCAAGGCTGTCGTTTCGTAGAAAACGTAAGGATAATCGCTATTCAAATGATTATTAGACTGCTTAATCCATTTCAGCAACATAATGTAGCTTACTGACGGTCGTTCGTGTACCAACTTCGCCTCAGATTCTTGAGAAAACAGACTTTTCCCGTTGCTTGTAGATGGCGGCTCTGGGCTGGACGCAGAACGTTGCGACGCGACTGCTACGAGCGGACTCTGAAATCTGCCGCCCCGATTTGGACATAACGTCCCTGTAGGCTGTCTCCCCTTGTGCCTCCAGAGTTTCCCTCGAAGCCCCTGTTCCCGTTACTGAGAGTAAAGGGTAGTTAAAAATATGAAGTTAATGTGGTACATAAAGCTTTGGTGCCATGGAAGCGGAACGACAAGGAGTCGGCTTCAATGCAACCAATCGTAGCCTAAACTTGACACAGGGAGGCCACACGCTTCTGTGTGCAGCCTTTCTGGAAGACGCCCATTCAAGCTCAAGCTTAACCCATGTTCTGGGTGAGATAGACGGGGGAAAATTAAGCGCATCCTGAGACCAGGCACAAAAAGCTCACTTGCTTTTCAGAGACGGCCAATTAAAATTCCGCGCGAGACCTCACTTACAGATATCATTTGTATGATGCACGAAGCAGAAGAGTATAAGCCTCCTCTCCGGGTGAGAACAGACCGTGATATCCATATGAGGTCTGCTCGCCTTTAATGTAATCTTTGAGCCACTAAAGCGAGTTTTAGGCAGTGGTGTGAGTAAATCAGGCTCGGGCGCTTAATTTTGTCATGCAATAACAGATGGACGTAAACCAAGTACGGAGAGGAATAAGTACTGTAACATACGATTGACCTGGATCTTTACATGTGTATGACCATCAATACACTATGCGGCTACTACTACAGTCATCCCTGCTTGACTCTCCACGGTACCGTCGAACCCCAAGGGCACCTTTACTTGGGACTCCAAGCCCAGGTGACCGAGCCCGCATCAGGGTCCTGCTGCCATATCGTGCCATACCTCGAGCGCACAATCGATCCCCTATCCGTCGCAATCCACGAATGATCATTATTCGTGCCAAAAGCCGCAAACTGCAGCCCATCGTCGCTCATAACCAACACATTCAGCGTCTTCGCAGAGTCAAACAGGCTCGCAATCCCGTCGGGATTGATATAATTGATCCACCACTCGTCGTTGACTTTCTTCACGTGGCCAGCGTCGATCGGCACGGCTATGGCTTTGAAGGCGTCCAGGATGGACTGGGCCGCTGGGTCGGGGAGCGCGCCGTCCTTGGCTCTCGCCGACATGTGCTGCATGTTGAATATCATGTACTTTGTTAGATCCTCGACCGTCTTGATCTCCCCGGGCAGGTCTACCAGTGGCCCAGCCAAGGCCTTGGCCGCACCAACGGGGGTGAAGAGGAGCGCAAAGTCGGTGAGCACGTCGGCGAGCATCCATTCGGGTTTGAGGGCGACCAAGACCCAAATCTTTTTCCTGCTGCCGTTCGCCATGTAGACGCTGTGAGAGGATCCCATAACTTCTGTAGCACATTCGTCAGTATCTTGTAACTGGGGCAGTCCGAGTCGCGAGGAAGGCGAAATACCTCGAGTAGAGTGTTCCTGAAGAGGATTTCAAAGGATTTCGAGCTGGAGAAAAGCTGAAGGACGGCTCGAGCCTTTATAACTGGACCAGCTCTCCCTTTCTGCATCACGCTGCATACCGAGAAAATCAGGGGACGTTCCCGTCCACAAGCAAGCTTTCACAGCTCTGGACAGTTCTATCTGTCACTTTCCGGCGCTAGATTTCACCGGACTCGTCTGCGGTCTGCGGTCTGCTATCTTGCCACTCGAAACACAGGGATTGGTGGCTGTCTCCTGTCGTTCCCATGTATTCGTTCTCCCATGGATCAGGGCGGAAAATGCACACCGCTGGTGATTTGGCAGGTGGAATACTTGAGCGGCGACCTCACCCAATCGCGCAGTCCTAGAGGAACAGCCTGGAAATCCGTGGTGAATTAAACAGGCTTGGTCGCACAAATGAGAAATGACCAATAGACCTATCAGCGATCGACCAGCCGTCGGGCTACTCTGGAAATTTGCTGAGCTGACCAGGTGGACGTAAGATGTCATCCCAAAGCGAGGGGAACCTCACTGCCCAAACTCGGACCATCTCCTTCCCAATTTCCTTATCATCCGTCGCCTTCCAATGTCCTTAAACCCTGAACCAGCTGACTTGTGGCATCCGCTAACTGTCCACCATGCCTGACGTCCAGACTTGATCGCCCTGCGCCGCAATTGTTCTGACATTCAGCGCGTACACGCGTACATGCGTGGCTGCACCCATATCTATATTTGGAGGCAACGAATGAGTCTTTCACATAGTGCATTATCGGCGAACGTTACTGACCTCCCATTCTCAGCGAGTTTTTCCTCTGCCAGGTGACACCAATTAACCGAATCCATCATGGCACGATTGTCGGGGTCAGCCCAGCACCGTGACACTAACTGTCTGTGAAACACGTAAATAACTCATAGTCTCTGAACAGTCTAGCCTCATTCGACGGTGCCTTGGGATGACGTGAAGGACGGAGAGAGACCCGCAAGACTGCAAGAAGTGAGTGTCGCAAGGCGAGGTAAGAACAAGCCTGACGGTGAAGGAACATCGACACGGCTCGCTTGCATCACAGCTAGTCAATGAGTCAAAAGAAAATATATTTGGTATAGAGCTGTTAGATCAGATACGACCTCTCTAAACAGGGACACTCCATCCCTCAAACTCCTGTCGGCCAGTCTGGATGCTGATGATCGCATCCGACACGGCCTTTGCAACAGGACCGAGCCCGCCCTCATGCCGAGGCAGGGTCATATCCTTGCCCTCGTACCCAATCTTACCCACAGGACACACCACGACCGCAGTCCCCACGCCGAACACCTCAAGGAGCTTGCCCTGTTCTGACCAAGCGACGATTTCTGACATGGTCAGCACGCGTTCCGTTGTGTGGATCTTGAGGGACGAAGGTGTATTCGGGAGGTTGAAGGTATGCGAGGGCGAGGTGTGGGCCTGCAGGAGCTGGAGCACGGACGCCCGTGTGAGACCGGGGAGGATCGTGCCGTCGAGAGGGGGTGTGAAGGCGTCGAGGTCTGCCAGGCCATTTAAGATTAGTCGGACACATAGAATAACGGCAACACTCACCTCCATCGTCTCGCTTCACGATAACAAACACGTTCATCGCTCCCACCTCCGTGATCTTATCACCCAACAACCACAGAATCTGGTCATAGCCCTTCTGCAACGCCTCTCTCTGGGGTGCGAACCCAGGTGCGTAGTTCAAGCCCAACTTGTATCCACCTGTTCCACCAGGCCATGCACGCACAGTTTCGCTGACGGCGAGGAGGGAGATGGCACGGCTTTCTCCCTTGAAGTAGGGGCCGGCAGGGGTGACGACGGCGTAGATGAGCGCGCTATCCGATGCTGAGACACCTAGTGCGTCGCGGGTACCGATGATGGTCGGGCGGATGTAAAGACTGTAGCCAGGCTGTGTGGGTATCCAGCGCTTTTCAACGCGGACGAGTTGTTTGATGAGCTCGAGGAGGGCGGACGTGTCGAAGGGCTAGAAACGAAGAAAGGGATTGGCCAGGGTAATGGGTCAGGAATCGAGGATGACGTACAGGAAGGGCTACGCGAGCTGCCGATTGGGCCATGCGTTCCATGTTCCTTTCTGGCCTGAAAAGACGGGGTTCACCGTCGGGACCGATGTAAGCCTGAATCGATGTGAGCTACGCGCAACATAATACAGTAAGACGATATAACCTTCATGCCTTCGAATACGTTCGGGCAGTATTGGAAGCACGAGCTCATAGGGTCCAGTTCAAGGTTCGCGTACGGACGAATCTCAGGGGTTTGCCAGCCCGTCTTGGGGTTGTAGTGGACGGTGAGCATGTGGTCCGTCTTGGTCTATACAATTCCCTTCAATACGACTGAACTTGTAAATCTAAGACTATGAAACTCACCTGGCCGAACACCAAACTCTCTGGATCTGGCAGTGGCTTGAGAGTTTTGGCTAGGGTCACGACAAGCTTCGAAGCCTATCACTGGAACATTAGCTTTCTCACGTCAACATAGGGCGTCTACTCACATCCAACGGCGCATTTCCAACAACCTTTGTCGGAGCACCCGGTGAGCTCGAAGATCCGTTGGCCTTGGCCACTGCCGCCGTGGTCGTGGATGGAGTCTGGATGGCCATTTGCATGTAAATTCAGGCTTTAGAAGGTCAGGAGAGTTGAAGTTCAAGACCAAGTAAGTGGACGATGATCAGAAGTCGGAGAAAGGGAAAATGTGGAGGGGAGTCGAGAGCTGGAGTCATTTTGTATTGCGATCCCTGGTGCGATGGAAGATGCAACATCGTGGTCCCGGCAACCTCACGGGACGAAAATTGGCATCAATGATCGTATGCGATCGGAACATCATCATACCCAGATTTATCTTATCTTATCTTTCTCTGCGCTGACGACGGCGTTGGCCTAGCACTGTGTTGGCCAGACAATCTGGTTCAGTCCACTGTCAGTGCAACGTCGAGTACATTTCCAACGATAAATCCAACTTTAAATCAATTATCTTTCTTCTTCCAACCAGAGTCTGATGCAGTTTTCAACAACAAAACGCTTAACTCTGTCGGATCTCGGATCTGGCCATCTGCATATCGTTCAAAGACCGGATCCTTCTCGTATGCAAGTCGGGCGGTCGAAATCTACAAGGAAACATTGAAGAGGAGGAAGGGAACGAGCGTGTTGAACGGGTCATGATGCTCTCGGGATGCAATCGGAACACGGAATTACTCACCAATACATCTGCCGTCATCCCTGTAATTGGGGAGGCGCACGTTTGGAAATGGTGATCTCTCCATACAAGTCCGGGAGGAGAGTTGAAGACGTAGTCTTTATGAATCTATGCATAGGTTCAGCAAACGCTAGTGGCATGAAGAGGAAGTACGCACATGATACGTCATCTCGTATGGCCAATACTCGCTTCCATGCAGAACCAACTCCGAAGGAGGCATAACCTCACCAAACTGAATATCCGCCCAACGAGCATTCATTCCGAGCCCAACCTCTGAAATGGGCGTCGTTGGCTTGGGGTCTAGAATGTTTTCTAGTGGGTGCAGGAAGATCCGGTTGACCTCTCCTGGATTTGGCTTGAGTATCGGCAGCAAAAGATCGGGGCGCGAGGCATACGCAATGACAGGCGTGACTAAAAGACTGTGGAAGGGAAGGGGAGGCAGAGTTCCGAGCGTTCTTATAGACTGTGGCAGTGCGCCAGGGGTGCTTTTGGCGTTTACCGACGAGTTGTCAGGAGAGTCACGACCTGAGCATCGCCAACATGCTGTGCAGATATGGGAGAGGTGTCCAGGGAGAGGCAGTCCGATCTCTTCATGCGCCTCTCGATACTATGCGGGAAGGGTTCCATAAGAGCTATCATTGGACAAGAGATCGGAGAGACCTACAGCTGTGTGGATGATATCGACATCGTTCACGTCTCTCTTCCCACCTGGGAGCGATGTCTGCCCTCCATGGGTTCTAAGGTTCTTCCCGCGTGTCGTCAGGATCACATACAACTTCCTGCACGGTTTTTTCAAGGTGGTATCGTGGAATGCGCCCAAGCGAGGCGATGTGAGTGCGATCGACAACCATAGACAGTTGTACCCACCCATTTTCGCCATGCGGAAGTTCCAAAAGCAACGCAAGAACCGCAGCTTGTTTTAGCTTCGGATATGTATCTAAGCTTGGGCGAGTGGTCAGTTGAAAATCAACTTTGTGGTCAACAACTGAAAATGTGCCGACTGACAATTCTTTGTGTGGGCCTTCCTGGTTATCTGTATACAGCTTAAGCTGTTTCAACGCCTTCTCTAATTGATTTATATGGATGGTAGTGGTTTCAGAAACCGGGGTATCCAAAATTGGAGCAGATGTGCCCGACATAACGTCCTTATTCAGATTCTGAATACTACCAGGCAGAAGAATATCGGACAATCAGCAAACGAACTTCACACTCGAAATGAGCACTTACCGTTTAACTTTAAGCAGTTATGTTCTAATATTAAAAGAGGAATGTCAACCAGAGGCGAATGGCGTCGTGGTGGTAAGAAGACAACCTGGGTCCTTGACGTCCGGCACACCTCAAACCGAGGTGACCGAAGCCATCGGAGATAGGAGCGCCCGAGTCGGTCCACCCTCTCCTACAGGGAGCTTTCCCCTTGAATCCTTTAAAATAGGCGGATTTTGCCCTCAATGAATGGTCCTGTTTATCGAGCCTCTCAGTAAGGCCATCGCCGGGTCGACAACGCACCCGGAAGAGTTTCAACATAAGTACGTAGCAATTACGTCTACAAGCCCTTTGCCCGGCCACTACTAGGTCACTGGGCACACTTTCACGGTGACCGAGAGCTGGCCTCGAGGCTGCGAGGGTCATTTTGGAAGGACTTACCTGGGAGTTCAAATTAATTAATACTGGAGACATCGCCATGGTACCCAGAGAATGATTGAAAGAATCGGGATACCTGAAACGCTTCTGCTAATTATGATTCCGCCTCTTTGCCTCGTGTAGGCCATGCTTAGTCTGCGTTGTAGAAATCCGACCGGTTTTTTTAATAACAACTTGAAGTATGCGACATGGGAGAGAGAAAATTATCAGTTGATACCAAGCCATACACCTCGAAAACTATCGCCACTCAGCACATGTATCGCGCCATGTTCACCTTCAAGAGAGTAAGCCCACACATGGAATACTCGGTGAAGGTGGTGAGCACTGGAAAGTATACAGCAGTGGTGCTGTGTCTCAACGTTAGCCTTGAGGCTGCCACAAACATCGGGAAAGGGACGCTTGATGACACCGTCCTTGGCTTTCATTTTCATGGGCGCTACGACGGGCGCTCAATTTCATCCGTTATCGCCGACGAAGTCATATCGTATCGTTATAGGCCACGTCGATTGGCATTTTAGTCTCGTGACAAAGAGTCACTGAGTGAATATCTCGAACATCCTCTTTCCCCTTCGCCCTGCTCAGTGCACGCTGAAGATGGCTAACATGCTGGTTTGCCGCCGTGACTTATAATTGTCATCCTATGATCGATCAACCTGTCCTGTCCTCCATCAGGGCTCTGCCAGCGTGATCGCTTCTGATGAACCGACTATCTGGCCGAATCCCAAGGAACACTGCCTGCGGACTGGGCTGTAGGACCTTGCATCCGCCACAGCCCCCCGAAAGAGATGATCTGCTGTGAAGGGATCACCATGCATCCCACACCCACCTCTGAACGGCAAATAAAATCTTCGCCAACTCTCTCCCGCTCTCTCTCACCCCCATGACCTCTCGTGTCTCGTTCTCACCACATTAGCTACAGCTTGCCTCTCTATGACCTTCTTTGGACGAACGCGGAATGTCGTCGTCACGGGCGGTAATCTTACTGACAACTCCGGCTCGACGTACAATCATTACTACTCTCATGTTAACCTTGTCTATTTATGGGGACTCCTCCCTGCCATCGCACCTCTAACATCCCCAATAACGACTTTGCCCTCGGAGTCGCCCCCTATTCGACACGTACACGACAAAGTCGAGTCTTTCTCACCCGCCCAATACGGTCTCCAGTACATCCGAACGCTCGTCGAGCCATACGCGGGCGGGGTGCTCAAGCGGCTATACGACAAGCTGTGCAACCTGAAGAGCATTTTTCAGCTGGCTTACCTCGCCCATCGTGCTTGCCAAACTACACTCCTTGGGAGCATCGTCAAGAAAGATATCGAAAGCGAGGGATCGATGGACCGAAATGCTTCCCGAATGCACAGGGGACATCGTCCCACCATCTACACAATCCCTCACATCAATCCAGCTGGCTGTCCACGATACTTCGAATCCTACCTTGCGCTGGAAGAAACAACGAGGAGCCTCCCTACGTTCGGGCGGTACGGAAGCAGATCGACAGGGATGCGCGCGGATTGGTCCAGACACTCGCTGCTTTGAAAGTGTACGTCTTCATGTTTTCGCCTCGAGTACATTGCCCTGACTACGCCTTTTATTTCCTAGATGCGCCTGGAAGCACCAGGTCCTTGCATCTACCAGCGGGGTACCTCTCTCTATGGAGGAGCTACAGGCTTTCTTCGACGAGGATACCTTTCCCTTTCTGAAAGGCGTCGATGTCGAGTGTGTTGTGATCAGAGATCCGGTGGCCAATGACTTCCAGATCCCTATCCGTTTTGTTGAATCTCGCAGGGTACGAGGTTCGGCTTCGAAGCCATCATTCAAATCCGTTCTAACCCATTCTCCACAGGCGATGCACTATTTTATTGAACATGGATGTCGCGGGACTGAGGGCAGCGCCTTCATAGAATCCAAGCGATATCAGTTACACGATTCATTGACCAACCAAATCATCGATGATGCTGTCCATCCCAGCGTTCTTCAACCAAACCGCAGACTGGACATTAGCATAGTGGTAGAGAGACCCGCTATGCAGCCGGGACTCTGTCCAAAGTGCGATCTTCTGTATCCTTGCGATGACTCGGAATGGGCTAAATGGTAAGTCAGGCACTGTGGATGGTGGCAAGAAATTGTCTTGACTAGAGTCGCTTGTCAGCGAGAACTGCGAGATGCTTTTCAGCGTCTCCTTGACTTCGGCACGTCTGGACACGGCCCCAAACTCGACCGGCGCGGACAGTTACATCACTGCAGGACCTCGTGAGGCACCGGTACCCGTTTCGGCGTACCTTGGGTTCCGCCGCCTCTTGTTTCAAGTTGCATGGGTCCAAGTGGAATCCAGCATTCCGCAGAGGATATCTCCAGCATTAGATATCTCCACTTCCAATCGCCAGGCGGTGCTTTACATGCCTTCGGACTCCGAAGACGATGATGAAGAAAGGGCCGGTTCTCCTCTTCTCTCATCATTCCAGGTGTATGGAATCGGGGGAGACTACTCGTCTACACATCGACGCGTCCCTCTCACTGCAATTCTGGAGGAGTTCGAGACCATGGGAAGGTTCGTCATCGATACTGTGTCGTTGCACCATCTGATTCTAGTCTAAGCTTTCCAAGTCCTGCACGTTTTCACACATCCTCGAGCCAGGGTAGCAGCGTGCCGTGTATACCTCCAGCATACATTACTAATGATCCAGGTGATCAATATGCTGGTTGGAGACACCAAGTTCGTCCTTACGACAGGCACAGTGCCTACCCTTCGACTCGACCTCGGAAGAAGTATGTGTCTAAGAGACTCGCTAACAGCACGCATGGAGGGACAAGGGCGTTGGGAGGAAGTGCAGAGCTATGGGTCAAGGCTCCCCAAGTTGTACCCGCAGCTAAGCGGCCCTCTGTGTCTTATATTTAAGCGTTGAGGTCGACGCCGCCTGGACCGCACGTAAGAACAAGAGGTAAGAGGTTTTGAGAGTTTCTATTTCAAGTGGCTTTACTAGTCATTCATATTTATATTCACGAGTGAGCTATTTATCCTTGTCCTCCAATGCACCGTTGAGAGTTCCCCTCGGTCCAGGAGAGAGTAGTGTGTAGATAAGATAAGATATGCGTCCTTTGTAACACTGGCTGCGGAGATTGAAATGATGGATGAGATTGCCGTGCGACTTTCCACCGTCCTTTAACCACAACCACTACCATTGATTCGAGTTATACTTGACCACGTCAAATGGCAACTAATATTGTACGTGTATATCCTTCCTTTTCTCCCAGTGGGATGCCCACACCCGATCCCTGTCGCGTTTAGATCAACCAAGCCGTGCAAGCGCAAGCAAGCCTCGAGGAGGCCTTTTCCGCGCTCACCATCGAGAGCAACAAGCAAAGCACCCAAGATCAGAGCGATATACTAGTGGCCATTGAGATGATGAAAAATATTGTACTAACCAAAGATACCCCTGTGCTGAGTCCAGGAAGTGCCCCGATCCCGATGCCAGTGTTCGCAAAGGACCCTTGCCCGTATTGTTGTGCCAGTCTTCAGCTGCTCGAGCCCATCCGAGAGGATGATCTGTTTGGAGATTCCCGATACGATTTACCTCCCCACTCTGAAGTTGGCTGCGAGTACTTTAACGCCGCTCTCCAGGTGAACCCGATGAAAGTGTTCGATCCGAAGGTCGAGGAGTTAGCCGCGTCGATCGCGGCGCTCGCGTTGTGCAACAACCTCAAAGGCCGCAAACCGAACTCCCACTAGGCTCAACGCCACTCCTCCTACAGTCACAGGAGAATGAGTCCACTCACCTTACTACTCGCCGAATACCTGTTTTCCGACGCTAAGTTCTCATGCCACTCCGGCGTCGAGTTTACGACTGACTTTCACTTTAGGAAAAAACAGCAAAAGCTTCAAAAACATGAAGAAAATGAAGAAAAAACCTCATACAAGACCCAAAGAAGGCCTCCAGCTCTCGATAAAATATCTCGTTCAGACTTTATGTGATTTCGCGTGCTCCTGTATTGCCTTAGAATAGTCCTTCGAATCATCCGTCCAATTCTCGCTCCACATACGATATTGTACGGGAGGTCCTGAAACTCTTCATAAGCAGATTTTCGGGCTGCTCTAGTCCGTCATATTATAAGAGGCGAGCACATGCTACCATAATATGCTCTCATGTCTACGACTGATGCTGTCGTCCATCGCTGAGGATGCTTTGTTCGCGCAGGAGATCAGCATCGCAGACGCGCGGCAACCTCGGGCCTCTTTTGCGGTGGCATGGGTGACCGCGTCGTCCTGCCTCATTCGAAACTGTCCATTGTACCTAAGACACCACTTATACGTTCATAATTAATATTATAACCCAGTGAGCTGGTGAGATGTCAATATTATAAGGTCGCCATCGCCGCCTGCAACGATGCGCCAAGATACCGCGCCTAATGCGAATTCTCACGGTGCAATGTAACATGCATTTACAAGACCAAACACAGGCTTTCCCTGCTTTTTGAGAGTCCCATTCCTGGCAGCTCACTCGGAATGCGACTTGGCCTTGACCTCGGTGCGAAAAATTGGTTTCACCGTGCCGATGTGATTTGACATCTCGTCACTCCTTCTCGTCAAAGCGGTCGGATGGACCATGAGTCCAAGCCCTCGATGGTGACTCGTGAGGGACGCCATTGACTCTATCCAAAAAGGTATAAAATCTCAACATGACAAGACACTCAGGCTCCCCCAGACGCTCTAACCCTCACTCTGACACTCCATCCCAACAACTTCAACTTATTTTTGTGACCTCGATCTACATCTCAGAATCATAATCATAATGACTCCCTCCATCCAGGAACTCACCGCCCGATTCTCCGCAGCCTCCGGACAAGGCGACACCAACATCATCCTTGACATCCTCAAAGTCCTAGCACAGCACGAGGACACCCCTCCAGCTCTCAAGCACCAGATTGCGTTTACGATCCACGCCCGCGAGAACCCGCGGAAGCACCCTCTGGTTGGGTCTGCTGACATTTGGGGAGAGCCCGAGGGGCCTGTGCTCCCAAAAGACTGTAATGTCTCCGCAGCGCTCACTGACAGATGTCCCCGAATCGATTTAGGTACGGCGGTTATGCTCAGTAAAGTCTGCCAGAGGATCATCGCGGAAACGTACGGTGGTGTGGCTATTCCTGACCAGGATCAGGCCACTGCTTGGGCCTATCATGGGTACTCGGTGCCCTTGGAGAGGCTCCGCGCCACGCCTGGCGAACAGAGCGAGGAGTAAGACATATACTGACTAGAACTGCGTTTGTGTGCTCACCCTCCAGGTCCTCCTGAATGCTCAAAGTAATGTAGTTTTGTACCGAATTCGAATCTACGAGTACTTTCTGACAATGGAACCCGATTTTCGTTAAGATACACCACCACAGTGCATGGATGGCTGAGTAGTATTATCTAGTTGCTAGACTAGGACCTTATGCGCTCCGATCTTCGAGTGGAAGATGAGCGAGCAGCCCAGAGACCACTGGACAGCTAAGAAAATCGTACGCTACTTTCATTCGAACATGAGTCTTATCTTTACTTTACTCTATCCTATTTAACCGCTTCCAGGCGTTAAAGCCGCAAGCGCGACGCGCTGCTCACGGGTGCCTTTGATTCAACAGCGTGCGATCAAATCCCGGAAGTCCTTGCGGAGCTCAAAGACGACGCAGAGAATGCGGAAACTATGACTTTGCGTTCACACATCTTGGCGGAGGCCACCATCCACGGAATCGATAACGATGCAGACAAGGTACTTACTTCTATCCGTCGCGGTCGGATTGGCCATCCGTTTCCAATTTTCGCATAGAATTATCAACGCATAGATTATCAAAGCGCCTTGTATCACTAGGGTGTCCCATCGCTGGCACTAAGTATTGCGTTAGCGGTCACGGTCAAAGCGAGCGCTCGCCGGACGGGCGCTTGACCACTGTGGCCTGCCGCTCTGCTGGTTCAGACTCGCTTTGACACTATCCCTCCGTCGCGCTTTGACAATGTCCATGGTGTATATAAACCCCTCCTCATACACACCGATGATGTACAAACTTCATTCCACCAGAGACCTCGCAGGAGTCGACCATCTCAATAACCCAAACCCACCTCAACAAACCCAAACCACCTCAACAAACCCAAACCACCTCAACAAACCCAAACCACTTCAACAAACCCAAACCACCTCAACAAACCCAAACCCACCTCAATAACAACCCAAACCATGTCCTCAACCACCGGCAGCATCTTCGACTCTACCACCGGCACCACCTACACCGACTCCGCAAGCCTCCCACACCTAATGAACATAATCTCCAAAGCCGAAGAGCACGGCGACCTCCCCGCCGTCGTCAAAATACTCGAAATCATCAGTCGAGATGAAGGTAGTAGTATCCCGATAGACGCGCGGCTTGCTATTGCTGCTGCTCTCAAGTCGTATGCGGAGTATCTTGAGGGGCAGAAAGTCGTGCAAGTGCCCGTGCCCAAGGGTAACCTGGATGAGGATGAGGATAAAGACACCTCGGATAAAGACAAGGATAAGCGAGCTCAGACCGTCACCGCTACCCATGGCCAGAACGACGCCATCCACGGCCATCCAGGCTGGGACCCCTCCACCTTTGCCCAACTCGACCACACCTGCGAATGGATCCGGTGGGTGTGTTACGGGCGCGGCGTGAATGGACCGGAAGATCGAGAGCAGGTCGAGATGTGGAGGCATCATGGGTATTCTGGGTTGTTTGAGCCTGGATTTCGTGTTCGGTATTATTGAGGGTTGAGATTCAGACCTGCCCCTGAGAAAGTACCCTTGTATGTGTAGTAGCGTTCGAAGAGGAATTAAAAGAGCCGGTTCGAAGAGGAATTAAGAACCGAATATTAGAGTCGACGCAGTACGAGTAACGACGCACTATCCGAAACAAAGATTCAGAGTGCAGGTATTCACCGCAGCGTGAAGACAGAGTCGAACAGAGTGAACCTAGACCCCGAGCTCGTGAGTCGTGAACCAGTACTAGTCTGATTTCCCAATTTCCCCAGTGTCTAATCTCCCAAAGTGCCCACAGCGCACCAGGAAACGAATCCTCGAATGGTCGACGGCTCTATCTCAAGCGTACACTCGGAACGCCGTTGTCGCCTACTAGAATCCGCAGTTATCAAGGGATCGAATGCCAGGTGTGTCGGGAGAGTCACAGGTTCAGCCGCTCAGCGCTCAGCGGTGGTCGTCGCAGGGGGATAAGCATATATCTCGAATGTTGGAGCGAGTGTATCTAGAATTTTGGAGCGAGAGTGCCAGCCTCGACTGCAACCGAACTTTATCCTCCAGGTACGCACGCGAGACACAAAAGTAGTGCTGAGAAGAACTTGAATATGAGAGGTCCCAAAGTGGGACAGGGGTCGAGTCAATACGTTACTAACGCGTTGAATGGCGTCGATTGATGATTCCTGCAACGTACGCACTGATACGTCTTGGATACGTCCAAGAAGAAGGGATTCGGAGCATCCGCAGTGGTGAGTCACGACGCCCGAGTCATACCCTTCCTCTTCACCCCAGGGCCACGACGAGAGGGCAATCAATCAATCATCCACCAGCATTTAATATTTAGCGACGGCGCTTTGGCAGCAAGCAGGTATTCGAGAGTTGAGTTGGAGCGTTCAAAGGTTGATTTCAACGCAGGTCGTAGCGGTGGCAGAACAGAACAGAACAGAACGGAACGGAACAGAACGCGATCCTGAGTCAAAGGATTGACCCTGATAGCAATACACGTCGATATCGATCCCTGCTCCCGAGAAGACGAGGCGAATTCCGAGTCGTGGTGGCGCGTAGGGTATTTGTCGGCGTTGAAGATTGCGATTGCGCAACACCGCGAGGCCGTCGTGTAAGTCCCTTGTATGGCATGTAGCTGGATTGGCTTTCGTTCTATCTTGCTTCCACGGAGTGGGATCAGCGAGCTTCGACCGTTCAGCTGTCCTGCACGTCGGGGCGTCAAGCGCGTCGCGCATGCGTCACATTCCAGGGGAGGGCGCAGCCCCTCGAAGAACGTAAGACTGTTGATGGTAAGAGCCAGTTCTATTCGACTGGGTCGTCGTTCGTTCTGTCAACGAAAGTCGTCGAACTGGACAGACGACGCCGAGAGCATGGCGTAGAATGATATCGATGCGAAGGATTGGAACACTCACATTCATCAACCCACCTCTGGGGTGGGTGCGTTTTTCTCGAAAGGCGACTCAAAAAGGATTCAGCCAAGATGCATGCAAAAATGCGTCTATTCAAACTCGTCGCATACAAAAATCCGACTGAACTATCTACTCTTCCTCGTTCCCTTCCAAAAGATCTCCGTCACCGACATCCCCGATCTTTCAAAAAAGGTATACAAGGGAAAGTGAAATTTTTCCAAAAATTGCTCATAGCCGAAGCTAAGAGACGGGTTCGGATGTGTAATTTGCAATCAGCAAATAGGCTGTGCCTCGGTAGAAACCTCACTGGCGACAGCACATGCCCGAGCACAAGAGATGAGGAAACGGCTTCTTTGGGTGGAAGGGTTATATGTGTTTTGGGGGGACGCACGGGCCATTTGTGCTTGTTTGTGTATTGATGGCCGGGTTCGGCTTAGGTGGAGAGAGGTTTGGGGAGGCGGTGGGGGAGTGGAGAAGGAGGGAGAAGGTATGGAATGAGCGTTGGAGGAGGATGGAGGGCGGGATAAAATATGTGCAGATGAGGTGAAGGGAAGGGTGTGAAGACGGAAGGGTAAAAAGCGCGTTCTCGGAAAAACACCGCGTCGCGTCTCCTCTCTTACAAGTTATCGGCCGAAACACAGACGCTCGCCCGACCCTACCATTACGGGCTCAATTATCCCCTATCCATACTCAAATCCCGCTCTCCCTCGTACCTCCCGCTCTGAATCCTCTTGCTATGGCCTATCTCCCGCCCGCAAAGGGCTGGGGCAGGGTGAATGGGGACGGGTGATGCAGCGCATGGTCCGTATGCGTATCCGTATGATGATAGCTCCCTTTTTCCACGCCGGATCTTGCGCTCTTCCCATTCGCTTGTCCTTCATAAGTGGCGGGTTGCTTTTCTCCACAATTTGTTGACTCCTTCCTCTGTTTCGTCCTGGGGTTTCTCACTTGGATAAGAGAAAGTTTTAGGTGATACGCTCAAGCGCGATAACAGATAACTAGAGGAGGGCAGAATGGTGTCACCGCGTCTATCGCTCTCGATCCCCCGCGGGTCTACACCCTCCACTGCACTGTTGCGACGACGAACAAGTCATGCTACTCGGGCACTCTCTACCACCACCGCATCCACGTCTCGCCCGACGACGCAGAAACCTACCTCGACCCGGTTCACCCAGGGACAACGCGTCCCTGGCGTCATAGCTCGAAGCTACACACCCCGCCTTCCCGCTTCTCGAGGGTTCCACAGCACCCCTCGAGCATTGAAGAAGACTACAGTCCACACATTCAACCTCGCTGATATCGGAGAAGGTATCACCGAATGTGAAATTATCAAATGGTGCGTCCTCTCGTCCAGTACATCTACCTCTTAAGTCCTAACCATGGTCATGTATATAGGTCCGTAACACCCGGTTCACCCATCCAATCATTCGACCCTCTCTGCGAAGTCCAATCCGACAAGGCCAGTGTGGAGATCACCTCCCCCTTCGACGGCATCGTCAAGGAAATCCTCGTCCCCGAAGGCGAGATCGCCAAAGTGGGGTCAGGGCTCTGCTTGATCGAGGTAGAAGTCGAAGAAGGGGCTGAGGTTACCGAGGGCGGACGTGCTGCACCAGAGCCAGAGCCAGAGACCAAGACCACGACCTCGCCTCCTCCAAGCTCGACGAGTGCTGCGGAAAGCAAACCACAGCGCAAACACCACCCACTCGACCCGTCCAACCCCAACCCCTCGCTCTCACTCGGTTCGCGTCCGCGTTCACGCACCGGTGCACCGCCCTTCAGCGGGGGCTCTGCTTCCATCCGGTCTAAAGACCTCCTCAATCTCGATTTCAACGCGCAAGACCAGGCGCTCATGTCGTCCTCCCCCTCTCACTCGACATCGACATCAACATCGACGGGGTCAGGGACTACGACACCAGGCTTCGCCACCACCTCAGACGCCAACGTCCTCGCCACACCCCAAGTCCGACACTTTGCCAAAACACTGGGCGTGATGGATCTGAGCGCGTTAGCGCCTGGAAGTGGGAGGGAGGGAAGGATTGAGAGGGAGGATGTGGAGAGGTTTGTTGAGAGGCAGCGACAGTCTATCGCGGCTCAACAACAGCAGCAACAACGGGGACCAGGAGATGAAGTTACCTCTGCGTTCGCGAGTGGTGGAGTTAGGAAGGACGAGGACGTTGTCGTCGAGCTGAACCGTACCCGATGGAATATGTGGCGTGCTATGGAGAAGAGTTTGGAGATTCCTCATTTCGGGTGCGTACTCGATCTCTCTATCTATCTCTCTATCTCGTCTCTGTACGCCCCATGTTAACTGTAACCTTTCGTTCTCTGGTATAGGTACTCAACAACACTCGACATTACATCCCTCCACACCCAAATCCTGCCCATCCTCAACGCGAACATCCCAGCACGGTACCTGCCCTCGTCGCACCCGCGTCCAAGGGATCCGCTAGCGGGTATGGTCAACCCTCGTGCTCTCTTTTCTCAAGAGGAGGATGTGCGGACGCAGGCAGAGGCAGAGGTGCCAGAGAGCGCGCGGTTCGCCAAGATGACGTACCTCCCCTTCTTGCTGAAGACGCTCGGTATGGCGATGATGGAGTGGCCGTTGATGAGGAGTTCTATTACGCCTGGTAGCTGGTCTGGTAATGGTAATGGTGGGCAGGGAGGAGGGAAGCAAAAACCAACACTAACAATCCGCTCCTCACCCCAAATCTCTCTCGCTCTCTCCACCCCAACCGGTCTCTACACGCCCACTTTAAACCTAACCTCTTCACCACACACTCTCTCCTTATACTCCATCGCTTCGCAACTCAAACACCTTTCCTACCTGGGCAGGCAGGTACCCTGTGGTTTAACTCCCAAGGAGATGCCTAGAGCTGGGGGGACGGTGACGGTTAGTAATGTGGGAGCGGTTGGGAGGGGGGAGGGTGCGAGTCCGGTTTTGGTACCTGGAGGAGGGGTGGCGATTGTTGCTGTTGGGAGGGCTAGGTGGGTTTGGGATGTGGAGGACCCATTCTGGTCTCGCCATTCTGGGGATGAGGGCTTTGGAAGTATGGAACCACCTCCTGGCGGCAATGGTGGTAAGAGTGGTGGTAGTGGGGGGATGAGAGGCCAGAGACGGCTCAAGTTGCCTGTTAGTTGGAGTGCGGATCATCGGGTCGTGGAAGGAGCTGAACTTGCAGCGTTTGTGGAGACGTGGAGGAAGTGGGTTGAGGAGCCGGTTCGGTTGATTGGTGGGGAGGGTGATTAGGGTTTAACGTTCATTGGCTGAGCCTCTGAGGTTTAACGTACACGGTAGAGGATGGTGGTGGTTGGCGGGGGTGTTTAGGGATGAGGTTGTAGTAGGAAGTATGTATAAATGATTGAATGCAATATACCATCTTTTCCTGTCAATGTATTTCGTTTTTCATCGTGGTTTTGATCGAGTTCGAGATGAAAATATCTCTTCCATCTGGCAAAAATGAAACTTTCTATATTCGGAATCTACTACGTCCGACAGGAATCTATACCCGAAATCTACGTCTCACAACTTTCTTACAAGAGAAGAAAATCGTACGGGGTTGGTGCACTCGCATGTAGGTTGTAGCTGTACTCTGAAGCGTGATTGTAGCTTGAAGGTGAAACGTATTGGTAGGTGTTAATAGCCTGAGTAGGACTGGACTCTTTACGCTCGAGCGAGTCCGACTCCGACCTCTGAGTAGTCAGTAGTAGCAGCGGCAGTAGCAGTAGTAGTAGTACTGCCGGGACCCTCCGCGGTCGTAGTGGTAGCTGTGGTCGTAGTAGTGCTGCTAACAGCAGTACTGGTGGTAACAGTAGCAGGTTGGTTCAGGGCCCGGGGGGTGGTGGTGGTAGCTGTGTGAGTGGTGGTGGTAGCTGTGTGAGTGGTGGTACCGGAGGTGCTGGTGTCACTCATATTTTGCAACTGTCCTAATGCTACGATATAAGGATGCTCAAGCTTGAGAAGAGGGACGAGACGTGAAGCAAAATAAATGTTGGGGTAAGTGAGTGGGTGGGGGTTATATACCCACCCCTTTGACGCAGTGTCGATTGTCAAAGCGCACCTCTGACTCGTGTCACGGCCATGTACACATTGTTCAATCTAACTACGGCTAGGGGAGACTAAGAGGTCAAAGGGCAAGAAGGATGCAAATGCCACTCGTGGTTCTGTGAGGGTGGAGGTCAAAGGTTAAAGTACCGTCGGCGTCTTGACCATCAAAACGGAGTATATTGACATTGTACTGGATTGTAGGAATTGGTGGGGTGTTACTAAGCGCCGAATAAGGGTACCCCTTCAATATGGGACGCGGGTACGGGAGCCAACTCTGATGCATCGAGTCGTTGTCCGTTATCGCCTCGATGAGCGCCATCAAGTGTCACGGAAGTCGTTGGCGGATCCTTGGCCAGAGCTAGACTCCCTCGGTGGCAGGGGCATTCGTGATTTCGTTGTGTAGTGCGAGCTGTAGGGATACAGCGCGGCGACACGCGCGTACGCAGCTAAACACGAAGGGTGAACCAGGAACAACAGCAAACGGGTAGCTTAGATTGTGGACCGTGGTGCAACTAAAACAGTACAAACCACCGACCGACAGCTACTGTGGCATACCTGGCCAGGGTAACAAAAGGGGCCGGGTCGTTCCTGGTTGATAGGACTCAAGGAAAGACAGTGCTCCAAGAACAGGGTCTGGCGCCTTGTCCGACACCGATGGAAGCGATGGCGCGAATGGACTACAGTGCCGGATGATATCAAAGGGCTGGTTATCGTCGATCGGTCGTTTCGACGCGAATGGGGGTCGAGGGCGACCCGGAGCACAGTCAGCCGACCGCGACAGCCCGCCAAAATTCGTTGGTCATTCGTCTGCCACAATGAGGCTTTCAGGGGGGCGGGCGACAAACTCTTCATAAGGCACTCCTCGCATCCAGAACAGAAGGACTAGCTTCCGACTTCCATCTCGTCGCCAGCGGTCTTCTTGGATTCTTGTTCCTGACGTTGAAGAAGTAGGAGATCCGTGTCATCTTCAGTGAGCATCGAGCTGAGAGTCTCCGTTATTTGGGAATAAAGATCCTCTGAAGGTCGTTTCCGTCAGCGGTAGACATGGAAGATGGAAAGGAACAACGCACTCGCTCGGTTCACCGCTGCAATATACTCCTCATTCGCGATCGCCATTTCGTTTTCCAAGGTTTGCAGTCGACGAGCCTGTAGTAGGGAGTGTAAATGAACGTGAAGTGAGGCCATGTAAACTTCCACATACCTGGACTTCCTCTGCTTCTGGTTCCGGCAGGGCGTTAATGAGGTACTCAATCTGCTTCGCTTTCACGACCAAATCCGTGACCAGTTCCTTTTGGTTGGCTAGGATAGATATCTCGTCAAGACGCTAGTCAAACTCAAGAACTAGATCTGTGTACCTTCGAAGACATCCGGGGGATCATACTTGTCCTTGTTCCTCTCCTTCGTTACGGGTATCGCTTCACTGACTTGGAGGAAGTTCGGCTTGGTAGTCAGGTATCCAATGCTCTTGGACATTATAACGAGTATCTACCACATTATTCAACACAAATCAGCTCCATTACCCTCGACAGCCCATTGCCAAACATTCGCTTACCTGTTGAATCTCATCTTGAAGCTGGGTGATTCTGTCCATATGCGATAGCTCTTGCAGCATTTCGCTGCACAGTACGACCTAGGGGCCTTTGTTTGTGTATCAATCCTAGAGAAAAGCCTTTAATGGCTTGAGCAAAGCAGAAGTCGGTGAGGGACGGTGGTGACAATCGTGGTTCAGGACGAACTTAGTCTGTTTCAACATCCGCGTCTGATACCGGTGCTCAATTTTTCCCACTGCCAAGTGTAACGTGACTTAGTGATGGGAGCCAAACAAACGCGACGCGCCCATTAATCTGCGGGGCGCGCGAGGTCTGAGACTCTCCACTGGGTGGCTTGGAGCATCCCAGACCAACGTATCTACCCAGAATCTTTCTGTATGTCGAGTAGAAACAATCTTGCACATTATCTTCATCTACTTCTCTGATAATGGGTGTTTATAACTCTCCGGAAGGTCATCTGCTGGTAAAGCAGATTTTGGGTCAGAACCAACCTCCCATTGTTCCCCATGACTATCAAACCGAGGGTGTATGCGCCTGCTTGGATGGCGAATCACTTCTAGCAACTCTCCCCACCGGTGCCGGAAAGACTTCGTACTACAGCTTCACTATGCTGGTGATGATAGCCCTCTCCAAGGCCCCGGAACTGGCACTCGAAGGGAAGGGATTTCCAAAGAACCCGGCGATGCTTGTTATTCTCCCAACCAAGGCGTTACAAGAAGATATGGTACGCTTCTTTATGTAATTAAAGTGATGTCCCTGCTCAAAACTTCGTCATTTACAGAGAAAGGGACTTACCAAGTTGGGACTTGATGCAGTGGTAATTAATGGAGACACTGTGGCCGACGCCTCCAAACAACGAGTGGATCTGTGGAAAGAATGTCAGAAGAAACACTCCATGATTCTCATTTCGCCAGAGGAGCTCATTAGCAACGCTTTTCGAACCCTTCTTGCCTCTCCCGACTTTGCAGCGCGCCTGTGCCGGTATGGCATTGACGAAGCCCATTTGATCGTCAACTGGGGCAAAACAGGCTTCCGAAACGCCTTCATGGAGCTTGGACATATGCGAAGCCGTTTGCCACTTGTCAACAATCATTTGATGCCGGTTATTGTAACCTCTGCAACGATTCGACCTGGAGAACCGATGGACACCATCTGTAATGTTCTGGGACTTACTGCTGGAGATTACCACCTCATTCGACGTTCCAATCTGCGACCTGACATCAAAATCATAATTCGCGAGCTCTCTTCCTCCCTTTCGGGTCTCTCATTCCCTGAACTCGACTGGATCTTGGAACAAAATAACACAGTAATCTTCTGCCGGACAATTGGAATAGGATTCCGTGTGGCTGCCTATCTGTGGAGAACTGCCATTACCAAACGTCTCCCTCGCTTGGGATTTTGGTTCTCGCAGTTGACCGATAGGCGTGATTTTCGCTTCCCTGTCGACTGTGGGGGCTGGCCCCATCCAGAGTAAAGGCCTCCTGATACAGGAGAAGAGCTCGCTGGGCTAGAGGAGGGCTTGCCCAACCGGTATCGCCCAATCATTGTCGCGGTTTCGAGAGAAGCGCTGGACGCGCGAAGGGGGAACAAACAAAGTCACGAGGTTTTCGGTGGGAATGCCAAGAATCGCCTTATAAAGTAATTTTTGAAGTCTTCAGCTGAGCACCGGTATCGGACGCGCGTCTTGAATCAGACTACTATATGTGTGTCGGCCCTTCAAGGGCCTTACTAAACACACATTCGTCAGTCTGACTACGGGAGACTAGGACGAACTGCTTGAACGCCGGCGCAATCATTCTTGGCGTTTGGCATGCCGCGCTTGCCGGTTGCACACGGTCACGCTCATGGGCGCTTAAAGGAGGGGACCCAGAGACATAGTTGGCCTCCCGGTTCTAACCTCTGAATTGGGGACCCAGATAAGCTCAGGGATAATACCAGCGGTTTCTGGAGTGGATGCTCCATTGGTTCAATTAAAGTCTTTATCTGTGCACTCTGATTTGCCGCCCATGCAACGTGCCCCGCAGCCAGACAGGTGACATTGCTTACGGCTGCATATCCCACGAAGAAGTCCTCCCAAAAAGCACATATAAACCTGTTCACTTTGTGATTGATCCCCCAGCTTCTTGCCCTTCTGAGCCACTGCATAAACCGTAGTCCCACTAAAATCCACCATAATACTTCGCTTAGCAGGGCACGAAGCACTCTTTATCCAGTCTACAATCTGCACTATGTCCTCTTACATCGTCCAGCCCAGCGCCTCGTCTGGCTTCTTCGATGTCATGACCCACGCCGGCGCTTTCGTCTCCAGGATTTCATCCAACATCTCCACCTCGAGGTACTCGCCAAGCCGAATCGTCGCCGAGGCAAGGCAACTTTTGAGGCGCCTTCAAAATGCGATACCCCTCCCCTCTCGGAGGATAATCCGGTGGCTCGCCATTGCACTTGCAATTTTAGCCGCTGGCCTACTCGCCCAGCCTATCTTGTGGGCTATATTGAACGCCATTGGCTTCCAAGCTGGTGGCGTCGCTGCAGGTGCGTTCAAGACTACATCTTTCTCGTCTCGGTTTTATCATGCATTTCCTATCCCCGAGTCTGCCGCGCTCGCTTTCCATCGATATCATACTGACTCCAAGCTTTCGAAGGTTCTGCGGCGGCTGCCTACCAATCAGCTGTTCTTGGTGCCCACACCACCGGTTTCTTCAGCGTTCTGCAATCACTCGGAGCAACGATGGCTGCACCTGCGGTTGGAACCGTCGTTACAGGCTGCGCTGCGGCCGTGGGGAGTGTCGTCGCATGGTTCCGTCGATAAATTGTACCTGGAACTGCAACCTTCACGTCCGAGTTCTACTTTCTTGTACTCCTATATATCACCGCGATCGCTGTTATTATACATTCTTGGACATTTGTTATGGACCTTGCCACTGTGGCCAATAATTGCAGAAAATAGAGGCTATTGCTAACGGTATAAGCAAGTAACACGAGAGGTGTGCTGCGTGCATGTCTACCAGTCCGATTACTGTAACAATAAGCGCCCATGGCACTGCTTCGGATGATTCGCTTACCTACTTGAATCCCACGACGAAGCCGTTAGCAAACATGGGTCTGCATGTCAACCATCCTTGCCTTTCTCCCAGATTGTGTCGCAAGGCACATACAAAACACATTCCCTCGTCGCTTTGATCACAAACCCACCTATAGATGCCCGATTCCTTCTCGAACGTTTCGGAGTATCTTAGTCGGGCAGCTTCCACCGCAGCCAGGCTTACCGCCGAGAAGGCCCCTATCGTCGAGAAAAGCATTGGCTCGGCAGCCGCTGACTTTATCAAATTCACAAAATGTATGCAACTGAGAAGGGGCCTGTGATCTCCAAGCAACTGGGCGAAGCCGCATCTGCAGTAGCCAAACTCGCAGGGGAAAAAGGTCCCGTCGCTGTTCAGAGAATGGGGGAAGGGGTATTTACCGCCGCCAGGTTCGCTGCTAAAAAGGGACCCCTCGCAGTCGGCTATCTCGTCCAAATCGTCAAGGCCCACCCCATGGCGACCGCAACCGTCGTAGTGCTCATAGTGGCCATCCTCGCTCCGCGTATCTTTATTGGTATATTGAATATTCTTGGGTTCGCAGTAGGTGGTGTCGTGAAAGGTGCGCTTCATCCTTGACGTCGAGTCCTGCCCTGCGTCTAAGCCCAAGATTCTCTCTTCGAATTCAGGATCAATCGCGACGGGCATTCAATCGGTGGTATATGGGGCGTGGACGAGAGGTGTTTTCAGCGTTCTACAATCGATCGGAGCGACTGGAGTGGCCCCTCCAGCAGTGCCTACCATTGGTAGCATCGCCATTATGAGCTGCTTCGCCCGCCTATGGTTAAATGGAAGAACTTCAACGGCGTGACGGTGAATGTGAGGTATGTAGACAATCTATAATATAATCACCTGTGCCAACTCTCTTCTGCAGGACGAACGATCTCCCAGACTACTGTCAAATGCATTGTTCCTTGCACACTTTCCCGAATATTTAATCCTGCCGATTACCATGTACATTTAAGTACGTTGGTCAAATGACTTACTTCAGTCTCATGATGAAGTGGTCTAGAGCCACCTAAAACTAGAAGAAGCAAGTTGAAAGGTCCGTGGACGTAAGCAGGAAGGACATCGTGGCAGATAAGCGCCCACAAACCGCAACCCCGGGTGATAACGTGCTCACTTGATCTATCCCACGAAAAAGATGGGACAGCCTCAGTCCATACTTGAGCATAAGACTGACGGTTACACAATCCGTTACCTCACCGCTTTTCTTTCCTCCTAAGCACTCACCGCCCACTCAACGTCCCACAGATTGCTTAGCAGGAGCGAAACGCTTATCGCTTCTTTCAATTTCTAGATTCCAATATGGCTGAATTCCTCTCTCGAGCATCCAGACACATTAACCAAGCGGCCTCCGCCGCCGCCAAGCTCACCGCCGATAAGGCTCCAGTCGTCGCACAAAAGCTCAACGCAGCAGTCAAGTTCGCCTCGGACCAAACCCCTATCATCGCAGACAACGTCAGTGCAGCAGCCAAATTTACAGCCGACAAAGCATCCAATGCTGCATCTGCAGCAGCCAAGCTTGCGAGGGAGAAAGGCCCTGTCGTGGCTCACAACGTTCGCGAGGCAGCGTCCACCGCTGCCAAATTTACCGCCGAGAAGGGTCCTCAAGCCGCCGACTTTGCTGTCCAAACCGCCAAAGAGTATCCAAAGGTTGTCGGGGCAGCTTCAGCGATTCTAGCAGCGAACCTTCTCGCTCCTGCCGTCTGCGTAGGTGCCCTCGGCGCGATCGGATTCTCACCAGCTGGCGTTGTCGGAGGTACGTTGCCGGTTTTGTAAATCGTTATCGCCAGTATCTCATTTAACGACCGTCTTCCAGGCTCGATTGCTGCGGGCGTCCAGTCGTCGGTGTACGGACCTTTCACAGCAGGTGCATTCAGCGTCTTGCAGTCGATGGGAGCCACAGCCGCGCCACCCGCCGTAGCGCCCATCATAGGCGGTGTAGCAGCCGCAGGCGCCAGCGTAGCATCGATGGCATATTCTTTGGTTAAAGGAGAGGGTTCCAGAGCAATGGAAAAGATAATCATTTGTTCAGAACATGCCTGCGGACTGTGATTATCGTCTCCATGAAGCGATTGTTATGTTGTATGAACGGACATGCTGAGACAGCTTGCACAAAGCTGCTAGTGTCCGGGTGCTGGTAACTACACACCTCAATTCTCCAGCCAATGTACATAGATGTGCCTACCTTACACTCGGTCCCATTGCGCAACCCACAAATTTCATTAAACTCGACACCCCACCAGGTTTCTAAAGCCCTCGAAGGATGAGCGGACATTCACCTCTGCACAGCAGCTCAATACGAGCGACAGCGAGTGTGCGCTCGATCATGGGGTTAGCCAACTGTCAATCCCCGCGGAACCCATCACTTCATGCTTGCAGGCTGTTTTATAATTGGCCACCTTTCGCCGTGTTCCGTTAATCCCCCAAAGTCACGAGAACCGGTTGACGGCAGTTCTCTCAGCTACGCCCGCAGGGAGCTGCAGGGAGGTCCCAACTCATCCCCGCCCAGCCATCACTGGTTTGCGATTTTTCACGCATCACCGCGCCCAACTGCTCGCCCATCGGCCGCTCCTCGAAACTGCTGCTCTGGGAAGTGACGCGGAGGCTTCTGTGCCCACGCTCCGCTTTCAAAGCGAGCCCCGTTGAAATTCCAGCGCAACCTCGCCCTCCTGGGAATCCCACCTAATCCGTCAGTTTGCAACGCACCAAATCTGCCGCACCTAGACCACGTTGCCCTGCTTTCTTATAGGCAGTCACTGACCACGATCGTTTCAAAGGTTTCCTCTTTCCCATTGCCCGCAAATCCCAGTCGTCTCCATCATGGCCTGGGAGGACGCCTTCAGAGGGTTCGCGGAGACCGTTTCTAAGCACACCGCAGAGGCCACGTCCAATGCTGCAAAGTTTGCCGTGGAAAATGCTCCAGTCATTGCAAAGCATGTCGAGGATGTGGCCGCCAATGTTGCAAAACTTACAACAGACACCGCACCAGCCGTCTCGCAAGGTATCACGACCGCCGCACAACATACTGCCAAGTTTGTAGCAGCGAATGCGCCCATCGCCTCGAAGCACGTTGGTGAGGCTGCCCAGCACGTGGCTAGGTTTGTGGAGCACAACGCGGGGACTGCTACTAGAGTCATAGGGGAGCAAAACGCGAGGTTTATCGCAGACCAAACTCTAGTCATTGCGCGTCATGCTGGGGACGCTGCTTCGCACATCGCCAGGATGACGGAGGAACACGCACCAGCAATCGCACAGAATATCAGCCACACCTCGAGGAGTGTCGCCGACGCCGCGGTGGAGCATGCACCAATCATCGCGAAGAACATACAAGAAGCGACCTCTTATGCTGCCAAACGGACAGAGGAAGAAGCACATGTCGTGGCAAAAAGCGTTGCGGATGCTGCGTCCAGCGGTGTACAGGTCACTGCGACCCATGCTGGTCTTGTTGCACGACGGGTCCATCGTGCCACCTTGGACGTTTCGGACTTCACAAGGGAGAAAGCACCAGTCGTAGCTGCGGCCGTCCAAGGAGGAGCATTCGCTGCTGCAAACTTCACTGCCGAGAAGGTGCCGGCTGTCGTGGACACTGTCGGAACAACTATCAGGGAGAAGCCAGAGGTGGTCGCTGCTGTGAGTGGTGGTCTTGCAATCACCCTGCTAGCACCCACTGTGTTTGGAGCATTGCTGAATGTGGCGGGATTTACGGCGGCTGGGGTCGCAGAAGGTTGGCGCTTGGTCGATCTCGTATTACATCTGCGAAGCTAACAGTGTTGTCCATTTCCAGCGTCGATAGCGGCTGGAATCCAGTCTGCAGTCTATGGAGCTTCGACAGGAGGTGTATTCAGCATTCTTCAGTCCATGGGCGCCACAATGGTGGCACCTGCTGTTCCCCAGATTGTTTTTGGGAGTGTTGCTGCCGCGACGAGCTTGGGATTTGGGGCTTACTCGTTCAAGGTGAAGCGCAGATAAAGGTTTACTGTATTTGTTTAGATATAGTGTGATGACCATACAATGTGTAATATGTTCTTCAGGTGGCTACGATTTTATCGACTGGAATACGATAAAGGCTTTGGAATCAAGCAATGCAGTCAGACTCATCTAGATGTCAGTACATATCCCAGTACTACCATTGACAGAAATGGACGTTGGTCCTGTAGCATCATGCACACATATATAGGGTACGGGCTTTGCTAGGGCTCGACCACTGCCCCGTCCCTTCCTTGGTGTTACCTCACATAACGAACTAATTACCACGCCGACAGACACCATAGCCAAGTGGTTACGGCGACAGATTCGAATCCGTTTGACTATCTGTTTCACTTTGTGAGCGCAGGTTCGAATCCTGCTGGTGTCGTTTTTTCTTTTTTGTTTCCCACCGTGGCAGGAAGAAGACAGCTGAGAACAGTTGGTTAAAATACATTCCTATGGGTTTTTCCTCGGTTCCTACGATCAGGACAGAGGTAGAGGCTCCGGGCGGATAACTTTCCGGGGTAGTAGGCTCCGCTGCAACATATTTGAGATGAAGTTGGAAGTTTTGAACCGCTGGATCGCGTCTATATATAATGTCACTACTACCACAACATAAAACAATCCGGTTCGTTCAGAGGCACATGAAATAGTTAATCGATTGAACGCCCGGCGGCGGGAATATGCAGTGCTTACACCAATTTAGAGGGACATAGACATGTATATATCTTTGCGCGGGAAGACCGGAGTGATCAATTGTACGCTATTAGGGGGGGTCAGAGCTGCGGTTCTGCGACGGTTCTGACAGCGGTTCTGTAAACGGTTCTGAATCACCAGAACCACCTCTAAACACGGTTCTGCTCTGAACACCCCCCATTCTTTTTCTTTTTGGTTCTGGGTTCGGTTCTCCGAAAGGTTTTTGGAACCTGGTTCTCACCCTGGTAATTTATACAATGTATTAATTGAACCCCTTTCTCTGTTCTATCTGTGCTATAAATCTACAGGCAGTCCGGACATAGACCAAAGGGTGTATATTCCAAAATTTACATGAATTCACTTGTCGCAACCACCGTCACACTCTCCAGAGTGCTCAGAACCGGAAACGCGCGGGAACGGTTCTGGCGGGAGAACCGCCTCTGGAGGCGGTTCTCCACTCGGTTCGGTTCTCGGTTCTCCCCTGTTTTTCGACCTCCAGAACCGTTTAAAGAACCGGGGTCAGAACCGCCTCAGAACCGCAGCTCTGACCCCCCCTATTGCATTCCGCCAGTCGACTTTCGGATTGAATGCGAGCGGGCATCTCCCCCAGTGGACTTAACATGGCTCGCAAGTTTGCACGTCAGATATGAGAGTAGAATCGAGAGTCACGGACTCCGCCAGACCAAAGTTCTGGCGGGCTCGTAGTACATACAACTCGTTCTCCGAAGGTAGGCCGTAGTTATGTCTCTCCCAGGTAATATATTGAAGCCTCTGCGGGGATAATGGATAGCGGGACCAGACTCGTGGGGTTTCACTGGCAAGTGCCACTGTGCATGGATGCAAATGAACACTGTGAATTGTTCGAATTCACAGGCCATTGGGGAGGGGAGATGGCGGATTTGACGAATCTGCACACCCGGAATTATCTCCTCCTCTCCTCCCCTTTTTCCTGAAGTTCGGACAGACTCGTAGTTCGGTTTGGGTTGGGTCGAAACTTCGGACATATCCCGTGCAAGGATCCGGGCCGGCCATAATTTCCCTCACTTTGCGCTGGCGGTGTCTGGACAGGACGAATAGAAGAAGAAGATACGTTAACTTTAAACGTATGTATTCCTGACATGTCATCGACCGTCGACAAGGCATGTTCACAAGGATTCAGAGTCGGCGCCCCATGCAATTAAAGCTAGGACTCGGGAGACAACTTGAAGCTTGAGGGGCCGGTCTAGAGGTTGACAATCGTCTGGTTTGACATTCAGCTCGCAGCGAATATGCTATGTAACCGGTTACTTAGGAAGAATAAAAGCATACCTGACACGTGAGTCGTATGTCGGCGTAGACACGATACGATAAGATAGACTCTATGTAAACCAGACAAGTCGAAGTAATTCTAATTCCGGAGGTCGACTAATTTGACATCACCAACCAACTTACTTCCAAATCGGTGTCTGCAAGACTGAAAAGCTGGCCTGAACCACGCATTCGGTTCGTGTGGTTGGTCCTGCCAGTTGGGTGTGTTGAGCCGAAATGGACTGTCAACAGTCAACGTGAGCTGCATAGATATGACCTGTGACCTGCATTATCATAGATTATGATATGACCGTGGCCCGTTCGATCCTTGCCCTCCGCGCCGTCCTAGTAGCACATTTAAGTAATGGACCATGGTAATGGGCGGTATAGACGCCAGTCAAAGTCACTACTTAATACTCACTGATCAAGGGTCAGGTCAGAGTTGCACTGGCATGTCAGTACATATATTCTGTTGAGTCGGTTCACAGTACACTTGAAGACCGGTTCTGTAGACTGCGGGGAGGCGGTTATGGTTTGGTTCAGTGCACGCCACACACGTACCTCGCAATTGCGCCGATTACGATTCCGAGCCACCGGCGGAAAAAGGTCCCGGAACGTAGATAAGTAGGTACTTGCGCTCATACCCAAACCAAACCACTGCCCGAGCCCGCCTTGAGTTGTCGAACCAACCCATGGTTAGTACGACAAGTTGTGGCGTTGATCACGATAAGTAAGGAACGTACACCAGCGGGACCTCTTGATGAGCCCCGTAACTTAATCATAAAGGGAGTAGCAAGTAGAACAACTCGAGAGTCTGGAATAACCAGAAATCAGTCCCCTATCACGAGGCAAGTACAACTTGTTATACGTACACATGTTCAATCGAGGTACCTGTACATTCAGTACTAAGTAGTAGATAAGCAACACAGTGTAACCAAAGATGACGCTACAGCGTACCTGAGCTTACACCAAAACAGTGGGCTACAGACCAAACTGGCCCACTGACCCAAAGACAAAACCCACCTAAAGACAAAAACCAGCCCAAGACCAGACCAAACTGACCAATCATGGGATGCAAGACGGGCCAAGCCGTGCTGAAAATAGGCAGGCAAGGTTCGTTAGTTCGTTAGTTCGCGGGTGTTTCGGACGGGTTGCAGCCTCGCGCCGTCGACCATCTGTTCTGTCTGCGAGGGAAAGGGTACTGGCGTGTAATACCCGGGCCGTTCCTGTATGTGGGAGACGCTGTCAGGCCGGCATTTCAAACGACACCCAGGTTCGATGGATGCTCTGAATCGTTCCAGTTGGCTTACTATACCTGAATACCTGAGCCCAGTTCGACATCCACGAATGGAATATGTACAGCTGGTATATGACGAACGCCAACGTTCGGTTATTCCCGTTGTCATGTCAAAAACTCACGAGTTATGACCTTCTGCGAGTTAGATTCGAATGAAGTATTGCGAGGAGTACGGGGCTTAAGTATTTGAAAGAAACACGACATCCAATTCAGAAAGAGAAGTCTGAAGAAAGAGGTGATCAGAAAAGTCACGTCTATTAAAGGTAGACAGATGGTGGCAATGACCCGGGGGAGCCAACTAACCTGGTATTTACGACACCTCCCAGTACAGACTACCACACGCCGTAACGCACGAGATCCTACCACACACCATAACTCCACGACATCCTACCTACCACACGCCATAATCCTTAAGATGATACAACAACACCCGCCCCCTCGTATTCCCAATCGCAACATACTCGCTCCTCGGCGAAAAGTCTATTCCAGTAACATGACCCAAGGGCGTTCCCGAAGTAGGCCAGTTGGCGTAGGCAGTCAAAGATGGTAGATGGACCTGTCAAATGGCAACCACAAACGAAATGTCAGCCAAACCAGACCAGACCAGACTCCCAAAGGTAATTCAAATCGGAAACAAGAGGGGAAAGGGAAAGGGGAAAGGGGGGAAAGGAAAAGGAAAGGAAGGATAAACTGACCAAACGCATGGAATCCTTCTTCTCCTTACTCGCGATAGCAAGCAGCTGAGCATCATAGTTGAATCTGGCAGACGAAATTGGAGTCGTAAGGTTCGCGATCGCTTTTAATGGTTTCGGTTTGCCGGTGTGTTCGTTGAACGCCTCCGAACCGTATACGTTGACATAGCCCGTATTCGATCTAAAAAGAAAAAAAGGAACGCCAAAGGTTAAGGCACCGGATGAGGAGGAAGAGCGGTTGGTTTAATGCAATTTACGCACCCTACAGCGAGATACCCAGCCCCACCGGAACTACCCGCCAACACCTTGGCAGCACTCCTAAACCCACCCTCATCTTGCCACCTCTTCACGCATCTGCGCTGGCCCACATCCCAGATGTAGATCTCCGCGTCGCCCGTGAGGACCGCCAATTTCGAGTTGGCACCAGCACTCGCGGCACCATCCTCTCCTCCCAGAACCCCATTCACTCCGCCGTCAGAGAACCCAGGAGGAATCCACCACATACCCTGGATCCCGCCAGCCCCGGCGCCTCCACCCGCAGACGAGCATTTGAGGCTACCGATGACCTGCCCGGCGCCCGTTTTCCAGTCGACGAGGTGGACGTACCCGCCCCTTCCGGCGACGGCGAGCATGTCGCCGTGGGTGCTGAAGGAGGTGAGGGAGAGGGCTTCGCCGTCGCCGTTACCCCCACCTCCACCCCCGCCCGCGTTGCCTGCTCGGTCGCGTTTGCGTCTCCGTTGGAGGGTAGCGGAAGAGTCCATGATGTTGTTGAAGGTCGTACCCCAGAGGCCGCGGGCGTGGTGTGTGGGTGTGCCGCTGGGGAGGTCGTAGGTGTAGAAGAAGGGGCGGGGGCCGGAGATGAGCATTGTGTCGCCCGAGGGGTGGAAGAGAGCGGATGTGGGGGATGTCATTGGGAGGTTGGGGAAGTGGAGCGTTGTGAGGAGGGGAGATAAGTGTCCGTCCACCTGCGAGCGTCGTTAGATTAGATTAAGATATAGGGTATAGGATGGGATAGGGTTGGGGAAAGGGAAACGTACATTGAACAATCGTATCCGTCTGTCGGCGGTTGCAACTCCCAGAATCGACGCTGTGGTGCTCGGGTGGAAAGTCACGACGCGGACCTCTCCACTACCCGAGTCTTGCACCGACTGGTTAACATCTCGTAGCCGTTCGAGTTTGATTTCGCCTTTAGCGAGGGTAACCTTCCCGCCTCGTCTCTTGGAAGATTTCAGGATCCCGTTGGTCGAAGAGAGAACGGCGAGGGGGTCTTCTTCATCAGCAACAGCCTGCGCCTCCTCTCTAACCACCTTGCGCGCCTTCTTGGCCCACTCAGGCTCAGGATTAATCGCCTCAAACTGCCGTCGCAGGCGAGTCTCGTATTCCTGGATCGTAACCTTGTCTTCGTCCACGGCTTGTCGTAGTTTACGCCGGCGAGCAGTAAGCAGGGAGACGCCGCCGGCAAGGGTTGCGTCTGCAGGATCTGTCCATGCTGAACGCTTTTTTGTTGATTTTATCCAGGATGGGGCGGGTGGATCGGGTGTGGGTTCGGGGAGTGGTTCAGATTGCCCGCGTCCTTGGTCATCGTCTTCGTCGTCGTCGGATTCGTCAGAGTCCTGGGTCTGTGGTGGTGGTGAAGAACCAGCGGGATCTTCGTTCCCATCGTCCACGAAGAAAAGCTATACAACTTTTGAGAACTATAATTTGAATTGAGATAAAACGAATAAACTCACATCCTGGTCGCCCAAATGCGCCAATCCTCGACTTTCGTCTAGAGACGCGTCTCCAAGGTCCAAAGTAACCTCTTCATCATCCTCATCATCACCACCAAACATCTCCCTCTCCTTCCCCTTCCTAGGAACATACTTTGTCCCAAACAACATACTCTCCAACCTCCTCTCTTCATCGTCCTTGGTCGAGTCGTCTAAAAGCCGTTCCAAGTTGGCTTGTTTTTTGTCAATCACCACCGCTGTATCATCTTTTGACGTTTTCTGGCGTTTTCGTGGGTGTTTGGCCATTTTAGTGAGAGTTGTTTGGAGAGAAAGAGAAAGTCCTGGGCCAGTCGATAGAGCCCTGGAGGACCCTTTTTGATTTGGCCGTATGTCGATGGGTGAAGGTGAAATTTCCGTTCCAAGATGCCGCTTCCTGATCGAGAAGACGCCATCTGATGGATGACTAATATCAACACTGCCATCAAGGCCTCGGATTCATTGGTCCTCCGTCTGTGACTCTCTCTTTTCCAACCACTCATCTCCTGTATACCCCTTGTAAACTACTCAGCTACAAAAGACGCTATGGGTAATGACGGTGGAAGCATTCCTGACCGGAGAGATTTAGTCAAGACCAAGGCAAAGGTGCGTAACATGGTGGATTTTTGGTTGGGGAGTAACCGACTAACGAGTGTTGTAGGCAGAACAGGTTGATAAAGCTAGTCAGACCAAGGCCAGGTGGTTCTATTGCGCTTTGTCCAAGGTGAGTTTTACACTCCATGAACACGGCTGCTCGGCTTTCTGATATCCTTCCCCAGAAACCATTGCAGGAACCTATCGTCTCATGCGCGCTGGGGAAGCTGTATAACAAGGATGCGGTTATAGAGTATCTATTGGACAAATCTTCATATGGAGACGGGGAGGAAATCTGTGGTCACATTCGTTCACTAAAGGTATGTCCTACACTCCCTATACCATCTTCAACATGGCGCTTACTAGGACGCGCAGGACGTGAAACAACTAAAGCTCACACCCAACGCCGCACCCTCCACTTCAGACGACACCGACCGAGCCGCCTTCGTCTGTCCTCTCAATCTGAAGGAAATGAACGGCTCCCAGCCTTTTGTCTACATCTCAACCTGCGGGTGCGCGTTCTCACAAGCTGGGCTCCGCACCGTCTCTGGTTCGCCCAAGGACAAGGAGAAAGAGAAGGAGAAGGAAAAGTCGAGTTCGGACAGCCCAGACGCCCCCACCGAGTCCACCCTCGACCTCTGCCCCCAATGCGGAACAAAATATTCACGCAAAGACGATATAATCCCTCTCAACCCCTCCCAAGACGAAGAACGCGAACTCCGGTTCGCAATGGAGCGCCGCCGCGCACTCGAACCCGCAAAGAAGAAATCCAAGAAACGGAAGCACGATAAAGAGGGGAACGGGAACGGCGAGGAGCCGCCAGCAAAGAAGAAACAACAGGGCTCTGGGTCCAACACGCCTCAACCGACTATCAACCCGTCTGTTGGCGCTGCGAGTCGCGCGGTGGTGGAGGGCTTAGCGGCGGAGGAGGCGAAGAGGAAGGCGAATATGAGTGATGCTATTAAGAGTTTGTATGGGGATGGCAAGCCGGCGAAGAAGGAGACGTTTATGACTATGGGCACGTTTACGAGGGTGAGTTTCATTGAATTCGTTGTCATATTTGTGGTGATGCTTATAATGTTTACAGTATGCATAATGAACGGTGTCGAGGGTCTACCTCGCATGTAATATAGTATCTTCTTGTACAATAATAATCAGCTTGGCTGGTCCCATATACGTATGCTGATCCTTCAGAACCTCTAGTCATTCCGGCTCAGCGGGGTGGTACACCAACCAGAACAGACAAAACGCACCTGTCGAACCCACGTCTTAATCCTACTCCTCATCGACGGATCCGCGCTCAACTGCTTAATCGTCTTCTTAATCACCGCAACCTGCTCCCTCTGCGAACTCGGATCGCTATACATCAACAACTCCATCAAACACCTCCTCAACTCCTTCCCCGCATCCGTCGCAGGAATCGTCTTACCCTCCCGCAACTCCCTCTGCAAATGCAAAATAATACTATTCGCCACGTCTTTCTCAAACACACTCTTCACCACATCCCTTTCGGTGACGTCGTCGCGGAGGTCGAGGCTCCTCGCGCCGGCTTCTGTCATTTGTTTGAAGAACGTGTTGTCGAGGTCGATGGAGCGGATGAGGGATTGTGCGTCTGGTGGCCGGGGCCATTGGGTTTTGACGAGGAAGGTCTTGGGGCAGGAGTCGGGCCCGCAGATCTTTTGGAAGAGGTCGAAGGACATTTGGGTTTCGCGCACCATGCGTTTTTGGGTCATGTCGTGGAGGTAGATTATGCCTGTGAGGTGGCGTTCGGGCCTGTCGTAACCATCCCCTCTTGTCTGTCAGTTTTGGGATGTCTGAAGGGAGGAGGAGGATACTATTACTGACATGTTCTTAGGTCTCAACCAGTTGGATATCCGTTGGAGAGCGTCGAGGTCGCTTCCGTCTCCACCAAAGAACCCGGGTGTGTCGACTAGGACTAGTCGTTTCTTCGGAGAGGGAAGCCAGTCGTCGGGGATGGAGTCGGGGAAGGCGGTGACGGTTCGCGTGCAGGTGCTATAGTCGTGCGTGACTCGGGCGGCGTCGCGGCCTAGGTAGTTGTTGATGAACTAGCAGTTACGATCGCATGAGGGGAAAATGGGCAAACGATGGTAATGGAGTAGGGTGCGTGTCTTTTTAGCGCCTTTTTCTTGTGCGTTTGGATGGGAAGTTGGGAATGCGTACCGTGCTTTTCCCGACGCCTGACGGGCCCATGACACTAAAGAAAGAACGAAAGAAAGATGCAAGTCAGGTTCAAGTGCTTGTACGTGTTTTGGGAGTAGGAGTAGGATGATTAGGATGAGGGAAGAGAAGGAGGGACTCGTACAGAATCAAAGCATCCTCGTCCGTGTATCGTGTTTGGTCCTCCTCTACGTGACTGGTGCTCGAGGCAAACGGTAGTGTAGCCCTTCGAAGGGGCACTGACAAGCGCTTTCGGGAACCAAAGCTCGAAGTCATGGCCAGTCAACTCGGCTAGCGGAGCGAAGATGGTTTGTTGAGGATAGATGGCTTGTCGAGGATGGATAGCTTGTTCGGGATCCAGGTCACTGCAACCGTCAAAGACGCAGACGCTCCCTTCGAGCCTGAGCGACAAATCCAAAACCAAGGGTAACTAGAGGCTAGACGCCGCTGAACGGCAACCTCATGTTGGACTCGAGTTCATGACGGATTTTGCTGCATCTACGGACCGCGACAACGTGTTTGAATTCAACAAGCAGCACATTGTCATTGATTGTGCTTGTGCTTGTACACGATAAGTAGCGCCTTGTTGTTGTTGATGTGTGGTGCTTGATAGATGTTAAATCGCCTTGTTTCTCTAGTTATCAGTGTATGGATACAGCGTGTGGACCAGGTGGACCAGACAGCGACAACTTGAATGAACGTGCAGGGAGAGGCGCCGGTGATAGGGGCTACCTAGACATGCCGTATTTGCCGGCGGGATCTTCCAGGTATATTCCCACGACTTTGGCCGTCGTCGTTGCATCATCGCGTCGGCGCTCAACGTCGCGTCGGACAACATTAGCGACTTTCTTACCTTCCTTCCATTCACTTCGGTTGTTGTAACACGCCCGCCCAAGATGTCAGCGACAGAACTCAAACTCAAGGTTATGACCCAAGCGCAGGTGGATGAGGCATTGACGGTGAGTACCCAGTTTCTCTCTCTGGTTTCTTCACCCTTGAATTCACAGAACGTCATCCTCGTCACAATTGGATTTGAAACGATACACAGGAAGCTAAGAAGGAAGCGTTCTTCGCTGGCTTGACTGGTGCTTTGGCATCATGTGAGTTCCTTATCTGTGAATATTTCCCTTCTGCAAATCGTATTGACCATGTAGAATTGCAATGAAATGAAATGGATACTACATAGCCGTCATTGGATCCAGGCTTTTGAAGTTCAACCGGAACACGTCTATCATTTCTGGAATCCGTTCGTACCTCGACTCCCCTCTTCCTCATCACGCAAAACACCAAAGTTTAACGACGTTTTTGATTCCAGTTAGCGGCGTATTGTCCGGGTATTACTTCAACGAGGCAAGTCCATTCCTGAGCATATACACCTATCTCGGAACCTGCGTTTGAACTAATCACAAATGTATGACTTTCTTGTCCTTTGATGGTGTGAACTACAGGCATTCCGTTCAACTGCCATCGCACAACTGCGCCGCGAGGATGCGAGGTTAGCCGTGGAGGCGGAGATGGCAGCTCAAGCTCAAGGCCAAGCCCAATCACAAGATCCCACCGCCAGCTTTTCATCATAGCGGACCAGATTCTGTAGAGCGCTTACGACCAAAACGGAGACCACATGTGATCGATTCACCAGGGTGAGAGAACCCCCCTTCCTCCTCGTTTTTCCCTGCCATCTGTTCTTCGTTTCCCTTCTGAATGATATAGACAGTCTTTCCTTTCCTTCTGAAGTTACTTGCGGCTCTACTTGTGAGATGAAGTACATATGTGTATGTAACTGACACCCCAAATTATTAACTTTAGGAGGGAACGTTGACGAAACATACCAAATTCGATCGAACGTACAGAAGAAGAAGAAACCTTGATTCGAATTTCGATTGCACTTGGCATACCAATCCCCTACTCTTCCCACTCTTCCCTTTTCCACTTCCCCCAAGTTCTACTTGCCTTCTACCTTCCCGCCGTCTCACCGGAACAGGGGTACCACCGTGCCCGCGATGTTACTGCCAAGTTGTGTATGTTGTTATCTTCTGTTCCAGTTCATCTTGGACTCTTCGAAGTCCGCACCAATCACACCTGTCACCCTCGTTCTTCGTTCCCCGGTGCCACCATATCATCCGGATCCCTTTCACCGCTCCACCCCTCGTTGAAATCTTCCAACCGCGGAGTTTTACCGGGTGATACCGACTGGAGTGATGGTCAGACAGGTTTACTGTTACACGCTCTCCTTCCCTTCCCGAATTCCCCTTCGTTTGGTTCTGGTTCTTTGTCGTTCCTGCGCGGCGCGTGGTGGGTCACGATGGCTGGATATGGCTGTGGCCTATGGATTGTGGAACACGATAAGTGTGTTGCGATTGCCGTATCAGATCGATTTTTCTTTGGGCAGTTATCATCGTTTTTGGATGTAACCATCCATCTATTCGTCTACTCATCACTTCATCTATTCACCCGCTCACACAACTGATGTCCCTTTGACTTCTCCATTCTGCGCACGGTCGTTTTTTTGCTATGGTTTTGCTGATGTGGCGTTTTATTGCGTTGTCTCGATTGTGCTCGATCGCCGCTGCACATTCAGTCCGACTTCCAAGGACGGTCGTTCCCCGTCCACAGAGGAACGTATTCCCCGCGTCTCGTGTCTGGATTCCATTTCGTATCCCCTTGCTTTCGTATATACAGTGCAACGGAGATGGGACGGATGATGCTAAGCTTGTGGGGTGGAGTGGCGACCTTGTCGCGTTCTTCCGAGTCCTGGTCCTAGGACTTGGAGACTCGACATCTGATCCAAGGGGATCTATGAGACGCGTTTGACCCGAGGTCGACGCGTGTATGGGTTCTGAATTCTGGAATGGCGGATGTTTTATAATTCCAGGGTGCTGCATTGGGGATCGATAGTCCCTTGCGGAGAATGGGAGCTGGGTTATGTTGGAGGGAATCAATCACTGTTGTCAGTTACTCCCTGTAATGGACGGTTGGGACCACCGTTAGGTACCGGTTTTGGCTCTACGGCGGACTCAGCGGGGATGATGTTCTCTCAACGGGATCCAGAGTGTACTTCGTTCTACTGTTTGTGGCAGTTTATTTAATTGGATATGCCGGAGGGCTTGTCGTTATCGCTTCGCTTTGGAGACGCTCCAAAAAACCTAACTCCTCAGGCGTCTGATTTGGGCATAATGGACAGCATATATTGGGGCATAAAGAGTGTCTGATGCGAAAGCATGTGCTGAAGACGGAGTGGAAGCATGGAGTGAGGCTAGAGGGTGAGTGATAATAACTAATAATGTACAACGACAAGACTGTCTTGTCGTATTAATTTGCGATCTACGCGATCCTCCTCCGGTTAACACTACGATATAACTGAGCAAGTGCCTCAAGGAAGCGTCGGTACCGGGAGTTGCGGCGGACCAACGGCGACCTCGGAGCCAGGAGAACATCTCCTGAAAGGGGAATGTCGAACAACAATGTGGAACCAATGGAAACAGGCGACAAGGGAATCCTTTTATCAAAAGAGGAGTCCCAGAACCAAGACTGCACGTCGATCTATGAATCAAGCGAGCTGAGTCTCCATAATGCAAATGCTACCGAAAGAACACTTGAACGATGACTTACAGTGATTGCCTTTGTTCCAGAAGGCGGTGGTCTGGGGTAGGGATTTGGATCAGAACTGGTTTGGCGAAGTTGGAGGTCATGGGTCGCTTACCCTTTAGGCCGTCGACCAGCAGAAGGTCGCCTAGTGGCTTGTGGTGCCTGCACCTCCTGACGATATCTTCGCAGGATCTCCTCCACCACTCGTTTAGAATCCTCCTTCCCATCCAAGATTTGACATACTTGAGCCCCCTGCTCAATCGCCTCCCTCCACAGCCCCTCCTTCCAACCCCTTTCCCTAGCCAAAACCTCTTCGTGGCTATCCGACTCGACGTCGTCTGAATCCCATTGCGAAGTACACAAAGCGACTCGTCGGCAGTCGTTTGCACCGCACAGTTGGGTGAACTTGCGGAGGTACATGTGGTAGCCGCTGGTTTGTTTCCGGACGGTGATGTCATGGAGGTAGATGATCCCTGCGAGTTTCATGTTGCCACGAGGGTACCTGGAGGTGGAAGAGGGTGGGTCAGATTGGGTCTGAGTCTGAGTTCGTTGGTGAAGCGGGGAGAAAAGACGTACGTCTTCTTGATCCAGCCCGAAAGGAGGGAGAGGATATCCTCGTCTGCGAGTTTCTCAAGACCAGAGTCGAATCCTGGGGTGTCGAGGAGGATGACTCGGTTCGAGGAAGAAGCATTGGCTCGATCATAGCAAGGCACGATTTGTCGCGTCTTCGGCTCATGACCGTGTCCAACCTCCGCGTAGTCCTTCCCAAAGTACTTGTTGATGAACTAATTGACAGGAAGCGACAAAGACAATTGAGACTCTCGTTAATTCAACTGTCCATTGTAGAAATGTTTGAAGTTTACGAACCGAACTTTTGCCAGAGCCCGTCACGCCGACCACACTAGATATTGAAATAGAGGGTTCAAAGGGATGAAACTATTGAGAGTTATAATACGAACGTACGCAATTAGTTGGTCGTCAGGCCTTGGATCTGGGAGGACGCTCGAGGCCATGTTCTGGGTTGGAGGCTGGGTGTTGGCGGATGGGATACTGGAGGGAAACGGGCTGGTGGACGAAAGGCCAGAGGGGCGTCGAGCTTGTTAAATGGGTTCTCGATCGCCTCAGGGACATAAGCAAATACTTGAAAATCTCGTCAATCGTCGAGACAAAGGCACGACTACACTCCCCTCAGCGCGGTAACCACGCCGCACCCCCAAGTTAATTTTCAGGGTTTGGGCGCTTAATTGGATTAATTAAAATGATGTCATCATCTGCATTTCAAGTTCTCGGCGAGGTGGACGGATCACATCACAATCGGTATTGGCATCTAGAAAAAGCAAAGACAAACACAAGGGCGCTTGACTCGGATTTGGTTGGACTCGAGCGTCACTTGACCTTGACTTGACCTCTCTGCTGAAACGATGGTTCATGTCAGTGGTATGTCCCAGCCTCACTGTGATCAATTGAAGAGTGCTTAGCGCCCATATAGCCCGTCTTTTGGAGCCCAGAACCGTGGATTTTACCCAAACGCGTCGCCTTCACGCGTTGTACTCGGTAAACCCGAATTCACATTAGCCTCACGGGAAGGCTCGCCCCCAAGGCCTACCATGAAATTAAGGTGCAGGATGGAAGACTGGAACAACCCCTCCAAGAACGCCAGACATGCGATCTTTTGTCACTGTACGTCCGTGGTTCCCGGTTGACCTGATTCACGCAGCTTGACGAAAAATTCTTTCCAGTCCTTTCTCCATGGTTGACGAAGCGCGCACGCTTTGGCTGTCTGGAAAGGTCAGAAACAAGCACTTCAGGGTATGTGAGGCGCGGAAGGCGCGGTGTACCATGGCGTGATTCTCTGGTCACGATGGTTCTCCGTTCGATCCTAACCACAACACTCTCGGTGGTTGCGAAAGTGCAATCCTGACGTTCTCTTGGAGCTGTTGGGCGCTTCAGATGTTCTCCATCTTGTACAGAAACGACAGGTGTGAGCCTCGACTCTGTTCTGGCTCATGGAGTCGGTGTTCGGTTCTGTGCCAGATACTTTATGTTCGAAAAGCTCGCCATCCGAAAGCCAGTGAGTAAAATGTGTCTTGGTTGTGGTTGTATAGCTATTAACTGAATGCCTTCTTCAAGCGGTTCATGAACCGTGCTATAATAGATCTTTTCCCAGTGCTACCCCTAACCACCTTGCGAGCCTCCGCCAGCTCCGCCAACAAGTCTTTTGCTGGTAAACCTGCACCAAGTATGCGACCTAGTTGCTCGTGACAGAATGTCGTCACCTCTGACACTCCGTATGTCCTCCCGCTGTATTTGTAAACGTCCTGGCCCCCGTTCCTGACCTTGTCGTTGGTCATGATGGTCAATACCGCAGCCCTATACCTGTGGAGAGCTGTTTCGAGGTGCCGTACGAGGTTGGGTCCACCCTGGTAGCAATCTCGCTGCTTTTCCTCCTGGAGGAGAATAACACCACATTTGACTGTTGCATTTCCTCTTCCACAACTTATGCGAAATCAGCTCTCGCTTCACTGTCTTCCGTGAACGAGGGGAAATACTCACTAATCTTGGATCCAGCGTATTATCTGGTCCACTATATCCTGATCCGACAAGCCTTCAGAGTCGTCGAAACCAGGAGTATCGACTAGGAGGAGTCGATTGTTTGACATGGAGAGTGAGACTTCGTAGTGGACTGTCGCCCTTGTGACGGGCTTCAATCCTGCGCCAACCTCGGCTCCTCTACCCCCACAGGGACTGCAGTTATTCACGAACTGCGTGGTTGATCAGGTAAATGCACAAAGGATAACCGCGTGGGACCTCACGGTACTCTTCCCTGCCCCAGTCAGCCCCATCAATCTATCGTCCCAGGTGAGTTGTATATAAATCACAGCAAATTTTTGATTGTACTGACATAACAAATGGCAGAGGGCGCCCACTCATTACTGTGCGGATTTTCTTTGTCAACGCCTAGAGTGCTAGAGGCTTGTAGGGTAAGAAGTGCAGTTGCTTTGTGCGATGTGACGATTCGCGTGAGATGGGCCACTCTCGCTATGAGGGCCTCATCTTTGTCCCTCCCGGAGTCTGCAAGGACACCTTCTTCAGCCAAACACTGTGTCCAGAGCATGGACACCGCATGTCATTGAAACTTGAAACACACGAACGCTTCACGAATTCAACGTGCCTTGTTAGATTTCGATCATGAAACACGTGTCACCTCCTGGTGCTGGGCGCTTAACTGGGCACGATGCAGCGTGGCGGTCGTCTCAGGGGGTTTCCAAAGTCCATTGAACCGTCCGTCCTAGCGAGGCGTAGGGGGCGCCTTTGTGACAGGAAAACTGTTGTATCGCCACCAAACTCCATTATCAACACACCATGACCTATTCGCCTTTTTTCAAGAGTCAGGGTTGTTGGATGCCGAACCGTAGATAAAGATCATCTAAGTACTGAGATTCTTCTCTCATTTGGACAGACCGATCCCTGATGTCAGTATGCCTAGTATGGACCTACTGATTTAGATTTTCTTGACATGAACTAGTGGCACAAGACGCGTGTTCGCCTGCGCCAATAGTCCGTCGGCACGAGGGGGTCAGTCCACCTTATCATGCTCGATGCGCGTGGGCGCCGCGTTCCGAGAACCTGTTTGGTAAATCTGACCAAGACTGTGCCCTTAAACTAAACGAAACTTTCGAACGAGCGTTCCTCGTACCTCCACGACATCGCTCTTTTCCGCACCCCTTCTGAATCTTGGAATCGTCACACCATGGCATCCCCGAGGAGCAGTTCCACTATCGACAGAGACCCCTTCATTCCCGATGCAAAAGCGGACGATATGTTGATACTGTGCGACACAATTAGATTCTTCTTTTGACTGCCTGCTCATACACTCTCCAGCGTTATGGGACCAACGGGTGTCGGGAAAAGCACTGTTCGTTTTATTTCTCTCATTTCCATGTCACTAGGCCCGGGTGTCTGACAGCCTAACTACAGTTCATCCAGCGATATACCAAGAACCAGGCTTGTACGATCGGAAACAGCCTCGTATCGTGCACCCAGAGCGTCACATGCTATGAGGCGACTGTCCCTTCCGAGTTCGAAGATCTGACAAAGAGGCGCTTGTTCCTGGTGGATACGCCTGGATTCGACGACACTTATCAAGACGATTCGGCAATCTTGAAACGCGTCTCGGACTGGTTGGCCAAATCGTGAGTACAGGTGTCCCTCATTGCTATGAATTGGCACTGAGTTTTTGGTCAAGGTACAAGACCCAGATGCGCGTAACTGGTATCGTATATGTCAACGATATCAGCCAGAAGCGGATGTTTGGGTCTACTAGGACGAACTACAACATGTTCAAGAAGTTGTGCGGTCACAAGTCTTTCAAGCGACTGGTGATGGCTACTTCTCAGTGGGACCTCGTCGAATCAAAGAGCGGGGAGAAGCGCGAGGATGAGATGAAGAAGGAGTTCTGGAAAGATGTGCTGAAGGAAGGGGCCGTCATCAGGCGCATCATGTACGAGGGAGAGGACTTGAAGGATGAATCTAAGGGTATCATCACTTACCTACTAGACGAAGAGCAGCGACACGATCGCAACAGAAGGCTTAAGACCGAGGCGTTGCGGATTCAGACAGAGGTCGTGGATTTGCAGAAAAGGATACCCGCAACCAAGGCCGGGAGGGAGCTGAGGACGACTTTGGAAGGCCTGTTGCAAATGCAGAAAGAGATGGAAGTGGAAGAGATGGATTCAGGCCGCGTTGAGGATCTGAAGAAGAAGAAGGAAGACCTGCAACGGCAAGTCGACACCTTGCAGCTCACTCTGTCTGAGCGCATAAAGGGTTGGCTCAGGCTTTAGATATCTTGATCGCCATTGTCACTATCGTGTAGCGTATGCTTAAACCATATACACTGTGTTCGACAAGAGATAGTCCCCACTTTTTAAAGGATCAAGTGGCCGCTCCACGCTCCCGAGTTGAATACCGCGCTGCCATAACATAAAGTTGTGACACGGATTGATTCCCATTGTCCATAAATGAGATGAACGCGGAAGGCCACGCGATTGAGGGCTGCCATGTGCTTCTGAGTATGATAGATAGCGAATGAGAAGCATGAATCGAGTGGCATTGAAACAGGGGCTTCCTGTGGTGTCACCTCGTTCAGGCGAACATTGTTCGTCAGTCCGAGTAATCGGATCGATGCGACTAGGCTCGAAGGTACCCCCGGTCGCATTACTTCAGGTCGACCCGGAAGTAGCGGCATGTCAAGAGCTTCAAGAATGATGTGCCTACTGTGCTTGGATGAGCTCCCTCTACACCGCCACCAACGCGAGTGTAAAAGAATGCAGGCGCCTGTCTCCCGTCAACTTACCTTCGATCCTCATCGTGCCCCTAATGGCCTTTAACCGAATGAAGGGCTTCAAGAAAGCAGTCGCTCTCTCAGGCTCCAACGCAGGAATTCCAGGAGATATAGTCATTCCGTACGGCAGTTTCTCCTGAATTTGCACCGGATTGAAGCTGATGACCTTACGTTTCACAGGATTTTAGGAGCTACTGGTACTGGGAAGAGTACCGTAAGTCTGGCCAGATCCCTAACTTCATTTGTGTGGTTAAACAAAGGTTCTCCACTGTCGTCCTCAGTTCATCAATGACTTCTTTGGAGAGGATCTCGCGAAAACGTCTGCTGCCATAACCTCCTGCACGACCGAAGTAAAAGCATACTCCCTGTCTGGGAGGCCTGCTGGCTCTGACTCGAGGCGCGTTGTGCTGGTCGATACCCCCGGATTTAACGACAGTCATGAATCCGAACTCGAAATTCTACGCCGGGTTGCTGCCTGGCTCAGTGATGCGTCAGTTGCATATGTCTTATCTTTCGCCTACATGTATCCTGACTAGATTTAAAACAGTTACAAGGAGAAGATACAGATAGCGGGTGTCGTTTACCTGACGGATATATCCCAGAAGCGTCGCGATAGCGCTGCTCGCTTACTCTCCGTTATGTTCGAGCGCCTCTGTGGTCCTGATTTCTTCCCGAAAGTGATCATGGTAACGACCTTTTGGGATCAGACAACTCAAGCTCTGGGCGAGTCCCGGTTAGGAGAGTTGAAGGCGGATGATTGGAAAAGCATTCTCAACAACGGCGGCTCGACGCATCCCATTAAGGATCGCCCTCAGGATGTCCATGCCATTGTGGACCTTATCATCAAGCAGCACACCGGAGGCGCAAGACACCCTGATGCAGTTGCATTACAGCGAGAACTAGTGGACGACCGCATCATGCTTAAGAAGACGGCGGCAGGTAAAATCGCAAGGAACATGCCCGGGCCTCAACCCACCCTGGGCCAGCGCGCGATGGGATGGATACAAGACAGATTGCTAGGTTAGAATTCCGCACTTGTTCAGTCTCAGTTCCTCTGATCACCATCCTTCCCAATGGCAGTTTGACCTCTTAAGTTACATGTAACGTCCATTATCGTTTGGAGAAGCTCACGACGTGTCCTTCTTGTACTTATGCCGTAGAGAACCGAGGTATTCATTCGCGAGGGCGCGTGAAACCCGATTCAAGGACTCTTCACTTGCCCAAACTTCTGATTCACCCCCAAAGCCACCTGAAGCTGGCACTGAATACCCGTTCCCTCGCTTTGAGACTGGTCTGTGGAGCCTTCTGCACCGTCGCCAAGCACGTATGGTACACTGTATCTCATCTGCCAAATGCGTTGTGACGTCCAGGTCGGTTCTTTCCTCCTCAGTCTTTTCCTTGGGCGGGATGGAGCTTTCTTCTCGGTAATCCTTTACACGGTCACTATTCACTTTTCGAAACCGTCGAGAACGCAAGGGGGCGTATCTCACCAGCAATCATCTGCCTCGTGCTGTGTGGAATGAACCCGGGAGGCGAAACTAGTCTGCAATTAATCGGTGACAACCTTCATGTTAGTCGCCCTTGTTCCATACTCAATTGTCATTGGTCGTTCCCTATTCCCAGCAGACCGGATACGGATGATGCTTAGCCCGTTGCATCATTCTTTTTGTGTTTCAAGGGATGCCTCATGTCTACCTCGTTTTTGCAAGGACACGCCTTTGACGTCCAGAGGACGCTGTTTGCCCATCACAACACTGCGATTGGAAGTATCTGGGAGCACGCCGTGACTACCGCACGTTTGACCAAGCCCAGCCCTCAAAAAGTCTGTGATACGTCGCGTCGAGACGTTGTCCTCGAAACTCTGGCTACGTTTTACATCCCTTCCGAGACCCTCCCTTACAGCTCTGGCAAGCATGGCAAAGAAAAAGGGAAAGGGAAAGTGGAGAAAAGCCCTGAAGTGGAGCGACAAGACCTTACAGAATGCACAACAAACCGATATCGTCATCCCGTACGTTCGATTCTTAGTCTGTACCAGCGACGGGTCTGATGCATGGGTGTAGAATCATGGGAGCCACAGGTGCTGGGAAGAGTACAGTACGCCTTCACCTTTGACCTCCGAATCCCAAGTCCTGTGAACTGAAATGAGCTACTGATAGTTCATCAACCTTTTCTTTGACAAGACAGTGGCGAAAACCTCTGATTCGCTGAACTCTTGCACGGCCGATGTCAAGGATTATCCTGGACCATGGAGGAAAGACCTCAGCAGGCGGATAGTGCTCGTTGATACCCCAGGTTTCAACGATAGTCACGAGGACGAGGCCGAGATCTTGCGGCGGGTATCAGTTTGGCTAGCGAAGGCGTAAGTGGGTTCGCGACTGGTATCTCGAGGGCAACTTTGCTAATTGAACCTGTTATAATTTATCGCCAGCTACGACGACGGAATGAGGGTAGCCGGAGTCATTTATCTCAGCGATATTGCTCAGAAGCGCGTCTACGGCTCAACGCGTTTGAACCTGACCATGCTTCAGAAGCTCTGCGGGGATGATTTCTACCCAAGGATCGTCATGGCTACATCCCACTGGGACGAGGTTCCTTTGCATGTCGGAGAGCCGCGCGAGGAGCAGCTTCGGGAAAACTTTTGGGCCGAGATTATTGGAAAGGGTGGAAAGACTTGGAGGATCATAACGAGGGATGACGCCCTTGCGGCGATTGATTCTATCGCAGAAGAGCATCGTAGGAGGGGCCTTCAGACTGACTCGGGAACCTCAACGAGCAGCTCGGGGACCACTGTTAACGAAGATGCCATCGCGCTGTTGCTGCAAAGGGAGCTGGTAGAACTGGACAAGATCATCCCAGCGACGGGGGCAGGAAAGGAGTTGAAAGGCAATATCCGTAACCTTTTGGAGGTATTGAAGCATGAAGTAGCGGAGGAGCAGGACCCGGAGAAGAAGGCAGAGCTGCAGAGAAAGCTGCAGTTCCTCAGGTCCCAGGTGAAACAGTTGAATATTCCCCTTGGAGAACGGCTGCGAATAATATTCGGTTTCGTGAGTTTTTTCCCCCTTTCAATATCGTGGCTATGGGTCTCACAGCGCACCCCGGTAGTAATAGTATCAAGTATGACCAAGTATGCAAGCATTTGTAAATTGTGTTATATTATTAGTCTCATGAAATCGTAAGCTTATTCCAAAACGTATCTCTCGGAAATTGAAGTCGCTTCAGAAGGTACAATATACATAGGTAGATAACGACTACAGACCCAGAGCAGTCTTCAAACGTTCGCTGAGTGGGAGCTTCAGCTCCTCGATCTGCGCTTTTATTCTTCGCCTACGACTCTCTGCAACTGTTTTAATCTCCGGTCGCTCCGAGTCCTCGCCAGTTCGCTCTCGAAGGCTTGCCAGATATTCCTCCAACTCCGCCTTGAGCGTTCGACCGGCCTTCGTAGCGGGAAGAGACTTTTCGAGATCAACTATCTCCTCCTGGATCTTGAGCTTCAAGCGATTCTGGAGGCGAAGGATATGATGGACAGGGGTGTCTCCCCTGAGCTGACCCTGAGCATCGTATTCGATTCGCATCATGGCACCCCCTCCTGCCAAGACGTCCTTCCAGAAAGTCTCCCTTAGTTCCTTCTCTCGTTTCACACCCGCTTCTCGACTGATTGGTGTGATAAGCTCGTCCCAATGCGAGGTGGCCATTACCACACCTTGGAACGATTCCCGACCACAGAGCTCCTTGAACACCTTGAAGTTCAAGCGTGCTGACCCACCCATGCGCTTTTGAGTGATGTCTCCAAGATAGACGATACCTGAGAGCTTTTTCTTATCGCAATAGCTGTTTGGCCAGGGTTAATTAATGCGCCGGAATAGTCCGGGGGGCACTCACGAGTCTTTCAGCCACTCGGAAACTTTCTTCAAGACTTGCGTGCCGTCGTCGTACGTGTCGTCGAAGCCAGGAGTGTCGACGAGGATCAGGTTTTCGTTGGCCTGGCTCCCGAAGACCTTTGGCTCTGCGACCGAATAGCACGAAACGTCTTTAGTGCACGATGTAAGGCCATGACCCTCCTCAATCGTGTCACACCCCGTAATCGCCTTAATGATCTGTTCATGGCTAGGTTAGCGACAAAACAACCATTAATGGAGATTACGCACCTTGCTCTTTCCGACTCCAGTGGGACCCATCACCCTACGATTAATACAAGCTTAATGTTGGCTTGAAACGAAGTTGAGCAGGACACTCACAAGATCAGAATGTCATCGGGGGGCTGGAACCTGAGGAGGTGCTCAAGGACAGCGTTCGTGTCATTGATGTCTCGCGTATTCATCTTCATTCGGTGAGCACGGTTCTTAGTAACCATGGCGTGCCATGCACTGCCAGGGGCAACAAGCGCTTGCGAGGCTTCCTCCCAGGCTTCTTCTCTCCGCCATCTCGCCTCAAGGCTTTCGTTGGGCATCTTCTCGGGCCACGCCTCCACCAGCACAAGTCGCTCTAGACTCTCCGTCCCGAGAAGTTTCTTGAAGGCCTGGAGAGTCTTAGTCGATGGGTAGCTGTGGCGGACGAGTGCTACAGTCGTATCATGGACCCAGATAATTCCCGAGATGTGTCTCGACTTATAACTAGCGGCCGCACGGAGGGTTAAACCGAAGCCGATGAGGTAGGCTCCAAAGACGTACTTCTTCTCAAGCCAGGCCGTCATCTTGCTCATGACTCGCGCCTGCGAAGCCTGCTGATTAGAGTCATCGATCCCAGGGGTATCGACGAGAATTAATCTCCTGTTCAGCCAGCGGCCGAACTTGACTTTGGTAACTTGAAAGTCAGAAACGTCTCGGGTGCCATCTCTCATCTTATCCCCCGCTTTGACTGAATCAGCGTAGTTTCCAACGAACTGCAAACATTAAGCGCGCCATCGTCACTCGATCGAGGACGGAGACCCACTGTGCTCTTGCCCGCCCCAACACCACCTACAACCCTGAGATGTAATTATCAGCCACCACATCCAATCGTCGACTCGACCCAACTTACAAAATCACAATGTCATCGTTCCGTGCATGGTTATCGACCATTTTCGAGGGAGGCGTGGCAGGAGGAGACAAGGCCGATTGAAAGATGAGATAGAAGCTTCAACGTTCAACGTTCAACCTCTTGATCGGGAAGGTTGCCCTTTTGGGTGGCAGAACCAGCCTAGATGGGGAGGTGACAAGATGGGCTTTGCTCCGTAGCCCGTTTCACAATCGACGACCGTCTCCGTGAGGCGCCGACATGCTGCAAGCGTGTGGTGGACGAGCCGGCTTCCTAACCAGGAGTTCGGAGACCTCTCGTAGACCATCTAAGTAACTATCGTAGCGTCAGAGAAGTCCAAGGCCACAGTCTCGATGATGGAACTTACCCTATGCCATGTCAACTTACCATTCACTTGGTTCAAGCATGCCTAGCGCGCTTGCTTTCCCGTTGGGACACCCTCGAATTGACCTGATATTCATCAATTACTAAAGGAAAAACAAAATCGGTCCCCAGGAGTACAGTCTTTAATTCTGCAGGACAAAGTGAAATTGAATCTCGAATTGAAGATGTCATCGTTGGCGCTGAGAGAGAAAAACGGGCAACCCACGACCAACCCACGACATGCAAACATGGAAACATTACATAATTTGTTGCAAAAAGCACAAGCCCTCGCCAAACAACCTCACTCATCTCCATGACTTTCCGATAACTTAGCGCCCATGCCTTTGCATGTGATCGAAAACAGGGGCTCTGACCGGGGAGAATCATGACAGATCACGACTAGAGATTGCTGCATACACATGGACACCGCACCGAAGTTCAGCCTTATGTCTTCCTCGTGTCAGCCTTGTCGATTCCTGCCGACCCAGTCAGTACATGATTCTGTACACGTTCTTGTCACTGACCTCATTCAGGTTTGGAGCTAAATAGAATGGGCATATGCAGGAGGTTATATCACACAGAGCCCCGATACCACCAGCCCAATCATCACACCTCACAACGATGGCGAAGAAAACCGGCAAGAAGTGGAAGAAAGTCGTAAAGCCTAGCGATAAGACTTTGAAGGGGAAGAAAGACGACATCATCATCCCGTACGTCCTTCATTGGGTCATTGGCAAAATAGCTTCTGATGTTTTCTCGAAGTATCATGGGATCGACGGGTGCCGGAAAGAGCACCGTATGTGTGAAACCTGTTGTGCATTTTACCAATCCTCGCTAACGAACAACCTTTTGTATTTGTCTAGTTCATCAATACCTACCTCGGGGAGGAGAGGGCGCGGACGTCAGACTCTCTTAACTCGTGCACCCCCGAGGTGAAGGACTATCATCACACTCTGCCATCGAAAAGGCGGGTCGTCCTTGTGGATACGCCGGGCTTCAACGACACACATGAGGACGAAGCGGAGATCCTAAGGCGTGTTTCCGTCTGGCTCGCAAGCGCGTGAGTGGACATTGTTTAGTTATTGTATGGCCACTTTTCTGACCAATCATCCACCAGATACGAAGCAGAAATGAAGGTCGCCGGTGTCATATACCTTCATGATGTTTCGCAGAAACGCATGTACGGGTCGACCCGGTTAAACCTGACTATGTTCCAGAATCTCTGTGGACCGAACTTCTTCTCGAAGGTCGTTATGGCCACCACTCATTGGGACGGCATCAATTTCAATGCGGGTGTGGAACGAGAGGCTGAGCTCAGGCAAAACTACTGGTCGCCCATCCTCAGCCAGGGTGGAACGATCAGGCGTATTGTCTCCAGACCGAAGGATGTTCGCGAGGCTGTCAACCATATCGTTGCACAGCACATTCGCAACGAATCTCGCTCCAGCCCCGGGGTCGACGCGCTCGCGTTGCAGCACGAGCTGGTGGAGCTCGACAAGAGTATCCCAATGACACAGGCAGGGAAGAGGCTGAAAGGGACACTGCGCGAAATCATGGAGTCGCTGAAGGAGGGGTTGGCCCACGAGTCGGACCCACGGAGGCAGGAAGAGCTCAGGAGACAGATGACTTTGCTCCAATCGCAGGTTCGGGAACTTAACATTCCGTTTGGGGAACGACTCAAGAGTTGGTTTGGTTTGGTGAGTCTTCTCCATTCGTACCTTCTAGATTGTGGCTAACGGCCGGTTGACAGTAAACCCCCGTGCATGTATTCACTTTCTACCCTTTCTACATCTCTTCTCGACTTCCTCGACTCCCGCCCGTGTACATCATCAATCATGTAGTAGGATTATAATATGCTTTCTTCTCTCGGTGCCTTTGTCCTTCTCTCCGCGTGCGCGAAGACGCTCAGACTTCCAAATCTCTACTTGCGCTGACCGTGACATGGCCGAAGCTGGCCCCCAGTCGCGGTCTTAAAAGAGTCACATCTCGTCGCAGTACCCCTCCCCCTCCCATCGCCGACGACGATACAGCACTATGTGGCACCGCTGCAACGACTGCGATCGGTCCTTCTCTACTTCGTCTGCCCTGAACGACCATTGTCGATCCCTTGGTCATGAACAAGATCTCTACTGTAAGAACTGTGACAAGCACTTTACTTCCAGTTATGGACTGCAGCAGGTGAGTTCCCTTCAGATGGAATACATAGTACCCAGCTCATTTTCTGAGCTCTGCCTCTCGACCATAGCACCTTGAGAGCTCTTCAGCACACCGAACCTGCAGGAACTGCATCGTTACTTTCGACACTCTCAAGCAATTCAGAAGAGTACGTCTGACTTGACCGCACATGGACTTCGAAACTTACCTCTTTCCCGTAGCACCGTGGAGGTTGCAGATAGACAACTTACACAGGCGACTTACCACAGCTACCTTTACCTACCATGCTCGAGACTCTGTTCCCATGATCAACAGTCAATGGACATCGTCGAACGTCGCTGCCCGTTTGGATGGAGTCTATGAGGCACTTTACGACATCAAGAATCCCCGCTTGCCTTCTTACGCAGTACGCGGCAGTAGCACAGCTACTCTTCTGGCCATAGAAGGTTTCTCGTGACCAGGGTCCGCAGCACAGAAGCCCTTCTTAATCCGTCATCTCACACATCACCCTACCTATAATACAGCCCAACTCGCTTTGGTCTTTTGTTCATTATTCCTTTCCCCGCCCACTATGAGTTTCCAGTGCGACGACTGCGACAGAACCTTCCGCTCGGAGATGGCCATTGAATCTCACTGCTACGCAAAGGGACACACATGGGAGCCAGAACCAGAATGGTACTGCGATCTCTGCGATAGAGCGTTCTCGTCTGAGCGGGGATTGGAGCAGGTAGGTCTTTGTGCTTTCCAGCTCTTCCTCATACTGAGGGTGACCAATCTCGAAGCACTGCGAAACTGCCAGAGCACATCGTACGTGCAACCCCTGTAACAGAGTCTTCTCCACGGTAGAGGGATACGAGAGGGTAAGCTTCCCTGTACCATGACATGTGAACCCTTCCTGATACACATCGAAGCATTGCGAAACCGCCGTGATCCACCGTACTTGTCAAGTCTGCGACATTACATTCTCCACGGTCAAGGGATACGAGATGGTATGTGTGATTTCACGCAGCATGGACCTGTCATACGCTGCTTATACCCCTGTCACTATCTCTTATCCAGCATTGCGCGAACTCCCAAAAGCACCGTGATCGACTTCGAAAGCCCGTCGAATGCAACTTCTGCGATCGAGTCTTCAATTCACCTTCGGCGCTCGCACAGCACATGGAATCGGGGTTCCACAACGTCCATAGGCACCAGGTCACTCAAGCTGTGCGCTCTCTGCGCGTTATCCCGACGATCACGTTGCCAGTCGACAACTACATCCAAGGGCACATCAGTGGTGCGCACATCGAGGCTGTCGGCGAGGAGTATGGATATGGGCCTCAACACCAGTCAGCCAATATTCGTGGTGACGAGCCGGTCTCTGAGTCATCCGACGAGGAAGATGCAGACGACATCCAGGCTCCTCAAGTTGGCCTTCCGGTTGGCCAATTTGTCGAACCAGGACCGCCACTCAGAGATGAAGAGCTTGCCCACAGTACGGTCATGACAGGCCCGCCTAGGGCTACAGCCATTGTGTCCAGGCCCGTCGTTCCACCTCTCGCCGGCTCGTCATATACCACCTACGTCCCAGCCGACTTCCTTGACCTCGGCATCCCTTATTCGTGCCATCTCTGCCTCCGTACCTTCAGAACAATTCTTGCATTGACGATGCATCTGAACTCGGCGGTGCACGACCCCGACGCGTTCATATGCCCCGGCCCCAAATGCAAGGCAACGTTCACTCTGGTTTCGGGACTGATGCAGCACTTGGAGAGCGGAAAGTGTGGCCTTTCTTCTAAGCAAGAGGTCTTCGAGAGGTTCGAGAAGCTTACCGGAAGGTTTTCGAAGCTCTTGAAGATCTGAGGTCGAAATTGGATTGTACCATTCACCAGGTGCGTGTTCCCCTCAGATAACTGGAAACTGGATTCTTATCCATAATCTCTCATTCTGCTCCATTAGATGGAAGCTTGAAGGACTGATGAGCATATCTTCGTGCGATGATATGCTCCTCAGCCCTTCAGTTACCTGCGAGAACTTAGGGTAAGAGCAAGAAGTATCCTAACCTGTACTATAGTATACCACAACTTTGGCTGTGGCTCCCTATCCGATTGAATGAAACTGTACTTTATGTTCCTAAAGTCTCTTTTCCGCGTCCGAGAATCTTGAGATGACGATCCAGCTAAGAGCTTTGTTAGGCGCCCAGTCCCATGGGCGTTCAATACCTCCAAGGCTCGGCATATGATGTCGACACTCAATACAAGAGCCAAGCCACCTCGCTGCTCGAGCCTCAAGGCCTCCAGTCCAGGCGTTTCAAAAGAAAATTCTTTCAAAGACCTATGATGTCGAGGGTACATCCAACAAGTTATATTAAGAGCCGTCAATGCCAACCTTCACACCACGTTTCCTTTGAGACATTGAAAGACCTATATCGAATGAATGTACCGCGGGCGCCTTTGTCCACGTCTTTTGTATACTTAAAGGGACGAGTGTAGGGCGCTTTGGGATGCACCATCTCTTACGTATCAGTCGACCAGCGCCTCAGATTCCCTACAAACAGCCATGACAGAAACCTTTGCCGACATCGTAGGTCATTTCCCCGCTATCACTTCCTCTCGTACCTTATTCAATCCGGGACTTACCACGCGATCTTTCTTTTGAAGCTGGCCAGGGCCGCTAACACAAGCGCCAAAGCCGACATAGAACAAATACTCCCAATACTCCGATCCCTCGCCGATCAAGAGGAGAGCAAACTCGTAGCTCTCGAAACCGAGCTCGCAATTTGGATGCTTCAAAACATCATCCCCTCGCCATCCTCCACTACTAGTACTAGTAGTAGCACTACTCTACGATCAGTAGTGGCCAGCCGTGACGCCTATCGCTGGCGATATGACTACTCGGCTTACCTCTCCTACTCGAAGGACGAGTTTTACAACCGGGCATTTCGTGAATGCCACATGAACTCTAGCACGAGGCATCTCGATGACCCTGTACTGGAGGCGTCGATGATGCGTTACCACGGCCATTCTGGCCTAATGGAGTCATCTTTTCGGTTTAGATCTGGAATTGCACGGCCGAGTTCGACTAGTTCTACAGGGACCCTACCATCTCGCTGAGCACTGGCGTTTACACGACTATGTATCTATTTCCTTATCCTTGGTTGTATTTCAAATTCCACCCAGTCAGTGCCCTTACTATGCGCTTCGATCGACCCTTCTTCCACCATCCCGGGGAAATCAATAAAAATATAACTAAGACAAAAAGGAATTTCCCTTCTTCTTCTTCTCGCTTCATGTCATCTCTGCCTCTCGAGTTCAAAAGAGAGATCAAAAGCAAAAACGACACCAGCAGGATTCGAACCTGCCCTCTCTGACTGAAACATATGGGTGATCTCATTCAGCTCTGTCACCCTAACCCCTAGGACATGAGCACAGAGGCCCCCCCAGCGACATCAGTCATTTCGGCATTGGGGCGCTTTACCAATGCCACCTCAAAAGTTGTCTCAGGGGGATGGGTCTGTGGGGGGAAGAGGAGAGGAAGGAGAAGGAGGAGAAGCCTGAGATGGCCGCCTACGTAATTCAACCGGTAGATAGCATCAGACATCATAGCCAAGTGGTTACGGCGACAGATTAGAATTCGTTCTACCATCTGTTTCACTTTGTGAGCGCAGGTTCGAATCCTGCTGGTGTCGCTCTATGAGCATTCGGCACTCATTTTTGTTTTACTTTTTAAGTAGGTGGAGGACGCATAGATTCCGAATTTCCAGTGGGTTACTTACAGTAGAGGAAGTGCAGATTATAGGTAGAGGTATAAGTTATAGGCGGGAATGAGAAAACGAACGGAGAGATGTCTTTTTGAGCTATAGCCTGCATAGTATATTATTAGGACGCTGCTGGATTTATTTCCAACTTGTACTGATAGAGGCCGGTCTCATCCACAACTGGGTAAACCTCAGGCCTGAGGCCTCATGTTCCACGGAACGCGATCGTCATGCTTCAACGAGAATCTGACTTGGTTCAGAGTCCAACCATCCCAGACCCACACTTGTCTCCAATGACAAGAACGTACCAACGAGTCAACGACAAGACACCCACCCGGCCACAGGCTGCCACGACTAAAAACCACGCTCAGGCTACCCATACTCTGAAGAAGACGGCATGTAGTCATTACAATATATACATTACAAATGCCGAAGTTTGGGAGTTGCAATTGTGAGGTGAGAGGGATGGGACGATGGAGGGATGGATCAACGGAGTGATGAGATACAACGGACGAAGGACGAGGAAGGGGTACGCAGAGTGAGGTCGGGAGAGAGGGAGAGGGGGGAATAACGAAACACAAAGGGAAGGTATCTCAAAGAAACTTCAAACATGCGACAGCTACTAGCTAGGGGTTTCAAAACACAACATGATCACAATGCACCAGCAAAAAAAAAAAAAAAAAGGCTACAGAAGAATTGTGGAAAGCACTCGGGTGGAGGGAGGGAGGGGTGGGGGTGAGGGGAGCTGCGAAATTGTGCAAGACGAGATCCGATGATGGTGGAAAGAAAAAGGGTGATACAGTAAAGGGGAATGGAAGAGAAGAATTCGACGATACGATACGGTATGATAACATAAAAATAGTGAACGAACGATCTGGGTGGGATGGTGGGGGATATGATGACGATGAATGGTCATGCTCGTGAAAAGAATCAGCGGCTAAACAGAGCGATGGATGGATGGCGACAGAGAATAGACACAGACGAGACAGGGGGAGGAGACAGAAAACCATAAAGCCGAAAACAGAAACAGAAATAAAAAAAGGTGGTTAAGAAGGACGGTGGAGTATGAATCGCGAGCATCTGGAAAAAAACGTTGCGCGACGAGTACGGGATTGAAACCCATACATGGAAAACGATAAAAAAAGACACAGCCAGTGGGATATAAGTAAACGCGAGTCCATAACATCAACAAAGGCGAAAGCGGCACAACGGGGTGAGAAGGCAGCAAAGATGGAAGGAAGGAAGCCAGCGACGACAAGGACCCAAAAAGAGAACGAACATGCTGGTAGTGGCTGGCTGCTTACTTCCCAGACCCCTGTACACTGGTCTGGACCACAGACATCAATGGAGGTGCTTGAGGCGAGACGCTGACCAAGGTACCCTCCGTATCCGCACTCGTCCCAGCGAGGAACTGCGAATGCGGTGTCGAAGCAACGCCCAAAGGAGATCCCTCCTCCGTATCCGCACTCGTACTAGGCGCTGGGACTCGGGTGACCGGAGTTGACGATGGCGATGCCGCCGTTTTTGAAGTAGAGGGGGCGATCAAGTCTGCAGCCCGCGGTTGCGAACGTCGTCGAGAAGATCGGCCACTCCCATCCTTGTTACCGGTCGTGTTGGTCGGTTGGATTGGTAAGTTGACGATGTGGGCCGAATGGGCGGGATATAGGAGTGTCTTCCACTGATCGGGTAAACCCTGTGACGGAAATGATTAGGAGGTGATTTCAAATAAGAAAACGATGGGAATGGGGATAAGAATGCACTGCGATGTCGGCGCGCTCGCGCGAAAAACTGGTTTGTTGGCGCTCACCTTGAACTCCCCGGTTGCTTCGTCGAACGTAACATGCATAGCATGCACCAAATTCGTCGGCGTGCTAATGACGGCAGAGAGACCGCTGCGGAGGTAGATTGCCTCACGGAAAGCGTACAACTCGTTATCAGTGTTGAACAGGATGTTGATGCATGTTTCACGAGTCGTTGTCGTTACGATGAGACAATTGGATCGCTTGGGGTCTGGGTCGACACTCTTGATAGTCGACAGGGGAATCTCTTTCGCAGGTGGAGACGCCTGAGGAGGCCAAGTCAGACTCCTCTCCACCATCCACGCACTAAGACCGTCGAGCGTACCTTTGTTTTCCTTGTATGAACTGTCAGGGCGTTCCCTTTCAGAGACAGCCACCGTTCCTTCCAATACCAGCCCGCAAACATGCCGGTCTGCTTGATGAAGAAGACACCTTCAATGTTGACATTGTTGTTGTTGGTGAGAACATAAGTGCCGTCAAGGGGATTCGAGCGTCGTCGAGAGGTGGGTGTGGATCGTGAGCGGGAAGCTGCTGGAGGTGGTGGTGCTGTCACTGGGATAGACCGGCCCATCATTTCTTCGTATAAAGGTAGAGTGGAAGGTTCCTATATCGCCAGCAACCAATTGGCGTGACGTGATCGGTATCAGGAGAGGAGTAGATACACCGCAGTCAGACGAGACACGCAGGCAAAGGAGAAACAAAAAGACGCACTGTGAAGGTGCCCGTCGCGCCGCTCGAGCCAATGTGTGCGGTGTGTTTAAAGTTGAAGGGGTTGGTGGTCTGAGCTCCCAGCGGACAGCGACTGTACATGTCGTCGCGCCAGTCATAGAGGTCGACATCACTGTCGAAAGCGAGGTGATAAGTTTTGGTACCGCACTTGATACTCAGCGAGTGAGGCATCAAGTCGGTCCTCTCAAGCTCAGTAATAGAGCTCAAGAGTATCCTCGTCTGACGATTCGACGAAGGCTAACATTAAAACCAGATCAGATGTCGGCTGACTTTTTGGTTAGGATTTTTGGGTACGACGACGAACCTGGTGTATAACCAAGGCGGCCTCGTTGAGGACTACGCCTTTTGACTTCCACACCCTCCCACCAAAGGCGTTGCGCTCCCGGACGTAGAGGGTCCCTGTCCTCAGCACCCCCGGCGAGGTCGATGTCGAAGGTCCGCCTTGCTTGCCAGAAGCCGCCGGGGCGTTCGCCACTGGAGTATTAGTGTTGGTCATCGTCTAGACTCTAGAGTTGTAACAACGGCGGCTGCGGGGGGAATGTCGTCGTCGTGGCAAGCGATGGCGGAGGTTATAACAACAGTCTGAGAAAGCGAAAGAGAGAAGGAGAAAAAGGGTGGGAGGGTGCCCAAGTGATAACTCAGAGGAGCTCAGGAACCACTGGCCACTAAATGTTCCTTTACATACACCCGCCAGAACGCAAAACGCGCCGAATACAAAAAGGATTCAATGTTTGTTGCCATTTGGTTGGACCCGAAAAGGGAAATCTCTCCGGAAATAGCACACATCATGCCGGCACTTGCGGCGTTAAATGCCTTTCTTAGTTGGAAGTAGGCACACAGAGCGTGTAGCGTGTTCTGGTGCGGAATAATCGAGACTTTTTATGATCAAGTTCTCTCTTGCTTCGTCTTTGTTGTTTTGGATAGGAGTTGGGAAACGTAAGACGAGGAGGTAACGGCCGAGAACACCCCAGCATCATAGGTTTCATACTCCGTTTGTTATGGAAACTGTTCCCATAAGGAAATCCACTGCCTGAAACAGAAAACGCCACCAGCCTCGCGTGTTCCTCCCGCGAAACGTTTGAACTCGTCGAATACCCTGCCATCGTTGCAGCAATACCTGTAGGAAGTCATTGCTCGCAGTCGTCACCACACCTCTCTCCCTACACCACCAAAAGACAATAGCCCCCCCGGAATCCCCGACAAGCTGGCTAGAAGAGCACCTACAAACGTCTCAAGATCTTGCCTCGAGGCAAACGCCTATGAGCTCAGAGAATGATCGAGAATGGGACGAAGCACGCCTATTTTAGGGCGCGTCACGACGCCACTATGGCACTTGGAGGAGAACCTAAAGGCGATAACAATACACCAACATTCGTCATGCATGTTTCATCCCCTCATCCTAGCCATTCAACTACAAGAGATAACCTGGATAAGAGGAGATAGATAAGCTTCGAGTTGGAGGAAGAGGGCTCTACATTGGTGTAAACGTGTTGGTATGTTGAATTTGAATTGGAGGCGGGGTTTGGCGCCGGGGTTATGTCTTTCTTGTGTAGTCTATTGGAGTCTTAGTCCCGAGTCACCTGCTCCCTGCCTCTTCGGAATGAGTAATGCACAGCTGACTGCTGGGCTACAGGAAGGCTAAGTGAAAGGGGAAAATTAGTGGGCGCCAGCGTACCCACAACCCTGCTACACGAGGCATAGCGCTTGCTCTACGCAAGCTACACTCTCCCATTGTACCCAGACGAAAGACGCCCACAAACCGATCGAAATGAATGAAGTACCCAGCTCAGAGTGGGAAGGAGTCTGCTGACTGAAAGATAACAATAACCCTAAGCTCGAAGTATCTGAATTCCTCTCTCGATCATTCGCCATTCTCTATGAAGTTGGTCTCGACTCCCGCTCAGGCTACACCCTTTACAACCCATGACCGTATTCATCTCAAATCCCAGGGAGAGGGGGTAAGGCCCGACATAGCTGTCATACGCACGTTCTACTCCCTGTTCCATCCCAGGAACTTGGAATACCTAGATCCTCTATTTTTCTTCCGCGGAAGCAAATATGCAAGTTCTCCAATCTCCGTCTCTCCAATATCGCGTTAGGTCCGTTGAACAATCAACGAGAACGCGGAAGTCGATGGAGTTCGACAATGACAGTAACGACGACAACGCAAGGGTGTACATACATCGCATATGTCTGTGGCGGCTGACAAGAGGATGACACCATTTTAGAGCACGGACTGAGCTGCAAAGCCCCTATTAGTATCATCCACTGTTACGGGCCTGGTTATGAATCTAAGGACAGCAATACACTTGCAATGGGAATTTCTTCCACTTCCTGCTTCCAAGGCGACCTGGATCCCCATCCCCCTTTCCAGTACTTCTACGCGCCAGTCACGTTATAGAAGCTACACGCCGCGTCAGAGAAAGACCAGAGGACAGTGTCTTCCTCTCGGATATGGCATTGGCCGATGGGGTACGCCCTTTCCCAAATCGAACGCACGCAGCGCAATGAATGGAATTCGTCTTGGAAACCAGGCACACAATGAACCCACGCGAGGAAAATGGCAAGTGAAACCGCGAGAGGGGAGAAAGGGAATGATGATGAAACCATGATTCGAAGAATTTCGACTCACTTGGAGAACCCTGCTGACGTTCATTAAATGGGCCACGTTTTGTTAGGCACGTCAGGATTTGAAATTAGAGGTTCTGTGGTCGTCAGGGTCGTTTTCGTATTGCTGTTAGCGGTATTTGGAGCTCCTGAATAAGAAACGGACAGTCCAGGTGCAAAGGAAAGTGAGGTCGAGGAAAGAATTGCGCACTTGGGTTGCACTCAGGGCTGGACGCATCCAAAGGCGGCGTATTCGTGCCTGAAACCACAGGTACGAATGAAACCAGGATCAAGGAGACTTCGAGTTGACACTTTGTCTGTCCGACCACTTCAACGCCACGCGTCGTGGAAATGATTGTCTGGACAATGGACACTGGGCACTCAGGAACTGGAACCTACATACATATATGATGGCACGACACAGGCACCCGCTGACCATGATAACCCGCACACCGTCACTTGAATATCGTGAATTGACACTCCTCGTCAAGTCTCAAACGCGAGGATAAAGCGGACTCACCGAGTTCCTGTCTCTTTCCTCGCGAACGGATGTATGTCGTCTGTCTACCTTGTGGCTGAGCAGGAACGAAAAGACAGACGATCGAAGACTCGACTCGCGTTTTCGATCATGAGTCATGCAAGACGGGGTTAACCGCCTCAAACACTGAATTCCTGTGGGACGGAGATAAGCAGAAACGAGCACGTACTCACGTAGAATTCCTCGAGCGGTGTTACGCACGTTGTTTCGATGATGTCCAAGGGGAGAGAATGGGTCTGCTGACCTAGGACAGCGATTGGAATTAGAACAACGTAGATCCGAATCGTGCCTCAATTTCTCCTCGACGTTCCGATCGATGTTGCTCAGTTCCTACACGCCTTTCTCTTCAATTCTTGCCGTTCTTGATGAGAAACAACAATCCGCCACATAATGTCTGGCTCGATAGGTGAAGGACTGTCGATTTTCATCCGCGGAACCAAAATGTGTCCAGACTGTCATTCGGAAAAGTACAATGTTCATGTCACGAGGCATCCATTTCGTGTCCAGAATTCTCCTTGAGAGTACAGAGACAAGTACGAAGAAGCCAACAAGGCTGAGACGGAGAGCGTTCACGGAGAATGGGCGAAGGGAGGGGGAAGAAGGAAGGGAGGTGGCAGGGATCATGGCGTTACAAGATCCAGGTGCAGTGAGCAAGGGCAGCGACGAGCGAGACCAGAGGGGATAGGTTCATTTGCCCAGGCAAACCCTTCATTTGGGCGCAGTGAGCAATCGACTCGAAAGATAGGGAATGAGAGAGAGGAAAGTGGGGGGAGATCAAGTGGTAAGGCCAAGACCCGGTGTGCTGTGACAAGAAGACAAATGGCAAGTGAGGAACGAGAGAAAACAGCTTCTGGGGACAGTGGGTAGAGACCACTGGTCCAGATCAGTTGGTTTGTATCAGTTCTCAGCACGGATGTCATCTGAGGAAGGGTGATATGAACAAGTGCCGGCCACTTTCCCTTGGGTGGAACCGAGAAACTCCTGTGGCGGTTCCCAGTCAACACAGTGCAGTTACAAGATTTTTAGAGACGCGCTGCGCTTGTTCGAGGATATCAAGACATACGCAGTTGAACTACGCAGACAGAGGAGAGAGGGGCCATCCCAGAGCCAGTTGAGGGTAAAAGGCTAAAAGCCTCGAGGAGCGATGCCAAGACCAATCAATCCAAATTCAGCGACAACATTCCCACGGGGTAGGGCAGCGACCAAGCTGGCAGAGCCTGCCCTCATCGCCATCATCGCTCCGCTTCAACGTCCTCCGCCAACTTTCACGCCCAGCGACGCACAGTCTGCAGTGTCCCCGCCGGGCCTCAGTCTCTGTATCCAACTAAACGGCTGGCACAACCTTTTCTCCTCTTTCTTCTCTCTTCTGTCCGCTTAAACTCTCCTTGAAACTGGTCCTCTCCTTCACTACTTTACGCCTTTACCGCCCCAGCGTCAGCTACAACCACGACGACGACGGCTTTGTGCGTTCTCAAACGGTGTTTATACGACGTAGACAAGTGAACTGACAACGTTAAATCCCATACAGACCCAGCAACAATTCGAACAAATTCCGAATTGGCCGACCTCAACCTTCGCTCCACCGACCTTCCTCAACCAACCGATCTCAGCCACCATCCGCATCTAAACCGTCCATCTACCTCCAACGAACTAGGGAATATAGAAATAATACCCAGTTGCTAGATACCAGGAAAGAAAGGAAGGAAGAATGGTCGAGTTTGGGTCGTTCAACAAAATCTGCGAGACGGCAGCGCTTGTCATTTGTCCTCTAGTAGGCACAGATCAAGGAATCGAGCCAATATGCTACAGCCGTAACGTCGGTATTGGGGGGACGTTAATTTTCCAACCTTGTGCGTACTCTTTAATCGCCCTTCAAAGAGACGTCCTCTCTGAAACTCGGTTTAGCCACTTGTTTCGTGCACATTGTGGCTATCATCATGACAGCAATCATGATTCTTCATATTCGCAGCAAGTATACTGCAGTCGGTGCGTCTTTGCCTTCTTTCTTTCCAGAGGGACGCTGGAACTGAATAATGGGTAATAGGTCGAAAGGAGATTGTGATGTTCTTTTGGATGTACGCTGTAATCGAGCTGCTCGCCATGTTCCTCGACTCGGGCATCATTCCAACGTCAAACGCCAGCTATCCCGTACGCCCTACCCTTCACTGCCTGGTTTTAAACATCCTCACCAAGAGTCTTTAGTGGTTCGCAGCTGTCTACACAGGCCTTGTAGCAGCAACCTACGCCTGTCTCCTAATTAACGGTTTCGTCGGTTTCCAATTCGCAGAAGACGGCACTCCTTTGTCTCTCTGGGTTCGTTCTTCCTCTCCAACGCCTCCTTCACCCACTTATCACTCACACTTCGCCTCCCCGATATCCAGTTCCTCAGAATATCATGCCTAGCAGTCTGGGGTATCTCATTCTTCGTCGCCATCGCCACCTTCAAACAATTCGCCGGATTCAAGTACGACAAACCCATCGGGCTGTGGATCATCTACATCCTCTGGCCGCTCATCTGTACCGTCATCTATGTCGTCTCGCAGTTGATCCTCGTCTTTAGGACGTTGGAGGACCGCTGGCCGATTGGTGATATCGTCTTTGGTACTGCCTTCTTTACTATTGCCCAGGTGCGTGTAATTCCTCGTTGTTTACTATTTCGTTCGGTGCTCGTTTTGGATGCTGGAAGTGCTGGTGTACCCGTGCTGGTGGTAATGCGGTGAACATGGCTGATGTTGTGCGTTTGTAGGTCCTGCTGTTCGCATTCAGTGTGACGATTTGCGATGCTATCAAACATTATATCGACGGATTGTTCTTCTTCACGCTTTGCATGCTCTTGAGCGTGATGATGGTCTACAAGTACTGGGATTCCATCACTGTACGTCGCTCTTCCATTTCCTTCTCCTTTGTCGCCCTCCCTCACTCATCTCCCTCCCTACAACAGCGCGAAGACCTCGAATTCTCCGTCGGCTCCAAAGCCGCAATCTGGGAAGTCAAAGACCCACTCCTCACTTCAGACGTTATGGGCCCCGCTGAGGACGACGTGGGTAGCACGTACCACCCGGCTCCCAGTTTGGTTGGTGGGGTTAGTGGGAACCAGTTTTATGGTGGTGGTGCTGGTGGTGGGATGGGTGGTGGTGGGCAGGGGAGGAGGTACCCGCCTAATGGGAATTATTAAACGAGTCTCTTTGGGGAGGTGGTGGATCAGTAGAGTGGATGGTGGTAGTCGAGGTGAATTGGACATTTGGTTTTTCTATAATCTCAATGGTTTGTTTCATTTTTTTTTTATGTTTATATCCAGTTGTAACGACCTCTTTTTCCGTATCCTAATTTGCATTTTTGTTTTGTTTTGTGCTGGAAGAGGAGGGAGAGGGGTGTAAGGGAGCGAAGGTGAAGGAGGCAGGTGGTACACTCTTTTCTTTTCAACTCCTTTCCTTTTCTCTTGCTGTTTCGCTTTTTCTTTTCATTTGCGGGTTGATTTCTGAGTCGATTGTGTTACATTTTCGTCCCTTGGATGAGCCCCGTTCTCCTTTCCCGCGTCTTTTCTTTTGCGTTTTATTCAGGAGGCTCGCCGTCATCGTCAACATTCTTATCCTTTTCATGTCTTTATGGACAGTTCAATCATCATCTCTGGAACCTTTTCCCTTCGCCTTCTCTTGCTTCGCCCACTGTGACTTGAATATTCCTCCTTTCCTTACCTTTTTGTGCTTGGCTTCGGGGGAACGGGAGTGCGTGTTCGGAACCTCGAATCGACTGGATGGGATGGGATTGCAAGGTCCACTAAGGTTGGAGTTGGAGGATGGCGGAACACTGCTCGCGATGATTTCGATTTGGAGACTGAGTCCCTTGCGGAGGTGGATGGACGTCGAGGGAGTCGACATTTGAACACGGATAGACAGACGGGTCCAGGTAACTTGAATGGTTGACGCGTTCAAGTTGGCGGCAGGATGATCAACGGTCAGTTCGATGGATGACTTAGGGTGGGTTGGATAGACGGTTTCGGTTGGATGGGCGGCCTATCTCATCCCTCAACCATGACCGCAACAGTTGCGAAACTAATAGGAGTCGAAGCGAGAGAGATGCGTGAGATGCCCATTTGGGATCACTGCGTGTTGTATTGGGTCAGGACATGGTTTAGGCGCCTGTCATTGTGTTAGGGGGAGGAGTTGTCGGCGTCGTGTCCCAGGAACAGCGCTGAGCTTTCGACCCTAGTCTTTTCAAAAATCTTTCGTGAATCTATCATTGATATGGCATGGTCTATTGACGGCTGGCGGCTTTGGGTCTGCGGGGGGATAGTGCTAACATTGGTACGTCTTTCGGAAAGGCCTCACGTATCATACATACATAGGGCTGCCCCAGAGAGTCGACCCATTCTGATACAAGTTCTTGACGGACCCTCAGGAACAGTGCGACATCGTCGGCGTGATAGTGGTTACCTCGACCTATAAATGAGAACTTGGGCTATTTTTATGCTCGTTGTACATACCGAGCTCGACGCAGTGGGCGCGCGGTCGTGGATATCGGATACAAGTCGATTCTTGAGCGGTGTCTACTAGTATGTAAATAGGATACAAGTGTCATATCTTTGTACCACATACGAAGATCAGAAGCTGTGGATATCCGGAAGGTGGATATCAAAATTGTTGTTCCACAATGAGATGGACGAGATTGGCGGGCGCTCACGTGAACTTCGAGGAAATCAAGCGCCCAACCACAGTTACCCTGGTCACTGACGAGATGAGTATAGACTCTAAATCTACATCCTGATACGAGTCGCTAACTGGACACTCGACCCGTAAATTGAAGGTCCTGGTGCATAGGGTCGGCTGACCCTATGCCCCCGCTGGTAAGATGATATGTAGCCACCCAGGATCCGGTGCATTTGAACCATTGAATTGCATGTCGTACAATGTCAGTCCCCCGGCACCAAGGTTAACCCTCAGTCACAAGGGCGCCCAGACACTGGGGACTGGATGATCATGACACAGCTGGCTAGGGTATAAGCACGGTTCAAATGGAAAGCCCTTCAAACAGTAAAGGCAACGTAGTGCGTTCAAGGAAGTATTAATAGCGTCTCCCAAGGTCGGGATATTATTGGCTTCCCGCAATACAATAAACAGCCGTGGGGTGACCTCATTGCCACGGGCGGCTCAGTAAAGTAGGCATAATGAAGCAGGACAGGTCCCAATAAACGGCACAAGTGGCACCTTTGCATTACGTTGGACAGTAGGGTCCTGCCTGGGTCATAAGATCAGGTTTCCGGTGCGTACTAGTACATGGGGAAGTATTATAGGACACCATCGGGTCTTCGGCAACCGCAAGAACGTTGGCCCTGTGTCCTATATTGGAGGTGTATCGAGTAGATACGTACTGGAGTACAAGTGCCTTCATAGTCTCCTAGGGGCGAAAAGATCGCTTCCCTCGATAGAGCTGTGTCAGCTGAGCAAAGAAGGTTTACTCGGCTTGCGATGGGCAAGGCCTTTGACATCCACGTACCAGCAAGCAATGATAACCCGGCGGCTAGAGCACGACGTTTATGCTGAGCAAAGTCTGGATGTTAATAGCGAAGAGAACCTCTCTTTCATCTTGAGTCTAGACAGCCGAAGGGAGAAGCAGCAAGTTAGAACCAGGATAAACCAATAGAGGCTCCACGCTAAGTATCAAGCAAACGTACTCGGCGACCAGGCAAAATGAGCGCCAACTGTCAAAAGAGAGTCGCCGTCGAGCTGGGTCAAGTGAAGTTCACTGTCCTTGAGGACTGACTTGCCTTTGTTCGGTAACCGGCTTTGCGAGGCTCCGAGCTTACTGTAAACGAGCGGGAGAGCCATTACCACGTTCCAGATCAAGAAAGGAGAGGCGATTTATTTACATAACGTTGTCGAAGAGTTCCGTGTCCGAGGTCGCCAGCAGCATCTGCTATCAGGACAACGGTGGCGACGGGCGAGGCGGGGTCCTTGTTCCAAAGCAAGAAGAAACCAAGCTCCAGAACGAGAACGCTCACGGTCAAGGGCTTGGACAAGATAGGCCGTTGCATTGTAAACCAAGGCAAGTATCCCTTCAGAAGTGTCCAGTTCAACCCATAGGACGTCCTATCACATACAATTGAGGTGCCAGTGATGGTAGTCGATTGGATGACGGGAGGCTCAGGGCGTTCGTCAACCTTCGGCGGAGCTCGAGTTGCTTTACCGAGGACCAGACAGAGATAGGCAGCCGTAATCGTCCCCAGCTAGCTGAGTTGGTGCCAAGTGGCCGGGCGTCGAGGGAGCATGACGGATAGAGGTATTAGCGCAGCCCCGTCTGTTATAGACTGCCCGAGGTACTGTGCGATTCGAAAATCTGCTTCAAGCAAGACTCCGAAGGTGGCACAGAAGAAACGGTCAACGCACTGCAGCAGTGGTCCTGGAAAATCGGGGTTGGTTCAGTGTGAGCCACTAGAGTTTGTCGTAGATGGTTTGTGATGGAGATAGCCCTCAGCGTTTCATTTCAGGGGGATGGGGCAGGCGAACCTAGAGTTTCACCGCAGCGCGCCGCAGCTCCTGTTGACATGCTTGTTGTAGACCAACACCACTGGGAACTGAGCCAATGTTAGACGTAAAAGCACGGTTCCGGTTCCGGCTGATGATATACAGGACGAAAGAAATAAAAGATAGCGAGGAGATGGGTCCATACAAACCGCAGATTCCGTGCATAACACTCGAGTTTCGGAGATCCTGGCAACGGCATTTTCCTGAGCGATGTGGCATGGCTCAGCGATGCCAGGGGAGATGGCAATCCCATCGCCACGCCCAATGCTGTCCCGAGAGGGGGGAAGGAAGCGATAATCCACCGGTACCATGACGAGGAAGGATTAGCATCACGCTGAACCGTTCGTGGTGACCGGTCACAACTGGTGGTGTCCCACGGGCCACAGCCCAGGAACTTGTTCTGTTTGAATGGTTCCTTGTCCGCCCATTCGCTAACGACTACCACCACTCATAGCCCGTGGGGTGTCTGCTGTACTGTAGCCGGTACGTTCAAGAGACCATTGATTGCGCACTCTTTTGGGACGTAGTTGTCATCTTTATCGGATAATTCCAGATGCCTCGGGAGATGAGGGGCGGCATACCATGGGGTGAGATGGCGACACGTATAACAGGCCACCTGGGCCGCCCAAGTTAAGATTCAGCCACTGGCTGCCTAGAGATTCAGTGAAATGCACCTGCAGTAGGTTAGTACAGCTTGTCATGGCACACGCAGTGAAATACCTATATTCACTGATGGCGTTTGACGACAAAAGACAGATCAGCCATGGCCAATGGCTTGTGATCACGTTGGTTCACCGGGTTCGTGTTCGTCCATCATTGGTTTGCCGAGTCAAGACTATTTCTGGAACCGAACCGTTCAATGCCTTCCAGCCACTCAGCCACTGAGCACTGAGCTGCGAACGATATCAAATGAAATGGGTAGGTTGTTGAAAGGGGGTTAGATGAACTGTCCTTACAGGCCTAGGTCCTGGGAGGGGTCGCCCGTCTCGATTTGGCTGGATAAACCGTATAGTAGCCACCATCTCTGTCTTCGGAGGCTTCAGCGCTGAATCTTTCGAGTGGTGTGCTGACTGTCGCAGTCGCGAAGTGGGCTATGGAACTCCGTTCGTCACCTTTACTCGCCCTATGTGGACAGTGGCAACAAGATTGGTTCTCCGAAGGAGACGCGCCCCGATACTCTGTCTGTTCAACTTGTCCAATAGGCAGCGCATCGCTCGAGTTCCTTACTCGTGGCAGAAACTAGTGCCTCCCAATTCCCAGTTAAGCGTTCTTAAGATACTTTTAAGTATGTACAAATTTCACCTGCCATCTCAAGTGCTTCGCGAGAATGCTCGGTGTTGCTGTTGGATCTAGGATTAGATTTAAGTGTGACAATGGTTGCGGCGTTAGTACAACGTGGTTGATATCCTGAACTGTTGGGCTGGCGGCAAAGACGTGGATTTAAAGGCTCGAGCTCCTCAAGTAAATTCCTCGTTCAAGCGCCCACGCATCACGTCGATGAAGGGTTGGAGCGCCGAGGAGTACTGACCACTGGTGACCGTTCGAAGAATGCTGACAGGATCTCTCCATAGAGAATCGTTTGTCGTTTGTCTCAAAGAATGACTTTAATCACTTGAAAGCGTCTGCTGGAGTGTGCTGAACAACGGCTTAAGTTTAAAAGGCCTTAAACCGGCTCTACCTTTCTAGCTCGAACTCTGGACAACGAAGGAGGGTCTGGCAATCTATGAATATGGAGAAGATGGCATCTTGGAGAGGTCTGTTTTCGACTCAGGGCTACTAGATGGACTTTGACACGATGCATTGAAGTTCCATGTCAGGGGCTGCAGAGCCAACAGACAGCGACTCCAATAGAGTTAGGTATGAGGGATCGAGTGCGCGTTCCAGAAGGATTCTCAAAGTCGGCGCTGCGCACCCTTGAGAATTGGTTTGAGACAGAATGGGAAAGTTATAACTAAAAGCGGTAATCCATAAGGTGGAACTATTAAGAATCCACAAGGCAGGGCGCGGTGAGGCCACCCTTTCCACGATAGTGCCGCATTTAACCATTGGAAAGAGCTCGGTCCGTCTCCGACGGCTTATGCCTCATTCTAAAGGGGCCCGTGTGTCAAGGAAGGGGACACTGCTTGGTTCGCTTGCCTGGAGGCTTTCCATCGGAACCACTCCATATTCATGAGATTCAGTGTCGACCTCGAGGCGCCCTGTGGCTGCGTTGATCTACAAGAGCCTGGGTCAGACCTCACGACGCATCCTTATCTACCGCAGGCTCCCAAGAGAAGACTAATGGTTCTCAATCTCAATCTCGTCGGATACCTCTTTCCACGATAGTACTGATGGCTCACTTCCCAATCAAATATGAT